TAAACTTGATAAGCTTGAACTTGATCCTGCCGCATTTTCAGTATTTCTCATCAGTGTGGCATTTCTGTCAGCGCGAAATGCTGATAAAATGGAAAATCTTAAGAAAAAAAATCTTAGATTTATAATTTACATATAACAATTATTTGGATAGAGACAGCAGTTTTTCTCTATACAACAGACATGTACATAACATGTATCTACAAAAGTTTGTTTTTTACTATAGCTTACTATGTACCTTAGCTTGTATACATGAAAATTTCGCCACACGTTAATTTCGCAAATTTCGTGATTTTAAACAAATCGCGAAATTAAAGTGACGCGAACAATAAGTGTCATGAACATAACCTGACGTTAAAATCAAGTGACTTACAATGATCACTAATATATCAAGAGAGGATGTTTGTATTGTGGTTCAATCCTTTTTTAAATTTCCCTATTGTTTTACGCTCATTATCATACATTACCATACCCCCCAAAAAAGGGGAATAAAATTTAAACCAAGAAAAAAACTGAACCACAAAACGGGAGGGCATTTTGCGTGCGCATGAGTGCATCCGCTGAACGACATAGAGTTGGCGCATCAAATCTGATGGCGGGAGATCGAAAAGTCGCGTAAGGTTACAGTCCTTTTAAAAGCCATTTTGTTGGTGCTTTGAATACCGTACTTTCCTACAAAAGATGTCCTCCATGACAAAAATCGGACTTTTCTACGCGGGTTTTCAGTTGTAGATTTTTTAGCAGTAGTTTTTCTTGAAATCTTAGAGGCTTTAAAGAGACTCAAAGCCAAAAATCGCTGTTCCTGTATAAATCTGATTTTCACTGGCAAAGCAATGCGTTTCTATGGACTGATTTCCAAACTCATGGTCTTACTTATCAAGGAAGAATTATATCGTAGCAATGTTCAGCTGCTTTAAGAAAAGCGAAAATAAAATTGTTACTACGCGAGGTTTATTTATTGGCGCGATGTCTCATGTTAAACTGATCGCGGAGACACTCGTTGATATATGCCCCAAAAACATGAAATCTGTGAGAATTTTTTCACAATCTTTTCAAACGTTTTCGCGGAAAAAAATATAAAAAAAATATTCTACAGGAAATGAAGAATGGACTGAGTCTGAAGCAGTAACAATTACAAGTGATTATGTACTGCATAATCACTTGAGCATTTCATAAGCTCACTTGCAGACAAAACTAATGCACCCCCAAAAAACAAATAGTACTTACATTTTTCTCTAACTCTAAAAGATACAGAGATTTTTCCTAAGCTACTATTTTGAAGCGACTCTTGAGTAACAGGTCCTGTGTTCCACAGTCGATTTCTTACTATTAATTTATATTTGATGACAGTAGTGATCCATTAAAAACAGAGCCGGAATGACGATGATGACGATGTCCGTTTACTTTCATAGCCTGTTAAAACTTAAGAGAGGAAATTTTTTAGAGGGGTGCATATATAATGCCGTTTCCTCAATTAAAACGAAATACTAATGCTAAAGGACCCAAATGAGTTTCGATACGACAACAAACACGACACAAATGGATGGGTGAATTTGTCTGTTATTAGATGTTTCTATTGAGAGCTTTTTACAGTATCCAGATGAACCTACATAGAACCCTATGGGAAGAATTATTAAGCAGACACTGATGCAGTAAACACGAATTTGGTTCAACACAAAGGAGTTGGTCTCAGTAAACATCCTTTGCGAATGAAATGTTTCACCAGTTAGCATATCAACAAATGTAGTATCCACAATTTAGGAATAAATGCAATTTTTTTTGCAACAGAAGCCAGGGTTTATTTAAAAGGTGTATTGATAACGTTTCATTTCGAACTATTTTGGGGTTGGGGAGTTAGGCTAGATTTTCTTTGAAACGCCGAAATGTTATATTCATTTGCATAATGAAATGTAAACAAACAGTGTACCATCAAAATAAGGTGGAAAAAATAAGAATTCAAAACGATTGCTGTAATTTTTTTCCTTTGTATAACTAAATGATATAATTTTCTTATTTTCAAATCACAATCTTACTGGCATCATTGAATTACATTTATAGTTGAAGTGCGTGTATTTTATTTCTCAACGAAGACGTACCGGTGAAGAAAGCTAAAATTACTGCAGAAGGCGATTTTTCACAGCCTTCATCAAAGCGCCATTCATGATTCGCGGAAGTATTCTTAGTTTCATTAATCATTAACTTATGTGGGGAGAAAGGCAAGATTTTGAGATAAACAAGCCAGCGAAAGGGTGAAAATGTAGTTTCGCGGCAAAATGGACACTTATCAACCACTGTATTCCTGAAACGATTAAGTTCGATTTTAGAGTTATACTGTTCAGAAGAATTAAGTATCTATAGGATAATTGTTTAACGAAAATTATCATACTGACCTTTTTCTGTTGCTCAAAAAATGTCAAAATGTGCGCGAAATGCTAGGTCGTAACAACATTCAGCCGCCATCTTGTCTTTGATGTAGCTTTGATGTACCATTGTACAAAAGGAAAGACTGTCCTCTCAAGGGCGACAGAGAGGTTACAATAAACTCACTTTCATCGTAGAAATGCGTCGACATCTTAAAGAACACGTTTGTGGAACGAAGCACCCAATATACGTCATTCAGCCCCAGAAAACAGCCTGCAAATTGAACGTAAACAGTTCACAAAGAAATGCCTTCGTGTTACCTCAACGGATGCGCACACAAAATGCCCTCCTGTTTGAACCACAACATATCTATGTGTGCATGTATGTATGCATGTATACATGTGGGCTGACTCCAGTTGCATTTTATGTTTTTCTCTTTTAGATATGCACTATTTTTAGCTGCGTACATGTTTATTGTCCTAGTGCTTTTTACTCTTACTTTCTGCTATCGTGAACGATGCAGAGGATGGGACACTTCAGTATGCCGCCGCTGGTATTGTATTTATTTATTCATTATTTAAAATTCATCTGTTTTATATTCTATTTATCATCATATTATTATATAAGCTTATATAGGTTAGATCATAGGTTATATATATATAGACCAGTAGGTGAACTACTCAAATCCTGAGTGCCTGGGTGTTTAATACAAGCTTTTTTCGTAGGCCACCGAGATCGCGTGATAAAAACGGTTACATATAACGTTTGAAATTTAGATTTTTAAGAAATCTTAGAATGAAAAGCGCGCTTGCTCTCAATCGCCTACACTCTTATACAAAACCTAAGTCGAAAGAAAGCTCGTGCTACAATCTCTGGCTTTCACATGTTCGATTGTACCTTAGGATGAACTTGCGTCGATGTCTGCCTGTAGAGACAAGTTCGTTGCGCTTGTTCAGTGTTGCCAAGTGAGGCCTACAGATTAAAAAGAACTTCTCTGTTGTACATGGATTTCAACGTTTTGTAAGATGGGGAAAAAATTTTGCTTTGGCGAGTATTTTCCACGTGATATTGAATTCCTTATTTGCCTCCTTTAGCTGCCACAGGTGCTTGCTCAGCTCAGTCTCATTCCTTCTCTCTTCATGTCTAAATAAAATCAGGTGGTTTCTGTATCTTGCCTTAAACTGAGTAGCTGTGAGACCGGTGTACGTCTCTTTTTTGTCTCCGGTTGTGACTGTGGCTTGGTACACGACTTCACTCACCAGGCATTCTCCGTTCAGCGGGCAGTCTTCTTTGTTCCTACAGCTACACGTGTTCCCTTCGTTTTTCTGTGGCTGCGCTGTTTCTGCTATCTTCAGGATGGCTTTGTTGTGGCCATCTATTATTTGCTTGACGTTGGGCATGCAGCTGTAGCTGAGCTTTATGGTCTTCCTGTTGAAAATTTTCCTCAGTTTGTGGCCCGCTGGGAAAGATCTTTCAATGAGGCTGATGAACGCACGTCCGATGTTGGTTTTGACGCTTTTGTTATATGGTGGATTAAACCATATAACATGTCTTTGTCCAGAAACGTTTGCGTTTCTGTGATGGTGGTTGCTGTGGTGGTGGCTTGAATTCTAGTTTAAAAGCATAGCCACTCTTTCGCAATGCTTTCTGATACGGAGGCGATGCTTCATTACAAACCCCGTGGCCGGAAGAGATGCTGGATAGCAGCCGGTTAATTGCTACAGGTATGTTTCTGTGGATGTTGGGTGGGTGGTTCGATTGGCTGTGAACGTAAAGCGGGGTGGTGGATGGTTTGGAGTATGGTTTGAATTTTCCAGTGTTTAAATCCAGTGTTACATCTAGGAAGTCAACAACTTTCTTGTTTGCTTGTATTAAACACCCATGCACTCAGGATTTGAGTAGTTCACCTACTGGTCTATTCCGCTCCTTCACTGCAAGTAGAGCACTGTCTTGGCTTCGCCGGTGAACGTCTAACTGAATAATATATATATATATATATATATATATATATATATATATGTATTATAACAATAGCTTAGAATTTTTATATTAGTTATATGCCTGACCTTTTTACCGAGTTTAAATAAAGTTACTTGACCTGACTTGACTTGTAAAACAGAAAGAAGAAGAAACAACCCTCCAGCTAGAATACAGCTGGTGAGCCGAGAGCTCAGAATTTTCTCTCTGTCAGTGTAAAAGTTTATACTGATTCAAGTTTAAATAGTTTCTTCTTCATAGTGAAATAGTTCCAAGTTCTGAGGACGTGGACGAAATCACGACGGAAGAGATTTTCTTTGAATGGTCACACCAAGCACATTCGCGTGTTAATATTTCTTTTTAACTATTAAATAGTCTGAGATAAAGAATTTTTTCTTGTATTTTCCCCTTCAGTCCCGCCAAGGGAGTGAGTGTTGTATTTTTCTCTTGCAGAAAGCACCTGAAGGCGCATAATCGTGATGGTAGTGCCTTTGTATTCCTTAGGTAGTATTTTACAAGAGAAAAAGAAAGACCAGCATCACAGAGGGAAAAAAGGTTCCAACCGTTCCACTCTTCCACGGTGGAATGTTTGGACGTCCGTAGGCTCACTTTGTTATTTCCTTTGCAGGATAAAAGGACTCTGCTTATCAGTGTTTGTCACGGCGATGACTGGCTATCTTATTTGCATTTTTTCAAGAAAAGACGAGTCCTCAGGGGGACCCTATCGGATACAGGCAGTCGCTACAGACCATAAAGAGTGTTCCAAAATTGGCAGTGATATCCTGAACTCAAACGGTTCGGCCGTAGACGCAGCCATTGCCGCTACTTTCTGTCTGGGAGTTACAAACATGCACTCTTCTGGAGTTGGTGGCGGTGGTGTGATGTTGGTTTATATTCGAAAACTCAAGAAAGCCAAAGTCATCGACTTCAGGGAAACTGCTCCAGGGGCGACGACGTCTGATATGTTTCCACCAAACGAAATTGGAGAAGACATGTCTGAACGTGGTTTGTGTCCTTTTTTTTGTAGGGTGTATTGCGATCAATAATCAGGAGAAGATAAAAGAGGAGAGTTCTTAGTTCTTTTCCCCTCCTTTGCATCGATAATCGTGTTCTTTTCAGATCAAACCTATAGGTTCACCAGGACAAAGCAGCGCATTTGTGATGGTGCTCACTCTTTTTCCCCTAGACTTTTCCTTTTATGGGAAGAGGAGTTGACCCTAGAACTCAGACGGATCTGATAAGGAAGGTTCAAACTTCTGTACACCGTTGAATCTGTTAAAAAGTTGATCTTTTCTGTTCTAACTCGCAGTTAGGTATTATTTTCCATAAAACTTTAACTACGTGGCCTTTTTACAAGCACTACCTTTTTCGGACTTTCGAGGCGTATTGGTGCACTGATATTTTATGGTAGGATTGTTTTTTCTGTTGATATGATTATTTTTCTGTTGGTCTCTGAGTGTGGCGAGGGGAAGTCCATATCCTCCAAACGCTCACCCTGGATATGCCAGCAGGGAAGGTTTACCCCCCTTCGTTAGCGAGGGTTATCTTGGAATTAGACGATGCCCCGGCCCCTTCAAAAGGGAGGTTAAAAATGTAGTCTTTTTTATAGCTGAGTCGAGACCATGCGTAGGTCTGATTATCGGAGGGAGAAATGTCCACCTACGGGAGCTACGGGAGGTATTCGTTAAGTAGCGGAGGTTCAACGTAATTAAATGAAAATTAGAAAAGCGCCTAATGCAAAGGCTAAATGAAATCCCGCCCCCGCCCCCCCTCCCCCTCCCCCCTGCCGGACATAGAGCGGGAGATAGGGATTTAACACACATTTAACGACGGGTTGCGGTGGATTTATTAACAAAATGCCTGTGCGAGCCGGGTAAACATGAGAGGTGATTTAACAGCACGCAGACATTGTCGGAAAAGGAGACAGCGGCGGGAATTTAACACAAAGGACTAAGCGAAAAACAGTCGGTATAAATCAAGTTGACAATTTGACAATCAACTTTTTTTCAATCAAGTATTCTTCTGTTTTTGCTTTTTGCTTTTTTTTTTTTCACGTAGTTGCATAACATACCCAGTAAGTTTCTCGTTGATCATACTGTATTAAAATCGCTTTTTGATTGATATTAGAGAGTTTTAGATCCGAGTTTACCGCGAACCTCTAACCGCGGTTTGCCGTTACCCGTTTGCGGTTCAACGTTCAAACATAATTCGATTTAGATTGGTGGTGGATTAAAGAAGTGGATTCTGGTTTATTTTTCCACTTAGAAATAGAAGAAAAATCAGTCAGTGAAAATAAAAGAAATTTACGGTAACACTGGGTTATCTAGCAGCAAAGAGCTGTAAATTCTTACATTAGTTCTTCTTGCAATTTTACGGCCGCCATTTTGAACCAGCAGCCATGAATGGCACTTGTTTTCAAGATCCAATAGGATTTATCAAATTTAGCATTTCGCCCGTATTTGTGCCTTTGTTAATGGATAAAGACTTGCTCCACAAGATTTTTGTATCATTACGTGGGATAAAACAAGATTTATACTCTAAAACGCATGTCGTAAACCTCAAACGTGACGCGAAAGACTTGTCACGTGACCTCCAGCGGTTAGAGGTTCGCGGTAAACTCGGATCTAAAACTCTCTATTAATGTAATATGACTTCTAAGTAGAGAACAAAGTTAGCCTTGTTTTCTGAGTGGTCTAATGTACGCGCACTTTGATCCGTTGAAATGTTGTTACTGGTCAGGAGTGGTTCATGAGAGGTCAAATTTCACTGCAGATGGCGAGTGTACCGTACTTGAATATATATAGTGGACCTTTGGAACGAGTTGAATCTGAACTAGGTTGTGTCTAGTATTTTGTTCGAAAGTACTAATGACCCTCTGTACAGGACTTTTGACAAACTACTTGACCCGGAGAGCGGGGAAATTAAGGGCGTTTTAAAACCAGGCCAATGTTCTCCTGGGGACCGGGCGGCCAGGATGTCAATTGACTGTAGCATAAGACGTTTGAGATCGTTTGACTGTGCTGGAGCAGCCTGCGCTACTTACATGTGTTTGTGCAGGATTTTTTTTTCCTCGGGGCAGGGGTTGGCAGGGGTGCATGGGTTAAGCGGAGGCGTAATGATGGGTTGTAATGGAGGGGCGAGGAAGAAAGCAGTTTCCGCAATCTGTTTACTGTCTTCCTGTAATAATAATAATAATAATAATAATAATAATAATAAATATAATAATAATAATAACAATAATAATGATAATGATAATAATAATAATAACAATCAGTAAATTTATCGCTTATATTGCGCAAACTTCATTATGTGCATATGATCCAATGCACATATTTACATCCAAAATCATAAACAAAAAATTATAAAAACAACATGATTAAAATATACAAAATATCTATTGGACCTAATAAAAAGCAAGTTTAAAAATGTGACGTAAGAAATATTTAAAAAATTATGTAAATGTAAACTATGTAAAAAATTTCACGATAAAAATTTACAAAATATCTATAGGACCTAATAAAAAGCTAGTTTAAAAAATATGTCTTAAGCAATGTCTTAAAAGTATCAAAATTTTCCTCTTTACGAATATTAACGGGCAAGCTGTTCCACATTTTTTGTGCAGCAGCCAAGAAGGTAGTCCATGTACGTTCCGCCTTTCTGCGCAAGCGTTTAGCTTTATGTATGTCCTCGTTGTACCATGGCACACTAAGTCTTGCAACCCGTACGGTCGTTGCGATGGGGCGATTACTTTGACGTTCAGTATTGAATTTATTTGTCAAATGTGTAGTAAAGCCTCGGAAAGGTAGGCGTACCGCATGAAGTCCATTTTTGTCCCTGATGCCCTCCCACTCAATGCATTTGAAACCAAGATGGCTGCACGTTGTAGTAAACACCAAGAGCCAAGAGCCATAATGGTCCCATTATGGGTCTTGGCACCAGTTAAGGCCCTTTCACTTAAGTGTAAAACAAAACTTTCTTAGCGAGCCCCATGTTGGAACGAAATCTGCCACGATTTATTTTCTCGCTACCCATCACATCCCCGCATGTCTCGTCAATCTAAAAATAAAGAACTAGGTACGAAATCTGGGGTGTCGTGGAAAGGCCACTCGCGAGCGGCACCCAAGAAGAACTCTGTGAGATTGGGGTGGCCAGAGCTTGGCGCCTCTCCATGCACGCTTTGCTCGCCCCTCTACTCACAGGACGCAGGTTGGTACCGTGAATGATCGATTAAACGCCGCGGTGCTTATACGAGAGCGGTGCTTATTTCAACTACGTGTAAAAAACTGTGGGGAATATAGAGAGAATTAAGTGGGGCGCGTCGGCGCGTACAAGGTGTGCACAATTTATATAAAATATGTACACCTCGAGTTGGTAGAGGTCTTATTTCTCAAGTGATATGGTTTTAATACCTCTTTATATAAAGCGTCGTAACAGAAGGTGGGGCGTTAATTTGTAAATACCCAAATTAGCGCCGAGACGCTTATTAAATTATTTTCGGTAAAGGTGCGGCGCTTAATCGATTATTTACGGTATTCGATTTACAACATTTCTAGGCGGTCTTGCCATTGCTGTCCCCGGGGAGGTTCACGGTCTTCACAGAGCTTGGAAGGAATACCATCAGTTACCTTGGGAGACACTGGTCCAGCCTGCTATTGATTTAGCCAGAGAAGGTTTTCCAATAAGCGCCGCAGTGGCCGAAGCCCTGAGAGAAGAAGATATGGTAATGAAAATAAAAAACGATCCTGGGTTAAGGTGAGCTGTTTGATGGTAGTTATTTTCGCCTTTTTCTCATTCTACTCCTTTTACTATTATGCTGTCTTTGTTTGATTCAGCGAACTCCTCCTGGATAAAAATGGCAAGCCTTATAAAGAGGGGACTATAATCAAGAACGAAAAGTACGCTATGACACTGGAAATAATTCGAGACGATCCCGAATCTTTCTATAATGGGCCGCTGGCCAAGAAAATCTCACAGGATATAACAAAACGTATTCCAGACAAGCAAAGAAAGGGACAGGTAACTGAACAAGATCTGAGGAAGTACAAGACAGAGATCAGGGAGCCCCTAGAAATGGAACTGGCGGGAATGAAAATGCACCTCACTCCTCCCCCTACAAGTGGCGCTGTACTAGGTCTCGTCTTAAATATACTGAAAGGTAGGTAGGTGTTCTGTTCTCAGTCATCATCATCATTTATTTGCCATAGCAAAATATAAATAATGCAGTGAAACCTGTGTTAAGGTATCATCCACCCTCAAGCACCCTCCCCGCGTTGATCGGCGCTAGCGCTTTTGCTTTTAATAAATACCCCCATAAACCGTACATTTTCTGAAAGCTTAATAGTTCCAGATTATTGCTTATTCCTTTTAAAAAATCAAAATATTAACGCGATTCAGAAATGAGAAGCTTTTGTGAAAGTGGGTGTCACTGTAAATTTAAGTCCATGCCGGCCAACAATAAACGGAAGACGCCAATTAGGTCCAATTAAGATCGCATTCGCTTCTTAACACGTTTGACTAAAAAAACCGTGTCTCAGATTTTGTCAAGTGGGTTTGTTCTTTTGTTATAAGCAGTTGAAGTTAGGGATAGCAAATCATTAGCACTACTTGTGAAAAAATACTCTTACTCGAAAACGAAAAATCAGGAAAACGGTCGAAGGACGGGCCTCTGAGTTCGACTTCATCCAACTTCATTTTTTTCACGGTGACATACGAGACTCACGGAAATATGACACTTTCCGCGGGAAACAAGCCGTTCTATTTATAAATCTACTCGGGAAAGGGTTGACTCAAGAAATTAATGGAGATGGAGGCTCCATTTGATGGGCTCCTGGAAAAATGAAATCGGCAAAATTCGCAGAAACGGTTTTTTAGAAAAACTATCTGACAGTAAGTTGGCCAAATTTCAGCAAATTGGTTCACGGGTTGCCGACTTGGAGCTTTAAAAAACGTACTCGCAACTTGCCCTGATTTTCATTTCCAGAAAACCACAGGTAGCCCAAGCTCGAAATATGAGCATCGGCGAGCATCGGCATTGTTGCGTAACATTCAAAATATAAGGATTTGTATGGGAAAAAAACCTATCGTTTCCGTAACCTACGAAAATGAAAGGATTTCAATAAAAAACAGCTTACCTTACTTAAAATGTGTGTTACGTCTCTCCTGTGTGGTCCACGGGCCGACTTATGGCCGTTTTATGGTGTTTTGCGTTCGAGGTACGTGAACGCAACCCGTAATTTGTATTGGGTGTTCTGTGCATTATTGGGTATCCTGTGCAATTAATAAGGGCGTTTTTTTCGAGATTGCATTTTGGTTCGTCGTCGACACACATTTGCCTCGCTTTGAGGCGCTTGCTTAAGTTTTGCCTCACTTTGACGCGCTAACTCATGTGGTGATTCTTGTGTCCTCGGCGTTCATCTTTCAAAGGTTTGCTAAGATCTGATATTCTTCGTAAAGCGTTCATCTTTTAAAAAGTTTGCTGAATCTTCGTAAAGCGTACATCGATCTGTGATTGCTGAATCGTCAAAAGCGTTCATCTTTCAGGAGTTTGCTGTTAAATTTTACTTTGGATTAAGCCTCCATATTTTCAGCATGGTTTGTCACCGTCTTTGGAAAATGTCTGCGACTACTGGTGCATGCATCAAACCGGGTTTAGTTCGGCGGCCGTTATGCCATAAAGTAAATTTACCGAGTTGTGTAGCTCGGCGGCCGTTTCGTCACAAAGTAAATTTACGATTTGTGTAGCTCGGCAGCCCTTGTGCCACAAAGTAAATCTACCGAGATGTGAAGCTCGGCGGCGCCATTTGACGATGACTTGTGATATTTTCGGCACCGGACAAACGAACACTTTAACTCTATGTTATTTATTAGGAAAACCTTATAAATCAGCCCACAGTAGCGCCACTCTCGAGTCACTGAAATCAACACGCTCGACCAAATTACTGGAAAAGTTATTGACGTGAGCCGCACACACGTTCCATTGAAGGCTTTGATAGGGTTAGTGCGAAGGTTAAATTCAGATGTGAAAGCTTTTAAACCAGTAAATTCAATGTAATTCATTTTATCAACAAGTTGATGATTGCATGCTCTTAAAAATAACAGAGAAAATTATCCGAAGAAATGTTTTGGAAGAAAGAAAAAGAATCCCTGGTTGAGCACTAATCGGCCTTTGAGCAATTGCGCCCTGTAACTCGCGCCAGTAAAACAAACTGTTCTATCTACAATGTCTCCGCCTGGTCTCCTCCGATTACAAGCACTTGACACCGAACCATACGATATCTTTTCAAAACCTTCTAATAATGATACACAGTTTAAAAAGAGGTTTCGCTGTACGCAACCCTTAAGTTCAAAATATGTCATAATCATATTTATTTATATCGCAACCACCCTTCCCCCTTAACTGCCACCTGTACGCCTAACAAACATATCGAACGCACTCTCCTAAGCTCCAATTACTCCTAGTTATGTAAACAGTTTTCTCTATATAAAGGTTAACCGTTATATAGAGAGGAATTGAAATCCTTTCATTTTCCTAGGTTACGGAAACGATAGGTTTTTTTCCCATACAAATCCTTATGTTTTGAATGTTACGCAACAATGCCGATGCTCGCCGATGCTCATATTTCGAGCTTGGGCTACCTGTGAGAAAACAGGGGAAAAAGATTTTTGGCGGCGTATTACCCGTGTCGAGATTATAACAGATTATAACACCAAAGCTGTCAATGTTTATGCATACCAGAAAAGGGACAACAATAGTGACACAGCAAGAAAAGGTTACAAACGAAACCCGACAACAGATGAACAATTTATAATTATTTCAAAGCCCGGGGAGGGCACTTGGGTATTTTTTGGGTGGGTATGTGCCGCCCGGGACTCCAAATTGGCACCCCGTTCTAAAAAAAAATTCCCCTGAAATTGATACCCCGTTCTAGAAATGGGCCAATTTTTTATACCCCGTTCAAGAATTCGCCCTAAAACTAAAACCCCGTTCTAGAAATGGGCCCAGTTTTTATATTGCGTTCTAGAAAGTTTGTAAATTGAAATAGTCCTGTTTTTTTAAAAAGCTATTTCTTTATTTGTTCGACTTATACATCAAATAAATACTTCTTCATAATCAGCAACAATTTTAAGAAGAGAATAAAGCCGTGATCCACAATTTTTTATACCCCGTTCTAGAAAACGCCTCTGAAATGGATACCCCGTTCTAAAACAGGAGCTTCAAAATCACGACCCCGTTGGGCGGCACATACCCGTATAGGTAATGTATGGGAGTACCCCCCCGGGTTTCAAAGGCTCTGCTCTGTTCGATCCTTCTGTTGTCGAGAAAGCATCTTTAGTTGTTTGGGACGGGCAGATACTGATACATTTTCTAAAAGTTCGACACTTCCCTGGAAAAATCGATAACAAACCGCTTCCTGGAGTTTTCCTTGAAGCTGCTCTCCCGCAATAGACTTTCAAAAACGTCCTTCGTCCGATTTTTATATGGTGCGGGACCTGTCGCGAATTTGTCACTCGCTTGGCTGCTGCGCGGCCTAAAAAGCTCGCTCCGCTCGCTAAGGAACTCGTGAAACTCGATTTCGCGGTGGTTTCAATGGGTTTTTCAGAAGCTTTGTCATCTTTTAGCCATTTTTCTTGATTGTAGTAGGAGCCCTTGTCGCTCTCTGCTAATTTCGAAGCCTACACTTTCCAAAACGATTTTGTCGTCTTCTTTCGTGTTGGAGTCGAGGACGAAAACGGACAAGCTCTTTTTTCTTCTTTGGAGGCATCCACTTCCAAAATCCAGGAAAAAACAGTGAGCACTTTAATTGATCACTATACTTGTAGACCACGATTTCTAGACTACGAGTAGTCGCCCATTTTTCCTCAGGGACAGTAGAGCGAGGGAAACGCGAGCGCGCGTGAAAATCACCCCACGCGAGAAAAGTAGACACGCGGCGGGGAGAGAGAAAAATGTGCCGCCTTTTCTCGCGTGGGGTGATTTTCACGCGCGCTCGCGTTTCGCTCGTTCTACTATCCTGAGGAAAAATGGGGGACTACTCGTAATCTAACGATTTCTGTCAAATTGCGTGATTAGCTTGGTTCAACAGCGGCATGCGTATCAAGTATGACAGGACTTGTTAACGATCAATTAAAATAATTAGCGTAGAAAAAACTTTTGTGCTCCATAAGTCTGCACAGAAAAAACATTTTTTCCTGGATTTTTTTTTAAAAGAAAGCTCTTGATGAGCTCTACTTAATCATCTAAACATTTAAAATTTCGAAAAATGATGATTTTTTTTACGCGGGATGATACCTAAAACGGACCCATGATAAGCGATCAGATATACTGACGTAATTCCCTTTTAAATACTTATCTGTTAAAATGAATAATTATGAAAAAGGAATTCCTCTGTCAATTTGTACAGCATAGAAGAAATAGAATTTTCATTCACCAGCAGGTTTAAAAGAGCGCTGGTGCGGAGCTCCCTGAATGTACCATCAGCTACACTTATTTAAAGATCTTTAAAAATTATAGGTTACGACTTGACTTCATCAGCTCGTGATGGTACGAAAGCCTCCGTGTTGACATATCACCGGATCATTGAAGCTTTTAAGTTTGCTTACGCATGGCGAGGTCAACTTGGAGATCCCGATCCCAGGTTTAATAAGAATAAGAAGATAAACCAAGTAAGCGAAAGATACTTCTTTCTAACCCTCCTCCCAGTTGCACCTTCAGCGGGGGAGAATATGGAATCTTACTGTTCTCTTTAGAATATGCAGCTTTGAAACTTTCTTTTTTTGTATTTAGCAATAAATCTAGTTGCAGATTTCGTCAATTTGAAAAGCCCCTTATTTAATAAGGTATTCCGTGTCTAAAAGACAAAGGGCAAAGTAAGTTTCATAGTTTTTGTAAACTACCGGATAAACAGCTATAACCGTTGGATAAAAAGAGAAAAAAAGAATCTAATGGATACATTTAATCTCAGGGGGGTTCGGATCCCTCGAACTCATCTCCTTCATGATTCGCCAGAATATACGTACTCTTTCTTTCTATGGCCATTCCTTCTCTCCCCCTCCGTCCTTAGTGTACAATAACACAAAATATGAAGCAACTCGAAGCATTGCGAAGTTGCATAACAGGCTCTGGAATTTTCAGCGCCGAAATCTTGTTGACGTCTTTCCTCTGCACATTGAGCAAAATATGACCGATAGAACAACAACTGGGCGGCAAGCAACATAAACTAATTAATTACTACGCGTGGGTCCATTTTAAACCCATCTTCTGCCTTTGACAGGCGTTGTCCCTCCCACCTGCTACAGAAGCCAATCTGATATATACAAAGTTGTTAACTCTAGAAATTTTCCGTGCCGAATATGTCTACATTTTTCTTTTCAGATTGCGCAAAAGATGATACAACAACAGTTTGGTGACGACTTGCGAAGAAAAATAAAAGATAACGGGACATACAAAGATGTGTCTTTCTACGCGCCCTCATATTCTGATGCTGATTATGGCACCACACACCTGGCGGTTTTAGCAAAAAACGGTGACGCAGTTTCAGTGACATCCACTATAAATTACAGGTTTGTTTAGTAAAAGACAATGGGTCTGGAGAAAACGCTTATCCTAAATCAGGAGCCGCCTAAATTTCGTATTTACTCGAGGTGACGCCTTTTTTCCATACTCACTGAGAGGTTTCAAGAGGATGGGTTCGGATGTGATTGATTGCTGATTGGCATTTCTCGCTAGATATTTAGAACAGGATGAAGTTTTCTCTAGACGTAAATCTTAAAGTCTACCGGTGCCTTTGGGAATATTCATGGTCACAGAACCTGTCACGTGGTCAAAAATTCAAAATGAATAATAACAGGAGCCGATTACGGCTCCTGATAATAAGAGACGTAATTATTCATAAAAATATTTCTTCGTTTATGATTGGCTCAAATCCCCCAGCTAACTCTTCATAACCAGCTAGCATTGACCAAATCCAGAAAAGGTTTGTGATATCTGTAAAATTACCTCAATAACTGGACAGGGTATCGAGGGAAAGAGGGACTGGACTGTAACCGAGAAGACCTGAGACGAGGCTTCTAAGCTCAGATGTTTTGGTAGAGCTGGAGAAAAGGGCACCAGAAATTCCACACGTTTTGTGGACAGCAGCAAAAATTCAAATCGACGGATGACAATTGCTATTAAATTTCGTGTACCTTTCAGACAGGGACAAAGAGACTATAACAATATAAATTATCGTCTGCCAGAGCTCTGAGAGCTGGTTTGCACGTGACGTCACGGCGGCCATGTTGGAGGTTAAGAACAAAAGCATTTCTCTCCTCCGGGAACTAAACCCCATTTTCATGCAAATTCTTCGAGGAAAAATTCTATTGTATTGATCCCCCAACATGGCCGCCTTTTGACGAGGTTGCAAACTAAGAATTAGTACATCTAGACATCACCATTGTCGCTCTTGTTTACGAACATGATTTCTGATCTTGACAGATTTGGATGCCTATATCGATCCACCCTCACTGGGATTATCTACAATAATCAAATGGCAGATTTTGATATTCCTAAAAGAAAAAAAGGTGGCGTTAAATCATCTGAGGTTAATAGTCCAGAAGCATACAAGCGGCCTTTCTCGTCCATGTCCCCTGCCATTTTGACGAATGATAGTGGTGACGTACAGCTTATAATTGGTGCGTCTGGAGGCAAAAGAATTGCCACAGCTGTCTCTCTGGTATGACATAACCTTATGAATTTCAGTTAAACTTCAATTAAGCGGCCACCCTCGGGGTATCAGCAAGTCGCCACTTTTGATGGAGATTGGCCGCTCAATAGAGGTTTGTCATAAATTAGCATAATCTTTAGCTGAATCATCACGCGACGGGAGCGACATTTATATTGGTCCAGAATGAGTCGTCACCTTCATTTTTATCTCGGACATGATTTTCCTTTATCACATTGTGAAGATAACACCAAACTAAGTGTGTTAAGCACTTGGTGACCGATCAATGCATTATGGAGGTGACAACAATACAATGAACAAGAAGAGAACGCTCCTCCGGATGGCCAAAGGTGACTAATCTGCTACACAGCCGTTTTTAGTGTCATCACGCAACCCTCCGCCCCAAACCGCTTAACAGTGGTTCATTTACAGTTATTTTCTAAAACTATTTCGGGCCTTTGATTACTGACCGCTTAACAGTGGTTGGACGCTTAATGGAGGTTCAACTGTGCTAGAAATGTTGTAAGAGAAATAAAATGCATTATTCTGCGATGCGAGCGAGCAAACACTCAGTGTTTGTTTTCCCGCCATCTTTTTCCCGCCCTTGATATAGAAAACAGGATGGAATTGGGAGAGAGCAGAAATGCTTACGGGTAGTTTAGCTACAAAGTCATCTTGCCACAAGTTGCGATAGTTTCGCTGCATATCGAAGTCGTTTCGCATAACTTTGGAAAACATACAATAATCTGTGGTTTTAGCAATCGACGTGAAGTAAGAGCCACATAATTAAGCCTTAAAGTGACACAGTCAGCTTTGGGACCGCGCTGACCTGAACACTACTTTTGCCGGTTTGAAAAGGGTTTACCTCAATCCGAAATCAAATCTATGCGTCGAATACATCTAGAAATCCGCCTAGTGTTTCATTCGATGTTCGATCTTTTACGAAAGTGCAAAGCTTTTTTTTGTGCCAACTTTTACTCATCCTCCTACTACATTACTTTATCATATTTGGTTAAAAACAGTCTCCAATTGAACATGAAAAGAAGAGGTGAGAAACCAGAGGGCGCCGAGAGGGAGAATTCGCTTTGTTAACCAAATAACAAGAGAAATGAATCAATAACATTGCAGAGCGAATAATCGTTACAGGTAATTGGAAAATCGATGTAGACAGGTCACATATATTTGGAAAATTGAGCTTTCTTGACGTTGAACCTTCGACGATGATTCAGACTTCGTGTCATTTCTCACCTTAGCTGATTCTTCGAATCAGGACGTACTCGTCGATGTTTGGCTTTCCCTGGACAAATCAATCGGTGAATTGTCAATGGTATATAAAAAATGAGTGCTTTGATATGGCTTAGGGTCTATAATCACGATTTTGACGTCGACTTGCAATTTGTTCAACTCCACAACATTACTTCCTCATGCTTATATCCTGGGCTCCATAATTTATTCAAACAGGACAGTGACCAACACGAAAGTCACGAAAGCTTCGGCTACTTTGGTCACTGTGCACATATCAACCAACTTGTACATCATATTTACTTTCCATTAGTTACGAATTTATTTCTTCTGTAATCTGTCGTATTCTGTATAAATTGGGATAGTGCGCAATAAGCCTTTTTTTTGGTTTTAAACCTGTTGCCAGGTGTTTTTTACTGTTATTATTATATTTTTTTTTTAGCAGTTACAAAAAAAAAATTAAATTAAATAAAACGAAATAGAGAAAAAATGGAGAAAAAATACAATAAATAAAAGAAAGAGAAAAAAACTAGGCATAAAGCCGAGGAAATGAAGCATTAATGCTACTACTATCACTACATCATTACTACGCTAAACAAAAACACAACGCACAACACACCTACATCGCTATACACTAACACTAAATACTAAGCACGAGACACTAGGCAAGCGCCACCTGAGCGAAGAAACAATTGAAATAAGAAAAAGCTTCATTACTGGAAGTTGTTGTGAAACAATAGCTGCGCATGTAAACACAAAAATACTTTCAAACACAATTTAGAACAATAAAATATAAAAATTGCGAACGTAGCCAGAAAGAACTGTTTAAACTACGCGAGAATGTGTCGATGCTCTTTTCCTAATCCTTGTTTTTAAGCGGAAAGGAAGTGAGCTCCCCTTCAAAAAAAACGATGCAATAAATTTGAAATTGGTAATTAAATCCTGGAAAAGCTAGTTTATAATAAAAGCGGTGAAAGAAATATATAGAATTGAGAAAAAGGCATGTATAATAAACAAAGAATAACAAACGTCCAAACAGAATTACGTGTACTAAAGTCCATCGATCAGCAACTTGTAAGGCTCAGATCTGCTAAAAGCAGCCCTCTTTCCTTGCTTCCTGTCTTCCAACATCTTGGGGATTAGCTTCTTTCTCATTTCCACGACTTGTTTCGGCAGATCAGGTCCTATTACAAAACCAGATTCATCTTCAAGGCACGAGCGGCGAGAGAACACTTCTTCGCGGGCAGGGTATCTGAGGAAGCGTGCTATGATCCGGCTCTCGGTTCCCGAGGATTACGCTTTTCTTTTCCTACTCGGTGGACTCGTTGGAATTCGATCCTGCGAGCATCTTCGATTCCCAATTCCGTTTCACGGAAATTATACAAGGTTTCCTTAGTGTTCTCGTCCTTGCCTTCCTCGCACGCGGATTCCGTAAAAGCGCAAATTTTCCCGGCATACTTCAAAATTCAAAAGTTGCAGTTCGTTCCAGTTTGCGATGATCTTCCTCGGTTTTTTTCCTAAAAACTTCCAAGCTTGACTTTTCTTCTTCGACGTCCTTGTTCAGGCTACTTACACTATTCTTCAGTTCATTCATCTCTCTGGAAGCAATTTTTAAATCATTCTTGATCAGTGCAACCTTATTTTCCGAGGCACTTATGGTAGCATTTATTTCATCGACGGAATTTTGGAGTAATTTAATTTGCAAAGTAATGGCATCCAGTTGGGTTAAGTTAGCCAATAGTTCGTCAGCTTTGGAGGTGAAGATTGGTGCCATGTGTAGTGCTCTTAAGACAATGTCGCTTTGCTCGGCTTCGGCGTCCTCCGGGATCGTCAGGATATCCAAGTCTTCAAGTTCTTGCTCTTCTCTCCTATGTTTAAATTCAGGCGAGTTACTGCTACTATCACTGCTGCTGTTTCTGCTCTTTCGCTTGATTAAAGACAGCAATTCCATATGATAAAAAACAGAAAAAAAAAAACAGAAAAAAAGCGAAGTTTCCTCGGGAGCTCACGCATCTACATCCTTACACGTCCGATCCATGCTCGACACCAGTCCCTAGTGCGCAACAAACTTGACTTGACTTGTTCGACCGTATTCCGAATACGCTTCTCACTTTTTGTGAGTCAGCTAAGAAATGGTATATAATGCGCATGTGCATCAGCTGACTGTGTACCTTTATGTACGAGCAGGAGCCCTTACGAGCCATGACTTGTATCAAAATTGGTGGCTCTGAAAAGAGCTGTTGGTTCAGTTGTTATACCTTTTGTGTGCGGACATCGAATTTCTCACGTCCAAGAGTAGAGAATTTCCTAAATGTGTGTGATGGGGAGCTTCATTTTGTAATTCCATAGAGATATCGGACCTAATTAGTCTTCTACTTTCGCTGTAGTCTCCATTTCTGTATTCTTCCCTTCTTGTCTATACTCGTCAGTTCATTACTCGCTGAAACTAGCCTGATCTGTAGGCGGGAATGTTAACAAAAACAACCAAAAAAGGAAAACTTTATTTCTCCACGGTGGAAGAATCAACAGGCAAGGGAAAATAATCACAAATAATATACTAGGTCTGATTAAAGCTAAAAATAATTTTATAGTAACAATAATAAGAATATAATATTAATAATAAAAATATAAGGTACCTTTTTTCATGAATGCCTACAAAATGGTTATCGTCCGTGTTTTTAAAGGAAATCACTACAGCCGGATTTAAATTAAAGAGGAAAGCAGGGAAACTATTCCACGGCACCAGACCTCTGTAACTAAAACTACTTTTGGCATTTTGGCATAATTGATAAATGTCATTGGAAAAGTTAGCTTTCCTTCGGAACCCTATGAGATTCATAACTAGAGTATTTCATTACGATGAAAAAAAAAAGAATGCAAATATTGCAGGGCGAGACCATTCAAAGACTTGTAGACCATAGCCGCAGTTTAAATTTTCCTTTGAGTTGGCTTCATGGTGGATTGATTTAAGAGTAGGTAGAACGGACAGTGGACTCAACAAGCGTTTCAGTTATTACTATAAACACAATCTATTTCATGATGCATGTAGTGAAACGAAATATGTTTTGCAGCGAATCGACTTCATGAAGTGGAGGCAGCGAGGCCTAGCGGTTAGAGCGCTGGACTTGTAATCCGGAAGCTCCGAGTTCAAGTCCCGCCCTAACCGTTATTAATAGGGAACTTAACCACCAGACGTTCTTGGCACCACGGACGCCAACCGGAAGTATTTTTGCAGCATGACGGCCACTGCACATGAAAAGACGTTCTTGAGCTGCGGTCATGGACTTCAAAAACGCGAGTTCTCAGGTTGAAACCAGCGGTTCAAATTCGGGGTTCTTTGAAGAGTATTCGTCCTACAAAAGTAGAAATTCTTCGTCTGAAATCATCTTTGAAAGACCTTTTCAACTGAATTATTCTGTTGCCGTTCTTGATGGTTTCACGTTGTTTTGCGTAATGATTTGCATTTGGCGCGCAAACGGCGTCCCCGATCCAGTTCTGCGCGGCCAGGCATGCATGCCGTTCGTGAATCAAGCACGTCTGGTGCTTTAAAGTTCCGTAATATTATTATAAACGACCAGACTCTTCAGAAATAGCAGTCAAAGGGTTGGGCATGCATTGGGGTGAAATAAAGATCCCATGATTCCCATCCCCGCCTTCTTTGACTTGTCACAACTTCAGGGGCATTTGTTAGTAGGCTATTGAAATTAAACAACTCACTATTTATTTGTTTTGTCTTCAACTTGGGCCCAACTCAACAAAATGAAGCGTTTTTTGCATTACCCCAAATACCCGAAGTATCCCACCTAGTTTTCATCACTTACAATTTATAGTGATTTTTCACGTAAATCAAAACACGTTGAATGAACTTCATTAACTGTATCAACTGCATGCTTACCTTATAATCGTCGGAGGTCGCCAGTCTGTTAGAAATTAACATAGTTGATAAGAGGGTAGGAGCCTTTTAGTCGGGTACACAGAGAACCAAAATGTGTCACCCACGAGCATTCTGTGCGTTCTCGCCTGCCTTCCCTGCCCCCTTCCTTATTTGCCCTCTGTGAAGTCTGTGACTCTGATCGTAGATTGTTGTTTGATGGATTTTTACTGTCATTCATAGGTGTTGATGAACAAGGTTTGGTTTGGAAAGTCCTTGTCGGACGCGGTTGATGATCCTCGAGTTCACCAAAACCTTGTACCAGAAATGAACGTCGAAGTTGAAAAGAAGAAAAAGTATCGTCTTCGTAAGAATATACAAGATGGCTTAAGAGCGTTCGGACACAAAGTAGTGGTGGCAAGTGACAGTGATTTCGCTGTGGTACAAGCCGTGTATCGAAAAACTGGAGAGGGCATTTATGCAAAGTCTGACCCAAGAAAATATGGAGCTCCCGCGGGAGCCTAACATGTTTGTCCCAAAGTTAACGGTACTGTTACCGTAAAACTTCAGGTTATAACTTCAGGCTATAACGCTGGATTCAATAATAGTTTTATTATTCATTCCAAATATTTCTAAGTTCTTTACAAGCTTGCCTCCTTGTAGACTTTCTCCTAAACAGGTTAGCCTATTTCTTGACACAGTTCCACGCTATAGAGTGTTTTCACATGACGTCACGGCGGCCATCTTGGTGTCCCAAAACAATGAAACGGCGGCCATGTTGGTGTCCCAAACCAGTCCTGTGGGAGTGGAACTCTTTTCTTATGCAAACGCTTTCTTTTGTTCCGATAGATGCTGACCACGTGAGTGCAAACACTCTATAGATCGCTAGATGTCTTTTCTTGGATACTCCTAAAAACGTAGATAGCATCCATCGAGCAAAATGTTTTCTGCTTTCTTGCATTTCTTCCGTTAGTTTTTGGTGAGAAATTCAGCCATTTCGTATTCGGAAAGCCGTGAACGCTATTTTTTAGTTAATTTGTGCCATGAAAACAGTTTGGCGGCCGTGCCTGGAAGCGAGGTTGATCGATGGTCTATTGCCTATGTAACTCAGTTTGCAACAAATACACCATTGATCAGCCTCGTTTACACCATCGAATCGATGGTTTTTTGCTCGCATCTTCCAAATTTGGTCAGCGCTGGTTGGTTATGAAGAATTAGTCAGGGGATTAGAGCCAATCAGAACGGCGAAATATTTTGATTTTAAAATACAATCAACAATATTAACTTCGCCGTCTGCGTATATTTGATCAACTCAAGGTATTTCAAAATTTTTTGTTATTCCCCTCTAAGCCAACTCGGATATTAACACCCACCTTCCCCCCCGTCCCCCCGCCCACCTTGCCCTTTTCATATACAACACCACCCAGAAGCCCTTACGAAGTTTTAACCGGATTTTACGGTAACTTAAACTATCTAACGTTTTAGCACAGTAATAAAGCTTTCTAATCTTTATCGCATTAAACGCCATGTAGAGGGGGAAATGTTTTTCAAAAGGCCAACTTTTCCAAGTTTAAGTTGAAACGCGCGCATCGGTTCACGCTTTACTTGATTTAAAAATGCCATCAGGAATACAGTCAGAAGTTACACTATACCCAATTTGGCCTTGATGTTTTAGTAAATTAAGCTGTTTTAAATCGTGAAGAATAGTTTCAAAGAATGCATTTTTGCGCGAAATGTAGTCAAAACTTGCTTGAACCTAAACACTTTTTTAACTCAGTAGTTTTAACTCCTAGGTTTACAAGAAACCGTCAAGCTTTGGTATCAAGAGACCTTTTCTTGTTCCCTGTCTCCAAATATAACAATATATGTGGTTTGTCTACAGCTTGACATAGAGTAAAGTGTTACATGCATTGCGTTAGAGTTATATCTAAGCTTTCTGAGGGGAAAGGATATGATCTTGTGGAGCTACAACGTGACAGCTACGACGTTTGAGTATTTTTTGATAGGTTACAGATGGCGTTCTTTGAACTCCACGATAAACATCACCCAATATCTGGCTTAGAACATGTAATAAAAGTTTGAGTTGAAATTCGGTTGTCAGACTTATGCAAGATTTTGGTTTGAAGGGAAATGTCATGTTCAGACAGATACTTGATGCCTCATAGTTCAACTATGCCAGTCGATATCCTACAAAATAGACACGCTTCAGTTGTGGATGCAGACTTTGATGAGGTTGGGGGGTGTATCTTGCGAAAATTATCATTTCCTCGCTTATGGTGCAAAATATTGGGCGGAACCTAGATAACCACTGCTTGGCTGAAAGGGAAAAACAACAGTTAGAAAGGCAGATCAGATAACGTAAAATTCCGAAAATAAGCGCCTCCAAATATAAGTCCCCCAAACTCGCAGCGCAAAAACCCCTTTGTTAAATCGCCCCTCGGAATATAAGTCCCCGGGCTGCGGGGGCTTATACTTCTTGGAATTTCCCTCAAATACAAAATATAACAAATTAAAAACCTTGCAGTAACACATAAATTTTTCTATTTGCCAAAGAACTATTATTACGTGTGCCAAATGGTTGTAGTCAAAACGTTTCACAGTTTATTGCTGGTTTGCGTATGGATTTCCTCGGTCCGTAGACAAAGAACTTGCAAGGAAGTTCTATTCCGCCACCCTGCACCCAAGCTCTTTCTGGTGATCGTCGCTATTCACCTCATTGTTATCTTCACGATGATAGAATGAACTGTTTCATCTTTTAGTATGGGGAAGATATACGTCCTCAGGGCGAGTTTTAGTAAAAACTTCGTGCAAAATACTGACATGAATTTCTTTTCAACTAAAGATCATGATAAGCTAGCCAAATCGATTTTGAGACACAAATTTCCCTCCAAGTATAAGCCTAACCGATTTTTTAACGCAAATTTCTCTCCGTATATAAGCCCCTTTAAAGGGGCCTTTGAAAAATATAAGCCCCGGGCCTTATTTTCGGATTTTACGATATTTTATTTGTATAATCAATGGGAGAAAAAAAGAGGTTCTCTTAGTTATAATTCTATACCAAATCTTAGCTCAAACGTCAGACGTCCGGGGCTTAAGCTCAGTCAACAAAACCGAGCGAAACCAGTCACTTCAATAGAGAGGAGAAGTGTGATGTCACGTTACCATGGTAGCAAATGTCTGGATGACAGCAATAGGGAGTTTTTGCAACGGCGACGGCGAACAGCAAAAAAACAGTAGGTTTAGACTGGCAAAAAAACAACTTTGCACGTGCATCACGCTTGTTTGTACATTTCTTAGCCGTTCTTGCACGACTGTAGCCTCCCACGCAGGCGTTTTTAGGGGAGGTCGTTTTTCATCCCTCCTGGAGAGGGATGAAAAACGATTTCTCCTAAAAACGCCTGCGTGGGAGACTAGCATGACTACGACATGAAACCTCCTAATTTTACGCGCCTGTATAATGGAGTAGGTGAGCACAACACATTAAAAAGTTTCTTTTTCTTTTTCTAACCTTAGACACGGTCCTTTCGGATTTAACCGAGAAAATTTCGCGAACATTTGACAAATTAAATGAAATTAAATAAGATCGATGAAGTTTGAAACAATCCACTTTATTTTGGTTTCTTGTCATCCAGAAATTTTGCTACCATGGCAACGTGACTGGGCCTTTCTCGATTATGCTAGTAAATCTGGCATTTAATGCTACTAGAAATTCTCGCATAAAGCCAAAAAAATGCTAAAATAATGCCTGATTTCTTTTTAAAAAAAATGCCACTTGAATTCCAAAAAATGCTTTGTTTTATTTCAAACAAAACGTACAAATTCTTACATTATATGCTCATATCAACAACAGGTGATAATAATTGTTTGTTTATAAAACTTGGGGTCAGAATTAAAACTTTTCCAGCCAACAGCCACTAAACAGTCATATTTGAAGCACTACCATTCGCTGGGTACACACAACCTAGACTAGCACAATTCTGTTCAACTTCTAACTCACATAAAACGTTTACGTTTCAGTATACTGTAAGCAGCTGCGAGTGCTTATCGCTTGTTGTATTGTGCGATCACACTGGCTTGAATGTAATCGACGAGAGCGCAATCTTGCTGCTCATTGAATGAGGCTTTCAGAATTGAAAACACCCTTCTGAGTGCTGTAATCTGGATCACAGTCATGAAAAATGACAGAAAATGCTAGCAATTCTTTTTCAAGAAAAAACGAAAAAAAATGCTCGTTTTCCCAAAAAATGCCGAAAAAAATGCTAGTATAATCGAGAAAGGCCTAAACGTGACGTAACTACTTCTCCTCTCTATAGGCCATTTGCACTAAGATGTCATGTGACATATCCGTTTTTATGAAAATGAAAGTTATATGATTTTGACTTCAAAAAACCATTAGTGGCTTATATCTTAAACAAAATAATAGTGATCTAGTTTTTCAAACCAGCATCATTTTCTTAAGATGAGTAAGTTCCTAAATGGTCACGTGACCAAAATGTGATTTTGAAAACTATGAATTACCTCCTTCTGAAGAGAAATTTTGCACTTAAACTTCAAGGAAATTGTTGAGAAGATTATGTGTTAACGCTTTCATCACATTTGAGCGTAACTATCAAACGTTTAACAAGATAAAAGCAAAAAGTAGTTTTGGCCGCCATGTTGGAGGGTAAGAGTATACAAATCATGCTACTTTGTTGAAACATCAAAGTGCCATAAAATATCTCCGTTACATGCGTTTCCTCTCAAATTTCTGGTGTACGATAATTTTTATGCGCTCCGTCAAATTTTGGCATCAGCAAGATTCCAACTCATTGTTTAAAGGAAGCATTGGTCACGTGACCTCTTGATGCAAGTGGTACCTGCTTTGTCATTATGAGAGTAATAATTCTTATTTCTTTTGTATGTAATCTTGGTATATTATGCATGCCTTTTTAGGTCATTTAGCTGTTTCAAACTACTTTTTTCGAGGTGAAACTTCGATGTTACGAAAACGATATCTGTCAAATTAAAAAGCTTTTAAAGTTCGCGTTTTCTTTATAGCTCTCCAGAACAAATAATTATAGCAGTAGAGGACGACCAAAATCAACACTAGTGGATATCATTAGCTGGGTCTCAAGCAATTTTGGGCCCGCTCCAAGTTGTCCATGCCTAAAAATCTCCCTACAGTTATCGTCCAAGAAAACGTCTCGTGCCGGTGTATATATGGGACAAAAGATTCAAACTCGTCCTAAAACAGTTTTCTTTTCTTTTCTTTTTTTGTTTGTTTGTTTGTTTGTTTGATCCGAATCTCAAAACTGATGGCATTGCTCATGTTAAGGGCTAAATAACTTTATTCTTTGCTAGTCACAAATAAATTGTCATTTTGTCGAAAAAGAAAAGCCTTAGAGCTCTGGTTTTCCTTTTCTAAAACTAACAAGTTCTAGTTTTTCTCCCTAAGGTTTTGTTTTAGAAAAATTAAATGGTTCCGCCGGTTAATTTACTTCTTCTTGCTTTTTACTGTATAATTTTCTCATTACATGGGCTCGTTGAAGGAATCAGCTTCATCTATTAATGACATGTTCACGGCTTTTAATTCAACTGGGCAAAGAAAACACGAATATTGGGCTTCATAATTTACCGATACAAATACTGTATTTTTTCTAGCTGAATTAATCCGTTTTGGAGAGCAATTGTAGATACGCGTGTGTCATTGATTCAGAAATTGTGCGGGACGTCTTGCGTCAATAAGTGGACAGAAGTTTAAATTGTGCGATATTTTTTACGGTTTATTTGACAATTTAGTGAGTTTTACCACGACAACCTGTGTCGTGCCAAGGATGAAAAGGAGGCTTTTCAGTTCGTCTTTAAATTCAAATAACAGCATTCAATATGCTCTTAGCAAGCTGCCGAAGAAAATACTCTGCATAAAATCTTTTGAGTACTAACAAGAGCCACTCTCACTGGCTCTTGGTACTGAAAAAAAATGGTAAAATGGCGACTAAAACGGAAGCAGGGATAAAGATTTTCTGAAGCGAGAAAAACATGCTTCAAAAACAACAAAAACGATTTCGTAGTTAAATTCAAACACATCTGGTTATAACAGCTTGCGAGTACTTTGCCTTCTTTTAAGAAACTCCTGACCATCCTACGAAAGCTTAATTCCTTTCCACGGAAGGAAAATATCGACAACCTAATAGCAATTTAATTACAGTTCCCACAATGTCTTCCGCAAATTGACTTTTTGAATTATGTGTCAACACGTTTCCTTAATTCTTCTTTCAATGTCGAACTGTTTAAAGTCAAATAAACTGACCAAGAGATAAAGGAAAAAAGAGGATCGAGAATTTTCTAGGAGTTTTTCATAAAATATTGAAACACTCAGGTTACATTTACTTGAATAAAAATGTTCGTTCTTTCTTTTTGTATTTTTTTCTCTCAACAAAAGTCTTTTTAAATGGGTTAATGGCATAAGAATCAGCAGCACAGCTGTTTGATAAAGAAGAATTTCCCGCGAACGCCGGGAAGAAAAACAGCATTGCCTCTGTTTACGTGTTAATTCAAAACTGTAACTTATTTGCTGTTTGAATTAAACATTAAATTCAGTTTCATTTCCATGCTCATCTGTCAGCGACGAAGAGCTCTTGATACTTTTATTTTTACTATAAGCTCGTGCTAATTCTCATCTCGAGAGTTTTTAATTGATTACTAACTCGCTATTTGGTTAAAAACTTGTCATTTGTTTCTCGTTATGTGCGTTGAAGAGTGAATGTCACTTTAAAAGCGAATTTAAAATACCGTGTAACGTGAAAATTAATGAAATGGCGAATAATTCTCAACTCGTTTTGATTAATTTCTTTCAACAGAAGTCGATTTTTATTTCATGCGTCTCTTACGTACGGCCGAATTGATGGGATCGGAGCAAAAATTTACATTTTAACAAGAATATGTAAGAGAAAAAACTGTCGGCTTTTTCTTGTCAAAAAGGAAGGCCTTTGTTATCACCTTTGACATACACCTTGAAACTTAGTTGATCTGATTGCTGTCAATTCTAAGCTGCCTACTTGAACATATTTCTCATCTTGATATCCGGAATGTCATTTGTATTATCAATATTAAAGGCATTTTTCCCCGTCTTTAATTTTACAATTTTTTTCACAAGCGAAGCCATTTTTCATGCTAAAGTATAATCCTTCGCGGTGAATTCGGCTTTCTCACACTGAGCAGTTCGTAATTTATACAATGTATTGAAACGCTTTTTTAAAACGATTACTGTATATTACAATTCTCATTTACCGTGCAAACAGCTATGGTGATGTTAATATCTTTTTTGGCCCTGTTTTAATCGCCCTTTTTCTATAATTCTCGATTAAGGAGACGTTTTTCGAAGACGTCACAGGAAACACTTAAGTTTTCTTAACCAATAAATGGCTTTTCTCTACTATGATATCAAGCATGTATCTTTAACTTGAAAAGGACCGATTGAGGTACTCTGTGATCAAATTGTGCCTACACTTGTTTGGGCGGAAGGCTGTTTCTTATCGAAGTATTTTGTTTAAATAGCGTGCGAAATTCGCATCTGCGAATATTGTTTCGCAGTGAAGTCCTCATAAAGTGGTAATCTGGTCTCTCAGCGTGCTAGGAATTAGATGTAACCTGGAAATAAAAATAAACAAGTTCTCTATACTATTTCAAATTAAAGCCACACGAGTTAAGACCCCTTGATGACAGAATGAAAAAAAGAAAATTAGAAAAAAGAGCATTAAAAAATGCAAGCGACCCTCGATCTACTTCATTGCCCAATTTAAAGCTGTTTCCTAACGTCAAAGCAACGCTTTGTTTTCTAGAAAAAAGCGCGACATAAATATTCAACGAATGCCTCCGAAAGAAAAACACTGTTTTACTGAAAACAAAATTAATACACCTCACGTTTCAATGTTAATAATTCGGCTCGGCTAATCAATGATTGATCACCACCGTTCAACCGAGCTGTGACATGTGTAGCGATTTTAAGCTTTGAATGGTGCAGTAATATAAATCGCGAGGGGCGTTAATAAAATCACTAGGTCATTGCCCAAGCCCACATAGTACAAGATCTGCTATTGATTCGGGTGCGCGCTGAGTGCAGAAGTTGATTTATCGATCAAGTTGATCCCTGTTCAGTTCACGTCTTTTCAGAAATGGAGATTTGCGCTGTCTGCGGCGATCACTCTACCGGCCGACATTATGGTGCGAATACCTGCGAGGGTTGCAAATTGTTCTTCAAAAGAAGTATCAAGAAACGTTTGTATTACACTTGTAGAGTAGCAGGATGCTGTCCGGTAAACAAGCGGTACCGTAATAGCTGTCAATACTGCAGGATGAGGAAATGCCTTCGTGTGGGAATGAAGAGAGAAGGTGAGAATTATTAAAACGACATTTATTTTCCTTTCATGATTTAATTGTCTTGCATGGTTTGCCTCGCAGTAGGAAAATATGATTTCTGAATGGTGTCCAAATTTGCTCACTGAACCTTATTTTCAAGGTAACGACGGCTGACTAAAGCTTTTATATAAATCAGTTACATTGAGTTTTTTGGTGTGAAGAGAGACAAAAAGGCACATCTGCAGTTTCAGTTTTATTTAGGCTTATATTTTTTAATCAAATCTGTTTTCCAAGGTTTAAGAGAAGTTGAAAGAGGGTTTAAGTTGGAACCATTTAATAAAGCTAAAATATAAACTGGAATGAAAAATTTTCTTGATCTTGCTGAACCTTTTTGTCGTCAAGACGCAAGTAACGGGCATTTTTTCGTAAAATATATCATATATTTTTTTTAACTTAATTAAGGATTTGTTAATAACAAAATGAAATGTGAGGTAAACATAAGCTTTAAAACCAGACATTTCTTTATGATTTTAGAATGTTATTTTCGTTTTTTATTTTGCGTAAAAATGTTATAGTGGGCTTATTTCAGAAACAGGATGCTGTGCATCGTTCCGCAAGTTTAATTTCAAAAATAAAGCATGCATGGGCGTTCCTTTTTGAGTCGTTGGAGAGAAAGGAAAAACATAATTTTGCATGAATGTTTTGTTTGCTTTTAAGCTGTACAACAAACAAGAGCGCAAGATGTCGAAAAAGGAAGGAAAAGGGTCCGGCGGCAACAGATGAAGGGTGAAATTCGCCGAGAGACTGACTTCGTTTCGTTGTCTGATTTTGTTTATCATCTGCAAGCGGTGGAACCTTATCAAACGCCGCAAACGAAAAGCGAAGCAAGGTCGAATCAGGAGAAAAACATCCCTTACGACCTCGGTTCCAATGTCGCTACAAAATTACCGGTGCAAGAGAACTCAACAGAAATCGCCGCGCGTCTCCTGTTTATGTCGATTCACTGGGCAAAGAACGTTCGCCACTTTGCAGAACTCTCTCATTACGACCAAGTTATGCTTTTACAAGAAAACTGGTGCAAGATATTCGTGATTAACCTAGTTCAGTGGGCCATGCCATTCGAGTTGGCGCCTATAGTGGCTGAAGTCGTGGAAAAAACACCTCGGGAACACCTGGATCGAGTTCTTCATAACATTGGGAAGTTGAATGAAGCTGTTTTTAAACTTGTACAGCTGGAGTTAAACCGGGCTGAGTTTACTCTTCTGAAGGCTTTGGTGCTATTTAACCCAGGTAAGCTGAGAAAAGATTATTTTTGTCCGTTTATGTATAAAACTTAATGAGGAAAAATACGGTTCGACTGCCACGCATAAAACTGTCGTTTAATTTTATTGAGCTCTGTGCTATACCCAGACCTTTTGACCTATTACTATTAAAGTACTTTTCTTTTCTGACTTGTGTCTTTTTTTCAGTTCGACATCAGTATCTTCGTAAATTAACTAACAATTGCGTTCAAAACTGGCAATATTATAATACAAGAATACTTATCGGCTTCTTCAAATTATGATATGATATTCCAAAGTGAACGAGACGTGTTAAAGTGTCAAAACTTATCTGAAGGGCTTTTTAGATATTCCAGAGCAACGCCTTCTAAATCCTTTCACGAATGTCATTTTCAAGTTAAAGTACGTACCAAGGAAATTCAATCAAAAACTGCTTTAATTTCAAAGGTGTCATAAAAATATGGTGACATTTGATAATGCCTCCATAATTGTATTCAACGTTTGACAAATTTAAACTCTTAACACTAGTTCCCTGAAGAAAATAGTGCATCGCAGTTTTCCAATTCCAAATTTTGGTTTCTTACAAAGACTGGCCTTATTTTGGATCATAACAATATTCAGTGATCATTGGTGTGAAAATTAAACTGAACGTGAACCACCATCAGGTTATTTTGAAAATACATTGCACCATAATGCATAAATAGGGCATTCTAATAACTGGGAAATTTGGGAAATTTGTGGGGGGCGATATTCTATTAATACCTTAATCAAGATTTCGCTCGCCGTTTGCGGAGCATCAGCTAAACGTAATCCAAATTTTAACCTTATTCTTTATCTCTCTTTTAGGCAAGACCATTGCCTTGAATTTGTGGATTAAAAAATACGGTGTCATTTGCAACGGAAAAACAAATCCCTTTTTTAATTTATCGAAAAAGAAATTATCTTTCCGGAAGGGTGTTTCGGCTTCTCTTTATACATTCTAACTTTTGCCATGGAAATTAATCAGTTCGATTTCTCGCCTTTTGTACGTGTTCCTAAAATGCGGATTAACAAGGATTTTTTGAAAGGAGTAAAACACGACAGAGAATATACTGATTTTAACTTTTTGCCCAGTTAATCGTGCATGTATACGGCAATTAACAATGTCGTGTTTGACTTTGCCGCGAAAAAGGAACCCTTCCGGCAAATGCTAGTTTAAAATGATGAAATAATCGATTTACTGCGGAAATAACATGGATGAAAAACGACAACTTTGCCGACGAAGAATATGATTATAAATGCCACGCATTTCTCAGCCAGGTGTTAAGTCGGAAACTGTTTTTGTTCTTTTACTTGCAGTCATAAAAATAATGAACTTGTTATAAATGTTCGCGTGTTTCAAGCGCTATTCTAAATAAAATTGTTTGTAAACGAACATTGAAAGGCTTCCTCAAAACAACGGCTTTTTTCAATCGTTTAGATTTACTGCTTCAGGTGGGTTGAATGAACCACCTTTTAGCTTTGACCTAAACTTGACTAGTATTCTCTAATACTGCGTGCAATATAAGTTAGCTTCAATGTTAACATTAAAAGAATATTATTCTGAAGGCAGAAGTCTTCGTTGGTCTCTGCGATATCGCTGGAATGGATGACATTTCCACTTCTGCCTTAGATGGGAAGGAACGAATTCTTTGAAGAAACTCAAAAAAATGCGTGCGCTTAAGGGGGCGTTATTATCCGATAATCGATGAGAACATGAACACGAACACAAGAACACGAATGAACACGACCTTGTCTCCAGTGACTTTCCCTACTAAAATAAGAGAATTCGAAGAACGTCGATCAATCACATGGACTTTTTTTTTCTCTCATTGGTTCCAGTTTTTTTAGATAATTAATGTATTTTTCAAAATATGTCAGTTAACGCTGTAATGGTTCAAACTTTTCTACCAGGCGTGAGTAGGAATGAGATCGAAGTTTTCGATCCACAGGCGTGAAACTTGGCAGATGTACATTTTAGCAAATTATGGAACGTTGCTTTTGCTTTTTAGGGGTTTTTAAATAGCGCGACGAAACAGCTTAATCCATAGATAAATTAACGGCATCTGCAAGAGTCAGGAGAGCTAACAGTAGTAACGAACACAAAAGGTAATATAGCGCACTCGCCGTTTTTCTGGTAAACTTTGTAAGGGACAGACATTAAGCAACAGTCAAGAGAAGGTGTTTTTCAAGTTTCATTTATTAAGTACTAGATAAATATTGTATGCGACCATTCTGCGGCAGCAATTTCAGTTTCAAAACAGGAAAATATGTAAAAAAAATATCATATATATTTATCAACGATCTAATGGCTTCACTGGCGGGAATTCGTCTCTAAACTGAACCCTCGTCTGGACACAGAGTAAGAGCGTTCTCACATGACGTCACAGCGGCCATATTGGTGTTCCAAAACAATGAAACGGCGGCCATGCTGGTGTACCAAGACTGAATCCTGTGGGAGTTGAACTCTTTTCTTATGCAAACACTTTCTTTTGTTCCAATGAATTTGCATAGATGCTGGCCACGTGAGTGAAAACGCTCTATAGTTATTACAGACCTTTTAAGATTCTAAGATGAGGACGACCTCGAGTACAAGATTTTCTCAATACTCAACCACTGCGCATGCGTTAACCAGCGTCATTTTGGCGAGAAAACCGGATAGCCGTCTTCATTCTACTACATGTTTTTGCGAGCCTTTAATGTTGTATTGGCGGAGGCAAGTTATCAAATGTTAGAAGTTTTATAATTTTGCGATCGGGAGAGGGCTTCAACCTCCTTTTGTCAAAAATGACCGTGTTAACTTTTCTGATGAAAAAACTGAGTAAAAATAAACCTTTCCGTGGTGTCTGGTTTTTGAGAATATGCGAAAAAACTTTACTTCAATCTCGTCTTCGTAGTACTAAGTCCTCCGGCCGGAATCCGCAAATTAAAGTTCTCTATCAGAAGGAAAAAGTAAAAGTTTCTGACTAGTCGTTTCAAACCGTGAAAACTTGAACGTCATCCTTAAACCTTGCTATCTCATATTTTGACAGATATTGACCAGCTCTCTGATGCCGTCCAGATCCAAGCAGTTCAAAACAAGACACGCAATGCTTTGGAAGAATATCTTCGCCTTCATCGACCGCAGGCACCCAGTCGCTTTGGACAGCTTCTCATAAAGCTTACGTCTCTAGGAGCGGTAGATCCTAAGATTCTGGAACATGTGTTCTTTAATAAGCTCATCGGCGGAACATCAATTAATAGCCTTGTGGATGACATACTCAGAGCCAACTCTCTTGGCTGGCACAGTAACGTCAAAGCTTCAATCACGTAAGTCAAGTGTCAACTGGGCCAGAAGTCAGCCAAGTCTCATTCGCATTTCATCTGTCCAGTGTTTAAGACAGGCAAGATAGACTAGCTCAAGATTTGAGGCTAAAAGAAAATTATATATTAGTTGTATTTGAAAGTAATGTAACACAGCCATCGCTGTCCAAGGAAACGGAGAGAGAAGTACAGAGGACAATATCTCGTTGAAAACAAGTCGTTTCCCTAAACGTTTTTTTATGTAAATTGGCGTTTTTTAGAAGGAAACGAAAAATAAGTATAACAGATTTTTGTAAGGAGTTACTAAATGAGACTACAATTTTTTAAGCTCCAGATTGAATCGAAATAGGACGCTTCTGTCATGAGCTAATCAAACGCTAGCGAGTTTTAATGAGGTGTTTAAAGTAATTTGGAAGTTGCAAGTTTAAGAAAAGTTTCACAAGCGCTTTTTAATAAAGGGTACAGTTAAAATGCAAAGAAAATATCAGAACGTTGTCTTTTGGTGCCTTAAACCATGATTCAGTACTTGACAGATCACGACTGAAACCGTTATTCGGTGAACATCAATATCACTATTGCACTTGATCAATTTTCTGATGAAAGAATTTAAGTAAAAAACGCTGGAAGGTCGCAATTCACAGACCAATGTTATTTTTTAGTACAAAACGATTTTCAGCTTATATAATTTGTAGATATTTAGTCAGTAACATTTACTGTAGTATAATTGTGGAGAATAAAGTTTTTTTATGTTATCATTATCAAATGGGTCATATCTCTCTGTCGAAATTAGTGTGTTTTATTTCACACTGCTAACAAATTAACTAAAGGTGACAAATTATTAGTCTGTATTTTTTTTTTCACGGGTACCTCTGACTTAAGTTCAAAAAGAACATCTTCCTGACTCAAAGGAGCTAGACGATAATGAATTTGAAATGAAGGAGAAGTCAATAAATTTTGTCAAACAGAACCCAATTTGGATCATTTTGAGGCGATTTAATGGTAAAGTCGTACAGTAAAAACCCGCATATAAGAAACTAGAATTTTCAAGGTCAGGCTGAACAGGTTCTTATATTTTAGAGTAGTTTTTTCACAATTCAGGCTGATTAGTCTTAACAGGTTCTTATTTTTTGGAGGTTGGTGTGGTGTAACCATTGGCAGAAATATTGTACTTCTCATACATAATGGTTTATGGAAAACATATTTCTGGTAAAAATCCAAACAAGTATATATTAAAGAAAATGTATACACAATAACTTTGTCAGAATTTTTTCACACTTGTATTAGAACCTATCTTTCTTTGCCAGGCTGAACAGGTTCTATTTTTTTCCGGTGTTTTATATGCCAAATTTCAGCCTGTGGGTTCTTAAGTCACTAGGTTCTTGCATGCGGAGTTTTACTGTATTTCAGGTATTTTAGAGAAGAAGGGGAACGACATTCAGGATTAACTATTTTGTGATGCCTGGATTAGGAACTGTTGCTTTAAAAGAGCGATATTCAGCTGCATTTTCTAAAAGTCCTTGATTTCATTTTCACTTCATTTTTCTCAACTAGTTTTGTTCTTATCACTTTGTTCTATATCCCACTATGTAGCAGCTGAAGGGCATTTTCTGCCCGCGAAATGTATGTTCGTGATCGGAATAAGATTGTTCGAATAAAACGGTTTCGTCAGAATGACTAGATTTGAGAACCGCCGGTAGGGAACCATGGGTTTCTAACAGATAATTCGGTCCATTGATTAGGTTATTCTGTGTTATTTGTTCACTATTGGGGCGCTGAATCAGTGGATGCTGTCGCATGATCGAGTAATGTGGTGTCTCTTGTCTTTCTAAAGCGAGAAGGAAACCAAGCGACATAGCTCTAACTGGCCCTGTTAGGCTGTTAAGATGATGGTAAATTCCATGACGCACATGGTCACGTTTCAAAACAAAAGCGCGGGTACCAGACCCCAACACGGGTGACTTAGTGGCCAATTGATAGGAAGTTTCGCCAAGCGTTTCTTTTCAGTAAACCACCTGTAAAATCCACTCAGCGAGTTACAAGAACAAATCAACATCGTATTCTGAGATCTTTCGCGAGAGGTTTCCGTCGCCATGTTGGAGAGAAAGTGCGCCACTCGTTCTACGAGGAGATATCTGCGTGTCTTAATCGTCTTCATAACGGCGTGCGCGGCGATCGCCGGACTTGGCTTTATGTTCAAGGATACGCCGTTTGTGCGGAATTTGAGAAAACGTTTTATGATGGGAAGGTAAGAAAATGCTTCATTTCAGCTATAAAAATAAATCTGAGCATTTAAGAGTCTTCAGCTCAGGAATGTTTGGTGGTGCAGCAGTTTTAAATTGATAGTCAATATTTTTATTGCCGCGGTAACTACAAGTCGAAATTAAAATTTATCAGTTAATTGAAACATATAAACGCGACATTGTCTACAAGAGATTGCTTGTACGCAAAAAAAATTTGTACCTTTCTTTTTACAGCTTCATAGAAATTGCTTTAAAACTAAGCAAACCTTCTCTAAGACGGACACCTTTAGAACTGGCACTATATTCTTCCCTCTTGAGAGATGTCCGTCTTATAGAGAGTCAACTAAAAGGGGTAAAGAAAGGCAGGCACCAACTCCAGGTGTCCGTTTTGGCGGGGTGTCCGTCTTGTGGAGATTGAACTAAAAGCAGGAGCCCAAGAAATAAAAAAAGGGCAGGGACCAACTCTGGGCGTCCATTTTAGGAAGCTGATCGATCATTTGCAATGTCGTCCGTTGAGAGAGCATAGTTTGTAAAGTCATAACACCAGCGGCTTATCTAGAACCGAAGGAAAGAACCGTGTTGATCCTGAACTGGTTCTCACGTGACTAACTGTCAGAGCTGGAGGAGGGAACTGGGTCCCAAAATCGTTTTTCCAAGTTGATGTTCTTGGCAAAACAAGTGAGACTGACAAAATAACTTAATTATGAGACTAGTGATTGTACGGGAAAAGGAGATATTTGCAAGGAATGGACAACGTAAAAGAAACTGACAACAGTCAACAACGACATGAAACTATGGCTCACCTTGGCTGTCTGATTTATCCATGTGCATACACTGTGGATGGGAACCTGCAACATACTGTAGGAAATAACCCTTTAATCGACTAGCATACCCTCCAAAGGGAATAATATTCGTTCTTTAAGATCTTTTGGCACCTGTACTGTTGATTGTCATACTTGAATTTCATGACTAGAAATAAGTGAATCGCAGAACCTGCTCAGCAGAGGCTACATTAATTGACATACTTGAATTTCATTGTGAGTGATCAACTTTGATTCGGGACGCCTATCGATTAGGGTTCGGTGTACGTTAAACAGGGACCAGGGAAAGGAAGGCCTGGGAGCGCTGGGAGGCTGGGGGGTTGGGGGCCCCAAATTATTTAAATGGTCAAAAAAAAAATAGTTTTACCTGGATTATTTTAGATAAAATCAGATTCATAACTTACTGGTCAGTGGGTCTTGACAGCTGTTTTTTATGTCTTTCCCTGGAAAACGCAGTCCGACCAAGGTCAAACTTCCAAGTAAACAGTACGGATATCGTCACGCAGCAGTTGCGACGGATAATGTAGAATGCTCAAAAGCCGGGCGGAACATCCTAAAAAGGGGAGGCTCGGCAGTCGACGCTGCTATAGCCGCCACCCTATGTGTGGGTGTTATTAATATGCACTCTACTGGAATCGGTGGCGGAGGCTTTATGATGGTGTATGACAGTTATAAAAAGTCAGGGGAGATGATCGATTTTAGAGAGACCGCTCCTGAGAAGTCTGACGAAAACTTGTTTAAAGGAAATCCAACGAACGGTATTAGAGGTAAGATTGCGCATTCCATTTAGTTGCTGCGCCCCAAGGTGTAAACAACAACAACAAAGACTTGTTGAGCTTGTTGTTGTTGAGACTTGTTGCCAAGGATATAGTGTTAATCATAAAAACCAGCAGAAAAATTAAGCGTTTGTGAACGCAAGGCTCCATCCAGGATTAGCTACAACTGTGGCCATCCAAGTTCGTGACGCATTCGTCTTCATCTCGCCCGAAGAGCCAGAACAAGGTCTCTGTAGGAGGCTCATCGTCACCCATTTAACCTTATTAAACAATGGACGCATAACGAGCCATGAGAAAAAAAAAACGACCGTTCAAGAGACAACCATTGGCTAGACCATTTTCGCACTTTGCACTTTGAACATAAACTGGAATACGAAGGATTCTGATTCACAGGGTATCCTTTCACATGCAAAGAGTTTTTTTAAAAATGATATTCACTGCATAAGCCTCAAGTAACATGTATGCTAGTCCAAGATCAGCCCTCTGGAAGAGCAAACACGATTTACTCATTTGCCGAGAATAGGTTTTCTTCTTTCCTCTTCCCAGGTGGATTAGCGGTAGCTGTTCCTGGTGAGTTGAGAGGTTTAGAGGCTGCATGGAAGAAATATGGCAAGTTACCGTGGAAGGAGCTTTTTAAGCCGGCAATAAGCATTGCAAAGAAAGGCTTTATCATTCCAGAGACTGTCGACATAGCCATAAACATCTGGAAGGATATGCTCCTAAAGGATAAAACGTTTAGGTGAGAAGTATGCTTGATAATACAGTGAAACCTCTATTTAGCGGACACCCTCTATTAAGCGGACACTAAGCCGGGTCCCAAAATTAACGTCTTATATTTCTCTTTATAATGAACCCCTATTCAGCAGACACCTGTATTAAACGGACGCAGGCACCGGACTGAATTTTCAATAGTTGTATTGGATTACGTCCTTGAAATACGTACTGTAGTCGATTAATAAAGATAAATTAAAATCAATACATTTAGCTGTCAATAAACTGTAGATTAGACCGATATCCGGCCGTAAACGATAAACGATGTCCTAAAAGTCTTGCACAAAGTACAGCACAGCTTCCTTAGCTTCCTTAAAGAATATGGACCTCTAACACAGTACAGAGTTACCGTTAAATGTTAATCGGTAACAAACATTGCGTAATTTTTACAATCCCTATTACGCGGACAGCCCCTATTAAGCGGACACTTGGGAAGGTGTCCCTTAATAGAGGTTTCGCTGTATCTGATTAGAGTGAAGTATCCAATCCTGGCCAAATTTTAAATGTTAGATTCTTCATTCAAAATATTTCGCTGTTTTTGATTGGCCCCAATTCCAAGGCTAACTTTTCATACCAAGTGACGCTTACTATTCTTGGAAGCTTTGTCATCGCGATGTTCAGCTCTTAGACAAAAAAATTAGAGGGTTTCAAGTGTTTAGGTGTTTTTTTTTAATATAGCTTCCCAGACGGAATTTTAACTGGTGTCCTCTGCAAGAAAGTAACGCTTTGTTTTGTTAACATTTTCTTCTCAAAGGCGAGTATTCACTCGAAATGGGAAACTTTTAAAGAAAGGCGACCTGCTAAGGAGACCTCAGCTTGCTAAGACACTACAATTTATTGCCCGAGCGGGCAGTGCAGAGCCATTTTACAACGGTAAAATGAGCAAATCTCTTGTAAAAGAGGTTCAGGAAGCCGGAGGAGTTATGAACTTGAACGACCTAAAGAACTACAGAGTCAAGTTCCGTCCGGTGTTAAAAAGTAAGCTGGATGACATGACATTATTAAGCTGCCCGCCGCCAACCGCTGGACCAGTGCTGGCACTCACTTTGAACATTTTGGACGGTAGGAACAATCTCATTTGTTAACCACGTACCAATAAAGCAAACACTTCTTGTGCCTTGTTACCACTTTTTTCCCGCTTTTTTGGGCCGGTTACGAAGGTTTTCTGCGGGTCCTGAGAGGCTCTCCGCCCGCGGGGCTCCCCGATTGGCTCTTTCAAGTGACTGCATCTCTTTTGATTGGCTTAAGGAATACTGACTTGTCTTCCGATTTTGGTTCAACGTACTCGACTGAAAATCGCTTTGAGTGAATTCCATGAAGCCTTTTCTGCAGCAAAGCGTTTTGCGTCCTGGTTCAAAGAAGTGAAAAATGTGACAAAATTTGGACAACTATATATTATGACGTAGTCTTATGTACAATGGGTGTATTGGTAATGTTTTAATTTCTCGATCTTTCTCGCCACAGGATATAAGATGGGACAGAAAGACCTCGAGTCTGACCCTGTCCGCACATATCACCGTATCATTGAAGCATTCAAATTTGCGTACAAGTATCGTTCAATGTTAGCTGATCCAGACTACGAAAGGGGTGTCAACAAGGTTCGTTATAATATAATGTCTAAAGATCTTGTTAATGCGTAAGGGGAAAATCTGTCAGCTAATAAGTTACCATCTCTTGTGTGAACTCACCAAGAGGTTTAAAAAAAATCACAAAGCAAATCGCGCCGCTAGAAACGTACTAAAGCGTAAATACAACCTCTTCCGGTAAAAGTTATTGGCAGAGGCTTTTCTTTTTCATTTCATAGGTTTTTCTTTCTTAATGACGCAGAAACACAGGCAGAGGTAATACACAAGTGTTTTGACATGTTAAAATGCCCCACACTTGCACAATCCCTAGCCCGGATTTCACCGACAGCAACTGAGATCTCCTATTCAAGTATTGTCCTTTCAGTCGGAAATGAGACAAATTTGTTGAAATGAGACAAATTTGTTTCTCAGAACCTCACTAAAAAGCTTTTAAAGGGCCCGCGGAAAGTATAAATGCAAACGTCCGTGTCCACTTTTTCTCAAGGCAGTTTTAATTTGTGTCGATGTAGAGTACTTTAAAAGAAAATATGCTCGTTTACTTACGAAGTGAGAAGAAAAGGACTATCCAAAGATTAATTCTTTGCATTTTCTCGACAGACTGTCAAGGAAATGATGAGCCTCAAGCTTGCGGACGAGTTAAGGCAGCACATTACTGACAGAGAAACACACGACCCAAGTTACTATGGCACCCCCCGATATCACGTGCCAATCAAAACTGGAACGACACATCTGGCAGTACTGGCAGCCAACGGAGACGCAGTGTCGCTTACAAGCACTGTCAATGGATAGTAAGAACACTTCTTTAGTGTAAAGCATGTTACCGTGACTTAGTATACTTATGCCGGTTTGTTCTTAATTGGAGATGCCAACCAGTCGGGTAGCTAACTGTGTATCTTACTGGAAAATTGAAAAAAAAAATTAATTAGACAATTATTTTAAAAAGTATGCCAACTTAGACTTGACAACTTCTTTGTTATAGTTTATTGCGTTTTATTCATTCAAAAATTAGAAATACTTTGATGGGTGTCGTAGGATTGTAAAGCATAGAACGCTTGTGCTGAGCGAGGCGAAAACAAGAGAAGATCGAAATTAAAGGATCCGAAAACATTCGTTGAATTCAATACTTGCTCAAATCTGTCTAAAGACTCGAAGACTCTATATCATTTTATGAGCAAAGAACCAGCGCAACCTCCTCAATAGGAAAATTACCATTAAACTTGAGTCATTAAAGGTATTGTAAATTGCTTTTTCACAGTTTTGGAGCAAAGTTTCTTTCAAACAAACTCGGTTTTGTCTACAACAACGAGATGGACGACTTCAGCGCACCAAATGTAACGAACGAGTTTGGACTGCCCCCTTCACCTGTAAATTTCATCAAGCCTGGCAAGAGACCACAATCCTCAGCGGTCCCTGAGATGATACTTGACAAAAAAGGAAATGTGCTGATGACGATTGGTGCTGCGGGCGGTACTATTATAACAACGTCAGTAGCACAGGTTAGTTTGTTGTATATAACAATCATTATGTTCGATTCACGTTAGTGACCGAGAGTGAGGGGAAAATCTCAGACCGGGGCCTTGATGAAAGCCGAGGTCTGAGATTTTCCTGTAATGACCGAGCGGACAAGGTTAATAAGTTATTCATTCAGTATTTGGCCTTTTTGGGGCTTTTCTTTAAGAGAACACAATAAAAAAACACCGGAATTTTCAACATTTGCTTGCGCGCGCAAGAGGTCATTTGAGGTCGTAGTAAATAAGTATCTGTACGTTAGTATTTTTCTGACGATGATTGGAAATATATAGTTATATTTTACCGGTATTTTTTCTTGTTTTCGCCCTCGCACTCGCCTTTACTAACAGCTCCAAAGAGCCGTCCTCGCCCGCCCATCAGCCAATCAGAGCGCGCAGTGTAGCCTGATTCCATAACATGTTGGTAAATAATTACGTTTTTGAGCGGTTGTTGCCACTGTGATTGTCTCATCAGGTTTGAATAGTTAGATGGATCTAACATCCACTAATATTATTGGACGATAACATCATGTTGGAGCAATAGGTTGGATTAGTGTGAATGGGCTTTTAAAACTATAAAGTTTCTGGAGTTTAAACCTGTTCATGCCCTTATAAGTCAGGATACTTGTGTGAATTTTCCTAGTACAAAGGAAGTTCTGCTGTGACCGATTCCAATTCCGAATGGGAAATTCCACCATCAATGGAAGATCGAGAATCTGCGGCTGACTCTCGCTCAGACATTCTCACATCTTACAACATCTTGGTTTTTGTTTTGAAGGCAATCATGAACTATTTCTGGTTTAAAAGGGATCTGCAGAGTGCCATCACGATGCCGCGAGTTCACGATCAACTATTCCCAAGCTCTGTATTTGCAGAAACCAAGTTTCCTAAAGAAGTAGTGAAGGGGCTTGAAGCCATTGGACATAAGGTTTGTAACTACTGCAAGTTTCTTCACTGTAAGGCCACAAAAAATGACAACTGTCAAATTGATGCCTTTCTTTGATTTGATTAAAAAAAATTCAGGGATTGACCAAGTCCAACAAAGAAAGTCTCTCGATCCACACCAAACATTAATTGTACAGGGGACGTTGTCACCGGTTAACTTAATTGCATTTCTAAGGACAAAATAAGCACAGATAGTCATAAGACTTGGTTAATTGATCCCTAAAAGACTACTAGGTTACACATTCTCTTTTTGGGTCCCCTTAGCCCGTTTTAGCAGGAGCCCATAATCTGGAGCGAGCAACTTCTATGTACTCGTGTCACGGAGTTTTCACGGACCAGTTTATTTTTAGAAGGGTTTTGGCGCGAATTTAGAATATCTTTAAACTCCCACAAACCAGTCAGCAAAACCTACAGACCTACAAATGATAATTTTTGCCTTTAAATGACGTTACGTTTTCCTTTTTGATATCTTACACTTCGAATGCGTTCATAGACGTGACGTAGATTCCATTTTCGCGGGAAAAATTGTCCTATGTGTCTAAAAATAAATCGGTCTGTAAAAACGCCGGGAAATAGGCCTAGTATGGGAGTTGCTCGCTGCGGGTTATCGGCTAGTCGTGATCGTTAGCCCGCGCTTTTGTATTAGGAAGCACCTCCGGCTCAAGGCTTTAATCTGATCTTCTGTTATTTTTCCAAAGGTTAAAGTGAGTGACGTTAGTCATGGTGTGGTTCAAGGAATTGTGAAAAAACCTTACAAATTCAAACTAGTTGATACTCATGGAAGACGAAAGGGATACGTGTATGGTCTGGTACCACAAATCTATGCTGAGTCTGATTACAGAAAAGGAGGACTTCCCGCTGGATACTAACCGTGGAACTTGGATGCTTCATATTTCTAAAATTTTGTTTACAACATACGGTTCAACATTAAACATAACGCGATGTTGCAGGTTGCTGAATGACTATTCAGATTCCGCAATTTTAGGAAAGTGAATATCATTCCTCAAACGAAAAATTACGACTTGTGAGACGGTCCTTCTTCAAGATTACAACGTTCAACATATTTGATGTCCTTTGACTCCAATTCAACATTTCGTTAAACAATGTGTACAAACTGAAGCATATAACCCCGAAGCGGGGTTATATGCTTCTGGTACAAACTACTGTTCCTTAACTGATTAACTTGAAGTATTGCTAGGTTTGGTTCTTTCACACACAGTTTCATTAGGACCATATGTAAGTTGTACGTATGTTCAGGAGAGATTTAACTTATCAAAATTAAAGCTAACGCCAAAACAAGAAAACACACACACATACACAGAGAAATAAACTACATCTGTACAGTAGCTTATAACATGTGAGACTCGCAACATCAGGCCAGAACTGAGACTACAGGAATTTTTCTAGCGAGGCTGAGGCTGCCTTAAAATCTCGGCCTAAATGAGTGTCCAAGCTACGTACGGCGTTAGAACCACGACTTCAGTCTGCTATTGTTTTTCCAAGGCTATAGAATCTTACTCTACTAGATGGCATTGCAAACTTTCGATATAAAATCGTGCAATTTACTATTTTAGCCAACAAAATGATTATCGGAAAAATCAGTTACCAGGGAAATAATAGAGTTATTTTACTTAAACCATATGACAGAGATTAACAATTTTAAAGGGCAAAACAGAATACAATGGAGTTAGTCAAATCACTCTGTCAGAGGTGAAGCTTAGTTGAGATAGGATCTAGCAGTACTCTGTATATTGCTATACAGGACTATGCCAAGAGCAAAAGATGTATAATTTGATTAAAAAGCTTTTTTTTTTTCACTTGTTTTACTTCTGTCTCTGGTAAGTAGTTCTGGGGCCCACAAACTTAGTCGTAAATATGCAGTTTCCCGGAGAATGTACCTGTTTATCACATCTTATTGATTTGGTTGTTTATTAGGATGGCATCTTTTTTGGGTACTGAACCACGCCTTAATTTGTTCCCTTAATGGGTTTTGAAAATTCCAATTTTTCCAACGAAAATTTGCCTCTCTGTTTCTCCTGGGTCCTTTGATGAGGGACAAACAATCTCGTTTCCTGTTTGATAAATCAAAACTACACGCGGCCAAGCTGCTAGTAAGGTCGTGCCACAAATTCGTCTTCATTTAATTCACTGAACAGATAAAGCACTTGAGTCACATGGCTACCTTGATTATTGTTATGACTTACAGTTGCCAGCAAAATCCCCCTGCGTTTGAATTTCCGCCATTTTGTTACTAAAAATAGCACAAAATGGCGGGAAACTCAAATTTCAAAACGCTATATGTTTTGAGTGGATTGGCGTATTTCAATTTTTTTTTCACTTTTGTAGATCCTTGTGGTGAGTTCTTTCAGAAACCTTCATAGATATCCTATACTACTAAAAACAAAATTCGGTGGGGACTTTGAAACGTCATTTTCTCTCTAAAAAAAGCCAAAATCTGAAAAACAAAAAAAACATAGTTACGATTTTAGGGGTCTGGTGAGTTCTATATTGATGCAAATTTTTAAGTGAATTGCGTTAAGACTTCGACTATGAATGAGGGTGAGCGTTTTTGATGTCACATATGCCCACCGTGTTATAAGATAAACACATTGAATTGAATTAGTTTTCATATATAGTGTGTTATTTTTCATATAACTTTATTTAAATTAATCGCAACGAGAAATACAAAACTAAAATTTCAAATCCAGTTTGCCTCTTTTGGGGTTCATTGAGGAAGAACCTATTTGGAAAAAATATTTTCTGCTTGTTATTACAAGCATTGCATCCAGATTAACTTTAAGATGAGCCTATCGCTATATATGAATGAAACCTATATTAATTTAAGAAAATAGCTTCCAGAATTAATAAGATACTGAACTTAGGCCTGGTGATCGGGTTTTGCCACACCTAATGTGGGAAACATTTCACGTGCACTGTCATCTTCTTGTTCCTCCTTAGCAAAAAACAAAACAGTTAAAATAATAAAGGATTAAGATTTCAGTGAGATTTGAAAGTGATCACGATCTTTGCAGTAGAATGAACAACCTAAACGGACGAACATGCAGAATAACATGCAACATGCTTAAGTAACTAACCGTATCTAGCTATCTATTCCCTGTAAACAGTGGTCAGCTTGAAAGCTCTGCTCCTCTTGTCTACCGTACACTTCTGCAAAAAGCCATTTACTTCTGCCTGGCTATTTCCCCTAATTTCACCTAACTTGTAAAGTAAATAAGACTTGAAGTGTAAATAAAGCTGAAAGTTGAAAAAAAGTTGAAGTTGAACTATTCAACCGCCCATAGCTAGGTGTTCATTCTACTGCGAAGATCATGTTCACATTCGTAATATTCTTGATACCAGAAGACGAAAAATTCTTGACGTTTGATACTACCTTTCTGAGTTCAATGTACTGACTATCCCAAGAGAGGATAAAGGGCCTCTCTTGACTATACTAAGCAAGAATTTCATCCCCTGATCCGGTCATATAATTTGTCTCGCATTTTATATTGTCTTGTGAAGACAAATCTAGATGCTCACCTAGTGGGGTGGTAAGGTGTAGCAATGTCTCGGCAGAGCGTTTAGTTACAATAAAGCCGCACTGACGTGAGCTACTTGAGCAATCCTTGGTCTTCCCCCTCTCTTTTTTAAATTTATTTTTCCTTCCAAAATGATCTTCCCTAAGCCCTCGCTCCTTTTCAAATGACCAAAAGCACAATAACAGTAACGTATGTGTTAGAGCAAGTCCACAAGAACGATCTCATTATTATAAGGCCTAAATATTCGAACTTCGCCAGGTTGAAAGTCCCAGACTTCGATATCGTCTGGTATTGCAAATTAACCGTTCCAGCTTATCTCGCTTAGTGCCCGACCCTGGAGCGCTAGGGGCTGGGCTAGATCCAGACGACACCCTCAGAAGCGGTTCTTTGTAAACGGCACTTTGGCCTTTAGAGTTAGCAAGCCTACAGAAATTGCTGACATTAAGCTCACTGAGTTTGCCCTGTGTGCACAATCCAGGGTGAATAATCTTCTGATGTACTTGCGAGTTTTGAGCACTCCTTCTGCGGCACTTAAACAGCCGGTCTCGTAGATTGCTGTCAAAAAAGCTGTAAATCACTGGATTGGCGCACAATTTGCCCAGCGCTAAGAAACAAGCCAGATCACGGAAAATTTCAAAACTTCTCCTCTTGGGTTGCCCGACGGTTTCAAGGGCGTAAAGTGCCGCCAGCGGGGCGTAACAGAAAATAAAAGTTGCCATGACTATTAAGTTCATGACTACGGATTTGCGCTTGGCTAGAGGAACCACGTTGGAGCGGAGAGAGCTCGTGAACCTTCGGTCAACGTTGGCTGGAACTTTGTGTGCCAATTCAGGCAAACCTGCTTTGGTTGAGTGTACTGAATCCGGTTTCAACAGCTTACTTACTACAGCAAAATAAGTGATTGTCATGATCATAATCGGCAGTAGGAACACCGCCCATAGTTGCACGAGAGAGAATAGTTTGTCTTTCCAGGGCAAAACAAAGTGCTTGTCAGGGTCGCAACTAAACAACAAAGCTCGCGGCTGGTGTTTTGATCCCAAAAAGTAGTATAAGACAGGGTTAGCGAACAGCAGAGCGTAACACCATGAGAACACGCTCATGTACCGCGCTTGGCGGCGAGTGATTTTGGAGAGAGGACACAACACAGAATACAGCCTATCCATGCTTATCATGAGTAAAGTTACTGTAACGGCGCCCAGCGCAACAGACTGGGCGTATTCCAGCAATTTGCAAACTGTTGGTCCCCCAACGAAATATCCTCCCAATATTTCTTGTTCTATCCTGAGTGGTATAGCAATAAACGCAATAGCTAGTTCGCCGACGGATAGATTTACGATTAAGCTGTTCATAGCCGACATCTGAGGTGACCGTAAACCGCAGTAGCACACCAATACATTCCCTGTTGAAGAGACTGTTAAAATAAGGATCAGAGCAATGACTTTGCCAACAGCTATTGTGTTGTAGTACATGGCATCTTGATGCGTCCCTGAATACCGCATTATTGAAACATCGGTGGATTTTATTGACGGAAACGCTGCGTTTTGACGCATTGAAGGAATCCAAACAGGCATGGCTAAATAGGAAAGAGCGAACTTTCCGCCTTATTCATTGACGACTGACAGCGCTCCTACTGTTAAGCTTTTGAGTGCTGGATTTCGAGTAAACTGGAAGATATTTGCTATGGATAATACGCTTGACAGGTGGCGTGATATTTCGCTGGTATTTTCTCCCGCTTCGTTAATGCAGCACCAGCACCGCACCCTGTGAAGTCAACACAGAGCATGCGCGGATTCAAGCAAATGCTGAATTAAACAACACTATGAAGACAAATTGAGCGGTAAAAATGGTGCGACATACAACTTACTTATTTTTTGGGGAGGATGGTAAAATAAATGAATGCACCTCTTTTGTTATTTAGTCTTTGAGGTAAACAGTTTGTTCACAAAGCGTGCAACCAGCCAAGCGTTTAAAAGAGAGAAGTAAACGGTCAGTGAAATTGAACAAATAAACAAGGGTAGTGTCATGCACCGACGGAGCGGTTGAAAATGACGACTTCTTTCTATGATGCTTGAATTTTTCAATTGTTTTTATGCGAAACGCTATCATAACCTCCGATCGTACATATTCAAGACAAATGAGGCAGCAATTCCTGTTGCGAACGATAAAAAATAAATACGTCATTTTACATAGTTTTTGCACTAGTGCCATCCTGAAACTTACAAATGAAAGGTCTTCGCCTCTACTCATTTTACCTTCACCATATTATCCAAAGGCTCGTAACATTTCCCACTCTGATGATGATTTCTCTTTGAATTACGTTTTTGTTTACACCTGCTGCGCGACAATTGATCTCAGGAGATAAATATCACCTTTTGTTACGCTTTGTAGACCAAGAGTCAGCGAATATGTAACGGGTGAATGCATACAATGTCTTAAGGTAAGAGATATTTTTGGTTCAAAGAATCAGTTCCAGAAGACCGTTAAGTGATTTTCATGCATTAGTATAGTGAACTCGTGTTCTGACTTTAAAATAGTATGGGCAGGGATTCTACCCAGGCGATCGCGATCCGAAATCAAACGGGTCGTTCCACATTTCATCCAGGGTCTCCCATAACATCTTAACGATCAACTGAGCGTATTTTGAGACATCTCTGTGAAGCAGTCGATCCGGACAATAACAGCCAAACCTATGATAAGCGGTAACCCCGCCCTCGGGCACAAGACAGGTACCGCTCGGGGCGGGGTTACTCAAGAAATTTTGGGACTGGGATAGGGTGCCTTGACCTACATCAGACTATCTCAACTGCAGATGATTATTCCATATTATAGACGGGGAACCAAGGTATCCCTTCCCCTTCCCAGGCTAACTGTGAACCAAAAACTCCATTTCCCCTTAAATGAATGACCAGTTTCCCATAAATGATACTCTATTCTTGCAGGTGCCGCCCCTGATCCTTCGTCTATTTCCTCTGATTTTTATGCGGTACCGGTACCCAGCAGGCTCAACCCTACCCTTCATTATAATTCACAGCGGCACATATACCTTTATGGCTGATCTTCCGGCTGTGTCCCCAACTTTTAAAGAGTGACAACTTTAAAGAGATAAATTTAGCATGAAATACGAAAAAAAAAATTCGAACTAGAATAAACAACATGCATCAGGTAATATATATATGATGATTTTGTTTGTTGTTAGCAACAACCGCAAAGCAAAATACAGTAGAAAAACATCCAGTGTAAACTGCTGACCTTCGATCGTGTTATTCGAAACAAGTTGTCATGACTTAAATAGGTCTACCCAGCGGTGTACCAACCTCGCCAAAAAAAACTCAATCAACGAGAGAAAAGTTACTTTAGCCGTCTTGGGTTTCGTTGTGATTGTCTACATGAGAAGAGGATAGCTTTTCTTACGGCTTCAATGTAGGCTTGTTATATGAAAAGGGTCTGAAATTAAAAGTGCGCTGTGGTTGCAAAACGAGTCGGACCCATGTATACTATCTTCCCAAAAACATTCTGTCGTCGACTAGAGTTTTAATTGTGAGGGTTTTCTCCAGTTCAGGGAGATGAAACTCATGCTTCGTTTACTGACGTTTTCAAAACATCGCACTCCCTATTATCCACCTAGGAGACCGTAAGAGTAACCAATTGGTACATGGAAAGTGTAGCCGTAGGCGGATCTGAGATGTACAATGTATAGTGCGCTACTGATATAGTGTCTGAGTGAGTAGCGTACATAAACGGCAGCCCGTAATGTAAATCAATTTATATGTTGTGAAAAACGAGTGTGAGACATCAGTCGTGGATTGACCTCTAGCCAACGGGCAACTATCTAATACGATTGAACTGCTAACAAATGTGAAGACATGTGAAAAACATGAAATTAGTTGACCGAACTGCTCCCTTAATGTTACAAATCTTTCCTTTTTAACCGGTGAAAGAATCATTTAAAGCATAGTTAACGCCTATCCCTTGTTTAGAACAAGGAAGTCGTGTATTTATCGAATAAATTCCATGAGCATGCACTGGGCCAGTACTTGTGTCACACAATCGTACTGCAAATAATGAATGACAATATTTTGTACCTTTCAATATAAAGAAAGCGCCGCTCTTTTATCTGTCATCTTTTACTGAGAATCAGTCAACTAAAACCTTTAATTTGGTTGTCACTTGTTATTTGTTCCATTTTCACTTCCTTGAAGTTTGGCTCACGGTCATTTGGTAAAAAAAGCGAACTTGAACAATCATAAATCAGTTACTCATTTGCATACGCTTTGTCTAGTTCGAGAGGCGGTCTTTGGCTTACATTTTCAGTAAAATGGGAGTATCAAACTCCAAATGAAGAGTATTTCTAATAAATTTTCTATTTATTAGAAACATTTCTGTCTGGAATAGAGAAAAGCTCCGAGACATCCATAAAGAAAATGTGATGTTGTTGTTGTTGTTGATTTATTAAAATTCGAATTCGCTTAAAAAGTGAAGAACCTTCTCCCTTCCTGTGAAGGACGACAGGTTGTGCCTAAAAAAAAAATGTCATACAGCGTAGGCAGGGGAAGCAAAAATTGCCTACAATTTTCTGTTACTTGAGGAAGGCTAAAAATTTCTAGATGGCCGTTCCATTCATGTACAGTTTTCGTAGCGTATCTAATTAATTCCCTACGATTTTCTATAGTTTAGTTTTTCACATTTCAGTCCCCAACTTAGACTATTTTTCGTAGAAAAAAGGAAACCTAAAATTTTCGGAGTAGAAAATGCGATGGAGAGAGGAGTCAGACAAATTCTCACTTTTTCGAAAAGATTCAAGTTGCCCTAGGACGACCGAACAGATACAACTTTTATAGCGCCGCTTAGAATGCATTTCTAGAGATCTGAAAGTACTCTGGATAAGCGAAAAAGTGTTTTCAATGCATTTAGGAGGTAACTGTGGTTGGGTGCCCCTGCTTCGCGGCTTATATTTCAGTCACGTCCGCCTCCTCTCTGCCTTGCTTGGCTGTTCAGTGGGGTAATTTGAATATGGATATTTCACAGATTCTTGTTTTTTAAGCTATCCCACTGTATGCGACCGAATTGTCGTGCTTTCAATGAAGTAGAAACTCGCCATGAAATTTTAAAATACAAGTCATTGATAATAATAACCGGAAATCGTGACCTAGGTACGTTTGATGCTATCGCCCGAGTCGCGCCGCAATAATAAACTCCTTTAATTACCAACGTTATGTTCTGCAGCTTAAAAAGTGTATCACTGCAGAAATTTGAAACACCCTGAAACACAACAGGAACGCAAGGGTACCATGTGGAGGGTAACATTTTTGTTCCCAATTTTTTTTTTGGAAAAGGTAATAATCGATGCAATCAATGTCATTAAAACAATCACCGACACCGGAAATCGTGACTTAGGTACGTTGATGAGTAGCTATTCATGCTATCGCCCGAGTCGCGACAAAATAGTAAACTCCTTCAATTAGCAACGTTATGTTCTGCAGCTTAAAAAGTATATCACTGCAGAAATTTGAAAAGCCCTGAAACACAAAAGGAACGCAAAACAACACTTATCGGCGCAGTTGATGGCGGCACTGGGACAATAGGAAGTCATGTGGCGAAACTAATTTTGTACACATCTTTATTTCAAACAGAAATCAGAGGTGTCTGCACAAAAAAACTTTCAGCACAACGGCTTCAGCGATTATTTCCTATTTTGCACGAAAAGGGGAGCTTTTATTCACGAACAGCGATCAGATCGAAGCAGACCGATTATGCGAACTTTCAATAAAATAATATGTTTCGTTTTTCATCGCCTCCATCTCATGAAGATGGGTCGGTCCGCCTAGCCAAAAACTGGTTAGGTTAGCCGCATGTCCTTTATTGGTTATTTTGAAATTCCCGTTATCAAGTAACGTGTTCTGCCCCCCCCTCCCTCCCAACCCAACAAGTAGAGCTAATATGTGTGGATATGTCCACGCGAGGGTACCATGTTGAGGGTAACATTTTTTTTTCCCAATTTTTCTTTTTGCAAAAGGTAATAATCGATGCAATCAATGTCATTAAAACAAATAAGAAGAATTTAAAAAACAAATGGCGCGTGAACACCTGCTAGTTGTTGGGTGGGGGAGGGGGGGGGGGTTGAAATAGAGAAAAGCTCCGGGACATCCCAATTTGTTTTCGAAGTACATTTATAACACCCCGGAAACCAATGCCACGAACAGAACACGTTACTTGAAAACACTGATTCCAAAAAAAAGTGTCGTAAAAAAAATTAAAATGTCGTAAAACAAGAATGCGTACTTTGAATTATGAATTTCTGGCCCAACCAACAAGAATCTGCCTTACATGGCTATTCAGTGGGACTCGATAACAACATCTAGCGGGTACAGTGTTACATCTTGATTTGAATTTATGAAGCGATTCTAGCTAGATTTTTTTCCATGGTGTTTCATATTAATTTCCCTTAAGTTGGGGGGGGGGTATTATTTGAGGGAGGCCATTAATCTCAGGTCAGCCATCACTGGAGGATATACAGTCCTAAATCTCGTCAGTTTGTCATGTTTCAAAAACTATTGTTATTTCAATTACGGGATCTAGTGGTAGAAAATGGTAGCCGAAAAGAAAAAAATTTTCCAACTCCAGGCCCCCACTTCCCTCGAGAACTTTTCTAATTTCTTCGTCTTCGGATAAGAAGAGAGTTTCTTTCTGTTGTCTCTCAACACCTCTACGACGGACAAAAGTAACAAAAGTGGAAACACACAACGATTGCATTGTTCGTTTATGACACATGTTATGACACATTTTACAACACAATAAGAGTTTTTTCCTTCCATTCTTGTTGGTTGGACCAGAAATTCATAATTCAACGCACTCATTCTTGTTTTACGGCAAAAATCATTGTTTTCAAGAAACGTGTTCTGGTATGGGTTTCCGGGGTGTTATAAATGTAATTCTTCGAAAACAAATTGAGATGTCTCGGAGCTTTTCCCTAGTCCAACCCGAACCCCCCCACCACCCCCCCCACCCCCACCCAACAACTACAAGATGTTCACACGCCATTTTTTTTTTTTAAATTCTTCTTATTTTTTTTAATGCATCGATTATTAGCTTATCCAAAAAAAAAAATTTTCGAAAAAAAAAGGTTACCCTCGACCCTCGACCCTCGACATGGAACCCTCGCCCTCTACCTGGAACCCTCGACCCTCGACCCTCGACCCTCGACAAAAAGATAGACTCATCTTTTGTGTGGGAAAATAACACATTTTCTGAATTGTGTAGTTCCAGAAAATATCCATACCCCACTCCGCACCCCCCCTCCCACGGAGGGCAGAAATTCCAAGGGGAGGGGGGGTTCAAAAGGAGGTAATTCCCGAGGAGTTGGTGGGCTGCTTACCGTTGTTTACAAAGGTTTTTTTCAGGTGGTCTGAGTAAGATTAGTGAGTTACTAAAACTGAAATAACAGCTTCGCTGTTGAACATGCTTTCAGATATTTAACTTTTAATTACCGGTTTCTCAAAATTATTGTTATTGTTTGCGGTGATCATCTTTGACCTACGGTCGGTTAAATGAAACGGCATTTGCGGTGCGGAGCTAGGAGAGATGACTGTTTTCACAGGTATGATTTCTCGGTTTCGTTTTTTTCCATATTTGAGAAAACAAAAATAGTGCGCGTAAGTAGATAAGACAAAACAAGACAATAATTTTATTTGGAGTCTGGTAGCTAGTACATAAACGTTGAAATTATTTTAAAATTACACACATATTTATTTTACATTTTACATACAATTACATATTTTATTTCATGTATATTTTTAACCTGCCACTCGTCACCCCTCACCCGCTACCCGCCACCCGCCACCCGCTACCCGTCACCCGCCACCCGCGGAAAAGTCCTGCCGTTGTGGCACCGAATTTATGACCGGGCTTGCCTGATATAGGCATTAATTCGACATTCCTGAAGCGTGGCAGGCCCATATGCGTGAATCCATACCGTAAGTAATTTTTAATTTGGGAAACAAAACTCTGAAAAAATAGTGTAAAATTCTTCAGTAAAGTACAAATAATAAGCTAGTGGCTGTGGTTTTCTGTCTTTCTGCGAAGTTTAAGAGAAATTTGAGACGTTTCACATCATTTGACCTCCTTCCGGTGTGGTTAGGCCCTGTTGTTCGAAGGCCCGATTAGGGCTGACACAGAGTTAAATTTTAATCTGGGTTTCTTTCTCTCTTGCTTATTAAAAAGCATTTTCTTGAAAACCTTTGGGACAAGGGTACTGAAGGGTAGTACTTGGTGTAAGACTGCCCAAAATGTCCCGGGCCACCGCCCACCACTGCCAGTGCTGTAGTGGCTGTACCCTAGTAGACACAATGATACCTGTAGTGGCTGTAGTAGCTGTAGTACCTGTAGTAGCCGTAGTAGCTGTAGTAGCTGTAGTACCTGTAGTACCTGTAGTACCTGTAGTAGCCGTAGTAGGTGTAGTACCTGTAGTAGCTGTAGTAGCTGTAGTAGCTGTAGTAGCCGTAGTAGCTGTAGTAGCTGTAGTAGCCGTAGTAGCTGTAGTAGCTGTAGTAGCTGTAGTAGCCGTAGTACCTGTAGTAGCTGCAGTAGCCGTAGTAGCTGTAGTAGCTGTAGTAGCTGTAGTACCTGTAGTACCTGTAGTACCTGTAGTAGCTGTAGTAGCTGTAGTACCTGTAGTAGCTGTAGTAGCCGTAGTAGCTGTAGTAGCCGAAGTACCTGTAGTACCTGTAGTAGGTGTAGTACCTGTAGTACCTGTAGTAGCTGTAGTAGCTGTAGTACCTGTAGTAGCTGTAGTAGCTGTAGTAGCTGTAGTACCTGTAGTACCTGTAGTACCTGTAGTAGGTGTAGTACCTGTAGTACCTGTAGTACCTGTAGTAGCTGTAGTAGCTGTAGTAGCTGTAGTACCTGTAGTAGCTGTAGTAGCTGTAGTAGCTGTAGTAGCTGTAGTACCTGTAGTAGGTGTAGTAGCCGTAGTACCTGTAGTAGCTGTAGTACCTGTAGTACCTGTAGTAGCTGTAGTAGCTGTAGTAGCTGTAGTAGCTGTAGTACCTGTAGTACCTGTAGTAGCCGTAGTAGCTGTAGTACCTGTAGTACCTGTAGTACCTGTAGTAGCTGTAGTAGCTGTAGTACCTGTAGTAGCTGTAGTAGCTGTAGTACCTGTAGTAGCTGCCCGGGGGGGGTACTCGCAGAAAAATTGGGTAGGGGTGTGCGGCCCGCTTCCCAAAACCCTTACCCTATTTATGACCAAAATCTGCGATTTTCCCTACCCTATTTATGACCTAACCAAAAATTTGATACCCTATTTATGACCTGACCCTTAAATCAATACCCTCTTTCAGACCTGCCTTATAATTATTTCCCTAGTTCAGACCAATGTTAAAGGCAATGTTTATCTGCTTTTATTAGGTTAGGGGGACACGATAAGGAAGTAGCTTCTTCTAAAAAAGTGCATTCAAGACTACAGTGCAAAAATCGTTACCCTATTTATGACCAAAATGGCGGCAAAATAGCCAAAATCGATACCCAATTTATGACCAAAACGGCTGAAAAACCCTACCCTTTGGGGCCGCACATACCTATATAGCCCATATTAGGGAGTACCCCCCCCGGGAGTAGCTGTAGTAGCCGTAGTACCTGTAGTAGCTGTAGTAGCTGTAGTACCTGTAGTAGCTGCAGTAGCCGTAGTAGCTGTAGTAGCTGCAGTACCTGTAGTAGCCGTAGTACCTGTAGTACCTGTAGTACCTGTAGTAGCCGTAGTAGCTGTAGTAGCTGTAGTACCTGTAGTAGCTGTAGTACCCGTAGTAGCTGTAGTACGTGTAGTAGCTGTAGTAGGTGTAGTAGGTGTAGTACCTGTAGTACCTGTAGTAGCCGTAGTACCTGTAGTAGCTGTAGTAGGTGTAGTATCTGTAGTAGCCGTAGTAGCTGTAGTAGCTGTAGTAGGTGTAGTACCTGTAGTAGGTGTAGTAGCTGTAGTACCTGTAGTACCTGTATTACCTGTAGTACCTGTAGTAGGTGTAGTACCTGTAGTAGCTGTAGTAGCCGTAGTACCTGTAGTACCTGTAGTAGCTGTAGTAGCTGTAGTAGCCGTAGTAGCTGTAGTATCTGTAGTACCTGTAGTAGGTGTAGTACCTGTAGTAGCTGTAGTTGCTGTAGTAGCCGTAGTAGCTGTAGTACCTGTAGTAGCTGTAGTAGGTGTAGTAGCTGTAGTAGCTGTAGTAGCTGTAGTAGCTGTAGTAGCTGTAGTACCTGTAGTAGCTGTAGTAGGTGTAGTAGCTGTAGTAGCTGTAGTAGCTGTAGTAGCCGTAGTAGCTGTAGTAGCTGTAGTAGCTGTAGTAGCCGTAGTAGCTGTAGTACCTGTAGTAGCTGTAGTGCCTGTAGTACCTGTAGTAGCTGTAGTATCTGTAGTACGTGTAGTATCTGTAGTAGCTGTAGTAGGTGTAGTAACTGTAGTAGCTGTAGTAGGTGTAGTAGGTGTAGTAGCTGTAGTAGGTGTAGTAGCTGTAGTAGCTGTAGTATCTGTAGTACGTGTAGTATCTGTAGTAGCTGTGGTAGGTGTAGTAGCAGGTGACAAATGATCTATTTGGTATCGACCTTGTTCAATCAGAAGTTTGTGATTACTTATTTTAAACTGGACCAAAATGTTGTCATTCATCATAATGTCTTAGCTGGTAGAGATAATCAGTTGTAGAATATTCATATTTAAAAGTTTTATAAAATTCCATTTTTTTTTTAATTTTCAAGACTGTGTGGCAAAAAAGATAGCGGATATTTCTCTCTCATTTCAGTGGTATATCGTCCAATTTAATCATTATCTAAAGATTCTGTATCTAAACTGGTTAGATTGTATTGTTCAAACATGTTTATGAATTTGCAATAATATCCGAAATTATTCATAGAATGTACATTCTTTGACATAAGGAAAGACTGTTTGATTATAGAGTCCTTATCGTTGGTGGTTCGATAAACAAAATACTTCATAATGTTTTGATTTCTCGGGATAAGCAGCGGCAATCTACCAAGTTTAGCTCTGCAAGCTATGTTAGAGGCCTTATTGTTTACTTGTGAATAACGTTTAAAGAATTTTAGGTGAATTTTTTTCTATTGGGGATCTATCCCATTTTTTTTAAAATCTTGCTCGGTGCACATCCCCTTGCCTCGCTGTTGTAAGTTAAGATGGGGAATATCCAGTGAATATCCTTGTGTCAAGAATTTGGGATTAGGTATCAGGATTAAGTTTATTAAGAACTGTCGTGTTTGTTTCCGAATACTAGGAAACGCCTGAAGGGCCTTCTCTTTTATATTAGTTATCATTGTTTATTTAAGGTGGCTTATAACAGTTTTCCGATGACACCATTGTCTTTTCAAACTTGGACATTTTTTACAACTAAAGGCATTCACTGGACTGAATTGAAGTAATTAAGCTTGTAAAAACATTTTTAATGCGTAGTATAACGCGAAATATAGTGGCCAAGCACCCCAAAAGAGGACTGGAAACTAGATCTGGGCTGGATGGGAAGGCAATGTAATAAGATGACAAGACACCCAAGACACAAGCAATGCCAAAAATTCAGAGGGCAGTCCCAGCGCAGCGCTGGACTTTCTCTACTTCATCAATCGCTAACGGAGGTGTAGCGCTCTATTAAACTTGCTGAATGGAGAGCTCGCCTTCAGTTTGAACACGTAATTGTTTCTACATGGGTCAATCATGTGGGTATAGAGCGGGCAAGCCAATATTCCTATTGTAGAAGAGAGACGCCCACTAGATATGGAGGAACTCACTTATTTTGTTTGCAGGAAATTACTTTTTTAACTGGTTATAATAATGGGTGATGTCATGAACGAGAAGTGTAGGAGCTGCTTGCAAGGTCTTTCATAATTGGAGGCGGGAAACAAAGACAAGTCATTCTTTTGGGTCAGGGTTAGGCACCACTGGACCCTCTTGAACTAGATCCTTGCGCATGTTAATACTAGGGAACCCACCAACAGGGCTTGTCTTTCAACATAGTACACTACTCTAGCCCAACAATACTACCAAGTGTGGAATAGCTGAACTTTTCTAGCCCGAAAGTGCCTCAAATCTCAACCAATAGATACAGTTGTACCATAACCTACCTAAGGATCAAAGGCTTTGATATAGACAGGGAAAAGTGATTTAAAGGTGGCTTAGTTAACGTCATTTATTATGGTGTGATTTCTTATTCTTAAATTTCTTCACCTTTGGTCGAGTTAACGTACTTCTTCATACCAAAAGCTTCATCGTGCCATGTCCGCTTTAATTTCGATTATTAGGCGGTTCTGGGCGAAAGGGGGAAGAGATAAGGTTGAGAAGGCCTGATACTCAGTCTACGTCTGCTTATATACTGGTCTGTCAACATACAAGAACAACAACAACAATAAGCTTTATTTTCACAGCCATAAAAAGTTTCAGCTTCAACAGAATTCCATCAGTCATAAACAGAGCTGAACAGAAACAGAAACTCCAAACTTTTCATTCAAAACGTTTTTATCACCTACAAAGCCAGTTCAAATGTTTACAGTTTTTATTACCAATATATCGTGAAATGAGGTTTTTAAAATTACCTTGACGCGTTACTTCTCTCATATATTTTACTGACGTCAAACGTGAATTTGCACTTCTCTCATAACTCCTTTTGCTTAAATGACCGATTCAAATCACTCAGAAACCCTCTTTAACCTCTTCTTCCCACAACAAAGAATGACGAGGAATTGACAAAAAGGATGAATTTGATGCATACGGAAGTTACAGGAACTTCTTCCGACAACTACTATTTATAACGAATGCGTTACTTGTTGTACTCAGTTACCCATGTTCTCCATTTATTTTAAGTGTAAAAGCGTATTTACAAGCTCCCAGGAAGTCTTAGCCATGTCCAAGGGTGACGTCACACACAACAGAGCTTCGAGTTCCTCTCTTCGACTTTTTTCGGGGACAGCTCTCAATCACCGACACTGTCCAAAAGGATCCAATCGAAACTGTGGGGACGAGAATACTGCCTGGCCCTTAGCCTGAAACATTGCAATCGTTAATTTGAACAGTCTTTCATCCCTTACAGTAAAATACTCAGGGCCCTGGCTTGCCTTTCGTGGGATGTTTGAAATAAGAAGAAGTGTGTGTTTTTCCTTCATGGAAAGTAGCCAATCTAGATGATGTCTATTTTTCTTTCGTGAACAGTGGTTGTTAACTTGATAACGCGATTTCCAATTCTTTTTTTTCGTTTAGTATTTTTAACTTCGCGGACACCTGTGATTGTTTTTTCCTCCTTAACGCATAATTGTTATCTTTGCAAATTTTTGAGTCCGTCACGTAATTAAATAAGGCTGTGATATTTTCTACCGATGCCGTCACTATAGTGGCTTCTATGAGGGAGGTGACACAGAAGAGAAGACAAGTCTCGTGATTAGTCCATGGGCCATCTACAGGATGTGCGCCTTGCAAGGACAAATACTCAGCGCTTTTTCTTTTCTTGTACGGTGATGGACGCTCACGCTTACGTTTGAGTTGGGTCGGACTGGATACTGTTTTTTCATGCATTACCCCTTTTAAGTTTCCTCATGTTAGAATTTCCACAGTTAAAGCAGCTGCACTCTAACCCACATTCTTGGTTCACACGCAAACATGGGCATTTCGACTTCCTAGGGCCATCTCGGCAGGAAACGTACTTATTATCGTATTTTACTTTGTTGTGGCCACATTTGCAAGATACTTCAATAGTGTATCCAAGTTCACTCGTAGAAGAGCAAGCAGCTTGCATGGTTGAGTTTTGACACCTTTTGCATCTACAATTGCGGGAACAAAAATGTCCCGAAATCACGCAGGGACAATGGCTGTGTCCTTTGTCGTCCTTTGTACAAGACGCCTTTTGGCCATCCTTGGCATTGTTCTTTCCACAAGAGCATACTTTATTGGTAGTTTTTGAGTTAAGTCCTTGGAAACAGAAAAAACAAAACAAAAAAAAGGTGAAATTAGTAAAGGGTGAAAGCCTCAGGGGCACCCAACAACTGTCTCCTTTAAAGTACGTTGGAAACACTTTTTACGCTGTCCAGAGTTTTCTTTTCTGCGCCCTAGAAATGCATTCTAAGCGGCAATACAAAATTGTTATCGTTTAGGTCATTAGAGTTTCCCACAAGCAGGCCACAAGTTGCTCGGCAACTTTTCGGCAACTTCTCGTATTTCGAACAACTTCTTTCCTATATAGCAACTATTGGCTTTTTTATTAAGATTTCTCTAGAACTTTGTCATCTAACTCTGTGATATCGGAGCAGCTCTTAGTGTTTAAATTAGTCTTTGTTCCATATTTCACAATGTTTTGTATACAAGTTGCAAATTACCAGTAGAAAAAAGGAGACAAATACTCCTCCCCTGAGGCACATTAAGGGCGCAAGATAAGTCTGCGGTCTTTACAGAAAATTTTAAATGATTGACGCAGATTCTCACTCGACTGACTCGAGTGTCTCGGGTGAAGAAAGTCATTAAGCATTTTTCTTGGCTCATTACATTTCTTTCTTGATTTTAACTCCGGACAAAGTTATTAAGCAAAGCTGGTTGCGCTGAAAAATTGCACAAAAATGCTAAGAAATGGTACTTTTGTTTGTACAATTTGCATATTTTCATAACTTCAGACCAAACAAACATTTTGTTTTTCGAGCAACTTTTGAGTAAGTTTTGTTGCAATAAGCAACTTTTGATTGTTTTTGGCAACTTTTGAGCTTTTTGTTTGAGAAATAATGAGAAACTTTTTGGAAAATCTCGAACAACTTATGGAAAGCCCTACCGGTCTGACCGGTCATCCTAGAGGAACTTAAGTCAGTTTTCAAAATTACAAAGGCTTCAGTGTTACTTTTTCGAAAATTTTAGTTGCAATTTAACGATTTACGAAAGTGATGATTTTTCTGGTTACCTCTCCCCATCACATTTTAGAATCCAAAAAAATAAAATAAAAGAAAAATATTGTAACGTGGGAACTGATTTTGAAACATTAAAAATCAGAATTCGTAGGGAATTTATTAGGTATAAAGCATCGAAAATTGTTTATGAATGGAAGGTCCATCTAGAAATTTTTAGTCTTCCTCAAGCAAAAGAAAATTCTTGGCAATATTTGCCTCTCCGAACAGATATTTCGCAGAAAATTGTCTTTGGGTGCCCCTGGTAGCCTCGCCGGGTCAATTTTGTGCAATTGAGCATGGGACACCCCAGTCGTAAGAACAAGAGCGGTCGCGTAAAAAGATAAAAGCTAGAAAATATTTCTATATATCACTAACTTGATCAAATGTGTGTGAACCTTGACGTTCCTTTCATAAGCTTGTGCAAATCGTACTTTGTAGAAGGTTCCATTCAGGACTCACATACCTACATTTATATTCTATATATTCTCTCGCCCATTAAATCGACCGTAGTTTATATTAATCCCTTTGAGTATGGACTCGGTTTCACTGGCTTACTCCTAATAATCCTCCAAGTTTGGTCGATTGACTAAATCGATAAGCCCGTTGAACCCGAAATAATGCGAAATAGCTTTGAAGCCCGCTTAAGCTAATTTTCGGCAAAAATGTACACTCAACAGCTTTCGTATTTTTATTCATCAAATTTTTATAATACGCATTGGCCACTCTGCTGCTAATAACGATCCCATGAACCTCATATTGCTGGGTCTAGATTCCTTCATGTTGCGGTGCAGCGGCACTTGAAAGTGAGACTAGTCGATATGAATGCTTGGAAAATTGGCTGGAAGGTAGAAAGGAATCTTTACAATTCCTTACACCACTGGACGCCCCTACTAAGGCTGCTACAGCTACTACAGGTACTACACCTACTACAGCTACTACACCTACTACAGACACTACAGCTACTACAGTTACTACACCTACTACAGCTACTACAGTTACTACACCTACTACAGCTACTACAGGTACTACACCTACTACAGGTACTACAGCTACTACAGCTACTACGGCTACTACAGCTACTACAGCTACTACAGGTACTACAGCTACTACGGCTACTACACCTACTACAGGTACTACAGCTACTACAGCTACTACAGCTACTACAGGTACTACAGCTACTACAGCTACTACAGGTACTACGGCTACTACAGCTACTACAGCTACTACAGCTACTACAGGTACTACAGGTACTACAGCTACTACTTCTACTACGGCTACTACACCTACTACAGGTACTACAGCTACTACAGCTACTACAGCTACTACAGGTACTACAGCTACTACAGCTACTACGGCTACTACAGGTACTACAGCTACTACAGGTACTACAGGTACTACAGCTACTACGGCTACTACAGCTACTACAGGTACTACGGCTACTACAGCTACTACAGGTACTACAGGTACTACAAGTACTACAGCTGCTATCGCTACTACGGCTACTACAGCTACTACAGCTACTACAGCTACCACAGGTACTACAGCTACTACAGCTACTACAGCTACTACAACTACTACGGCTACTACAGGTACTACAGCTACCACAGGTACTACACCTACTACAGCTACTACAGGTACTACAGCTACTACAGCTACTACAGCTACTACGGCTACTGCAGCTACTACAGCTACTACAGGTACTACAGCTACTACCGCTACTACGGCTACTACAGCTACTACAGCTACTACAGGTACTACACCTACTACAGGTACTACAGGTACTACGGGTACTACAGGTACTACAGCTACTACAGCTACTACAGCTACTACAGCTACTACAGCTACTACGGCTACTACAGCTACTACAGCTACTACACCTACTACAGCTACCACACCTACTACAGGTACTACAGCTACTACAGCTACTACAGCTACTACAGGTACTACAGCTACTACAGCTACCACGGCTACTACAGGTACTACAGGTACTACACCTACTACAGGTACTACAGCTACTACAGCTACTACAGCTACTACGGCTACTACAGCTACTACAGGTACTACGGCTACTACAGCTACTACAGGTACTACAGGTACTACAGGTACTACACCTACTACAGGTACTACAGCTACTACAGCTACTACAGCTACTACAGCTACTACAGGTACTACAGCTACTACGGCTACTACACCTACTACAGGTACTACAGCTACTACAGCTACTACAGCTACTACAGGTACTACAGCTACTACAGCTACTACGGCTACTACAGGTACTACAGGTACTACAGCTACTACAGCTACTACAACTACTACAGGTACTACGGCTGCTACAGCTACTACAGGTACTACAGGTACTACAGCTACTACGGCTACTACACCTACTACAGGTACTACAGCTACTACAGCTACTACAGCTACTACAGGTACTACAGCTACTACAGCTACTACGGCTACTACAGGTACTACAGGTACTACAGCTACTACAGCTACTACAGCTACTACAGGTACTACGGCTACTACAGCTACTACAGGTACTACAGGTACTACACCTACTACAGCTACTACAGCTACTACAGCTACTACAGCTACTACAGCTACTACAGCTACTACAGGTACTACAGGTACTACAGGTACTACAGCTACTACAGGTACTACAGCTACTACAGCTACTACAGCTACTACAGCTACTACAGCTACTACAGGTACTACAGCTACTACAGCTACTACAGCTACTACAGCTACTACAGGTACTACAGGTACTACGGCTACTACAAGTACTACAGCTACTACAGCTACTACAGGTACTACACCTACTACAGGTACTACAGGTACTACAGCTACTACAGGTACTACGGCTACTACAGCTACTACAGGTGCTACTACAGCTACTACAGCTACTACAGGTACTACAGCTACTACAGCCACTACAGGTATCATTGTGTCTACTAGGGTACAGCCACTACGGCACTGACAGTGGTGGGCGGTGGCCCGGGACATTTTGGGCAGTCTTACACCAAGTACTACCCGTACTGAATTTACTTCAAATTTTGCACAAAGTTTTATTGAACAACCCGGGCCCGAGAGGCTTAACGTCCTCGCATCCTCCAGCTTTGTAGCCACCCTCCAAGTGACGTCACCCGGACCTTTGCGCGGTGAAATATCGAACATAAACAAAACAAACGTATTTCATCGACAAAAGAGGATTCTTTAAAGGAAAGAACTAAAAGATGTAGTCATGGAGGACAGATAGAAGTTATGTCAGTGGCTAATTCTACTAAAGGACAACACAGTCCTCGTGCAACTCACATTTTTGGCGATCATTTCGCTTCGTTTTCGTGCCATCCGTCCGCCAGAAAAAATATTCCGGGACGAAGGCGATCTCCTTTCATTCTCTCTTCCTCGAGACTCGACATCTCTTCGTTATAATGGCAGAGCACGTAGGTGAATTTGTTTACAGCAAGAAGGACCTCATAGGACATGGGGCGTTTGCTGTTGTTTTCAAGGGAAATCACCGAAAGGTGAGAGCACATTTAATTTACCGGGGGACCCACGAAAGTAAAATTACTAAGTGATCATTCGTTTTCTAAAATTTTGCTCTCGTCGTCAGACACAAGTTAAGTATACTGCTTTGTAAACTTGAAGTTAGAAGTCTTTTTTTTGTTATTGTTTTATCTTTTTAGGTAACTGTTCAACTTGCTTACTTTATAACTGAGCTTACTTTTGTAGAGCAATGACAATTTATTTCCCTTTGGCTCGCTCTAGCTATATAAACTTAAGCTTAATTTTATTTATCTCGATATTGATGTTCCTCGGTTACAGGGAAACTACACTTCAACGAGATAAGCCACTATAGTATATATCTTAAAAGAAAAGATTTGCGAAAGTAAAAGGTTTTGTATACGCTAAATTATCCTCTTTTATCGGTCCAAATGCATGAAATCGATCTCAAGATCTTTTTCTGGTTCAAACCTTTCCTGCTTGCAGAAGGACGATTTTGTTGTTGCTATTAAAGTAATTGCGAAGAAAAATCTTTCCAAGACCCAGAATTTACTTGCAAAGGAGATCAAAATTCTGAAGGTAAGACCGGTGTATCTTCTTTATATATTTTAACATTATTGGTACCTACATGGTCTGGTAACTCGGACTTAGTGCATGATAATTCGTTGTTATTGCATGACAGTGTAAACATGCTGTACCCCCAGGGACACAAAGAAAATTCTCAACTATCCTGTGTGAAAGGATACAAAGGATGAAAGAACGCACGTGATTATTCCATGATCAGGTTTTGCTTCTGCAATATAGCTTATTTATCTTTCCTCCACATTAATCATGCTTGCTGCCATGCAATCTTACGTGAAGTTGCTGTTTTTTGTTAACGTTGTTAACATTTTTATCGAAAATTTGATCCTTTTTATAGGAACTTCATCACGAAAATGTTGTCTCACTGTTTGACTGTCAGGTAACAATCGTTTTTCATCTTTTTTGTATTTTTTTTTGCAAAAAGAATTTTTGTAAATAAAAGTCAATATTATGCATACCTAAATGGCTATCATATTTGAGTGCCATTGATGTTTTCCATAATTTTGCTTGCTTACATGGTATCTGGGAATTTACATATGTTGGCTTTTTTCCAGTAACAATAGTTCTGTAAAGAAACTTGCGATATTATAAAATTGATAAGTTTTGGATATTGTTAAGTTCATGATAAGAGGGATAAAGTAAAGTTCATGAAAGTTGTCATATATTTTTTAAGAGTGTGGCTTGTTTTCATGAGCAAACATACCCCTCCCCACCCCACTGAAATGATTGATTTCAACAAAATTATTTTTGTGTTTTGTAGTTAAGGAAGAACTAATAAAAAGTACATGAATTCCATTTGTTTATCTACACAACATGATTCAAAACTTTTGTCAAATTAATGTTATACCTGTACTTCAAGATCATATCCCTCACGGTGCAAAGAAAATCATTTTTACAGCTTGCCATTCGGGCAAGCTGAAGCTAGCATTTACTAGCCCAGGCATCATTTCAACTACTAGCGCCAAAAGCTTTTTGACAAGCAGAATTGATTTCACAGTTCTTCTGTTATTCGAATTGCTCAAAAAACATCACTTGCCCATCGGGCAAGTTAAAAACAGAATTCACCAGCCCCATAGCAAAATCCACTAGCGCCGGGCTATCGGACATTACTTTCTTTGCACGCTGCCCTAAACTAAAATATCAGCTAAAACAATATATTATGGGCAAATTTTAGAAAATGTTTCAAACACAGGACCCCATATTTCCTTATCTCTGATATTTATAAGATTATTGGTCCCTTAATTTTTTGAAATCAGGCACCCATGCCATGCTGCAAGATTTCAAGAACTCATACATTGCTTCTAATTTATGTTTAGGCCTCCAGATTTCTGTCTCCAACTGTGCTTTAACCACCAGAGTTCTCTTGTTTTGCGTAAATGATGGTTGATTTTGATGGGTTTTTTTTTATCATAGGAGACTTCAAGCAATGTTTATCTTGTTATGGAGGTTGGTATTAACTCCTTCCACTTGTCACATTATTCCTGGAAATCCTGAAATGCTGTTATGTGAAGTATTGCTCTGTTATTTTGTTAGTTAACCTCAGCTTACTTTTTATTTTTTCAATTTCATGGTGATGGATTGTTCCTAAGTTGTAAACAAACAAAAGTAAAGTATATAGAAAAAATATTAATTTTGTTAATTCTGTATTTTCTCATGTCTTCATTTTCCAGTATTGCAATGGAGGGGATCTTGCGGACTATCTTCGTGGTAATAGATTGATTAATACCAACTTCTGTTGTTACTGTAACAATAAAAATGTATACTAACAAACTAGCAAGATCATTATATTTATTATTTATTATTTAATGTACGTAGGTGACGTGTGTGTGTATGTCTGTGTGCCCTTCATTCATACCAAGTACATTTTAACAGTTTTTCTTTGGTACATGTAAGGTCTTGCTCTCAGGTTTTGAATACAAACTTTTCTGTAGTCAAACATTTTGACTGAGTTAATTTTTCTTGTATGTTGTGTATCAAAGAAAGCACATGTACACCTGGTCAGGGAAGTAGTACTTTATTCACAGAAGTTGGCAGATCATCTGTTAAATTAAAATTTTAAGTAATTTTCCTTATAGGTCTAAATTCAGTAACTTTTCTTTTGTTGCAGAGAAAGGAACTCTCAGTGAGGACACAATTCAAATCTTTTTGGGTCAGATAGGTGAGCATCTATTGAGTTCTAGTGTTAATGTCATCATCATCATCACTTCTGATATCGTCTGCTAAGGTAATCCCTGGTTAAAGCTTTACAGTGCTAGCCTTCACTACATGTATACCATGAGTGTGCCTTAGTTTTGTATATCTTGTGGCCAGGGATGTCAGAAAGTTTTTAACTAGCAGGCTGATAATGAATAGGAGGCGGCTTTAGAACTCACACCAAAGGCACAAGTTCTTGAGGGCTGAGGCACCTAGGGACATTTTGAAACTTCTAAAGTCTCGCAAATGGTGCCATGTTGTTTCATCAGAATACATGCAAGACTGGGAACAATGCTGTCAAAATGTCCCAGGTGTTCCAAGACAACGAACGATTTGAACGTTTCACAGATCTAAACCTGTTTGAATATGCGTTCATTGTCATTCAAAAGTGGGAAATGGATGCTTTACAGTTTTATTAGATGGTGCTTATTTTTTGTTAGCAGTTATGGTAGAAGGATGTGAAAGTAGCAGGCGGTTTTGGCCGGCTACCGGCCCCTACTGACAGCTCTGTGTGGTTCGATTTTATCCTTGGTTTAAATGTTTTTCATTGTTTCAAACTCATTACCATACCCCAAAACAAAGGAAAATAAAATTAAAACCAAGGATAATATTGAACTACAACATACATGTACACATCAAGCCTTTGCTCTAATGATGTACATCATGCACCTTGTGTGTATTAATGTTAATTTATACACAGGGAGGACATTTTAGGGTGGAATAACACCATTCAATGTTTCTCAATTATGGTATACATGTGTACTCAGACATGATCTTCATAAACAAATATTTGCTGTATCATGCCTGTTGATTGTCTCTTATAAAATCCGATGATGCTGAAATTTGTTAACACCTTTACTCTCTGAGGGATGAAGTTGTTTCATTATTATTGTTTTTCCTTGTAAGAATAATTTTTTTATTTTGTTTATCTTTATTTCTTAAATATGTTTTTATCTACAGCTTCTGCCATGGGCACATTGAAGTCCAAAGGTGTGGTCCACAGAGATCTGAAGCCCCAAAATCTTCTCCTGCATCACACAGGGGTGGCAAAGCCCTCTCCATCAGATATCAAAATCAAAATTGGTAGGCTGTGTCCTTTGTAACTCATGAAGGTTGCTATTTATATTGTTTGTTGTTTTCAGTTTTGTTTGTGTAGACTTGAAGTTAAGAGTATTCATTATCATGTAACTGCAGACAACTATGAAAAGATTTCAGAGGCTAATTTATAACAAAAAATAGTTGAAAATTTTGTAGACTTACATGCAGGAAGCTGTCCATAGTGATGGTAATATTTTACTCGCTTGTTAATGCTACAGTGATTAGGTTCTAGGTAAAATTAGAACTGCCCTGTTTAATTTTTGTTGTTATTTTCTCTTGAGACAAAGGATGAATTCTCCATGTACCTGTGTTGTTTCTTCCTGGAAATATCTTGTCCATTGTTAAATGCTCTGGATGAAAAAAGTTAATAAAAAAATCTACAGTTGATATTTAATGTTAGAAATTCTGAGAAGCCTATTTTGAAATCATTTTGTAAAGAAGTGCTGATCTGTTGTAAATTTAATTTGTAAATCCTTTCTTCAGCTGACTTTGGGTTTGCAAGGTTCCTTCCTGGTGAGATGATGGCAGCTACATTGTGTGGATCCCCAATGTACATGGTGAGTATCTCCTAGTAAGCCTTTTGTTGAAATTGTAATTATTATCCTGTTAAATGGTAAGTCATCACTCTTTCTGTTTGGCACTACAAGCTACATATATATGCCAGAGATACTGCTCAAATCTCCCAGTATGCTGTATGATCAACAAATCTGTCGCATAAAATTGAATTCGGAGCTTTTTTTGCTTTAGTTTAAATTTTGGAAAGACTTGTACAGTTGTATTTTATCAATTACAACACCATTCCATCATAAAAGGGTATTTTGACTGTCAATACCTCATGTTAAACTTTGTTTAATGTCCTTGCCACATCCATGTTACTTCAGGGGACTTGGCTGATTTGTAACTGAGTAAGGGGGGGCGGGGGGAGAGGGACTGCAAAAGAGACAATCTCCAGATTTTGGACAGAGGTTGGCATAAAAATGCAGGGATCAGCTTCCAAAGGTATCATCTTCATAGGACCTTTTCACACCCATTGGTGCATACATGTAGCATGTACTCAAAGGTGTGGCCACTTCTTGGTCATTTAGCTTTTACCCTAAGAACTGCTGAATTGTACATTGTATTATGTGCAGGATGCAGTTTCGGCCAGGGAAACTGTAACAGGGTTTTAAAACAACTGTCCCTAGTGTACAGTCATTGGTGCACCTCCAATTATTCATTGATAAGATATTTATTTTGTTGTAGGCTCCTGAAGTTATAATGTCCAAAGCTTATGATGCCAGGGCTGATCTGTGGAGTGTAGGAACCATTGTTTACCAGTGTTTAACAGGAAAAGCTCCCTTTCAGGTTTGTTTCTCGTAGGTTATTCAACTTATATAAGGCATCTGTGCACTTTACCTGTTAAACCATCAGGGCTGTCGAGAAGATTTCAAGTTGCTGGGTATGTTCAATTTGTAGGCAGGGAGTTTAACACCTGGGCTTTTGGTTTTAATTTCCTTTTGTTCTTGTGAAAGTAGCCAGTAGTCATGTTTATAATGCCAACAGGAAATCCCCCACCCACGTTTAGTGACACCCCTGTTACCATTGAATACATAACTCACTTCCTATAATGAGTATGTAAAAGATAAAAAAATTAAAGAGTCTGGTTACATATTCTCTGAACAAAACATCTGGTGTAGTATGGCAGGTCTAAAATACAGGCCACATTCCAGAGGTCAGAGTACAAGTCACCATGCTACATATAAATAAACAGAACTAAGTGATTCCTAGACCTAACCACTGTTCAAAATGTTTTTATAGGTAAAGGGTAATTATTGTTTGGTGCTTAGTTATTATCATGAGCAGTGAAATTTACTCTAACAACTATTAATTTCATGTAAAACTAGAGGTGTTTACCTATAAATAGATATAAAATTCATTGACAGATGGTGCAAATCAAACATTTTACAGCATCGCCAAAAATATTCAAGACGTGCAAATTGGCTGTGGCGGGGCAAAATACTTAGCGCCCCACCGTGCAGCAAGAAAATTATTGTGAATCAAAGCAAACCTATTTTAGTTATGCAGTCAACTCCTGATAACTTATAAAATTCACTGGCAACAGATGGTGCAAATCAAACATTTTACAGTGCCGCAAAAAATGCCTAATTTTCAATTTTCTAGACGTGCAAATTGGCCGCGGTGGGACAAAATACTTAATGCAGCCCTCCAGCGTGGCAAGAAAATTATTGTGAATCAAAGCAAACCTATTCTGGTTATAGTTTTGATAAAGCCTCTCACTTTCCAGAGTTTCAGGCAACATTATTTTTCACACGAAATTGAGTGGGCGGTTTTTACTGAGACTACCTCTTAAATCTCATTTATAAAGCATGAGTTCTAAAAAATAACTATTATTGTCTGCAGGCAAATAGTCCACAACAGTTGAAGAAGTTCTATGAGAAAAGCAAAACTGTGACCCCAAAGTGAGTGAATAATGACAGATTTATTTACCCGTACACTTGCAAGGTATATTAATAGGGGTACATTCTGTACTGTTTTTGAATGAATTGACTTGAAGCTTTCTTGTACAATATTTTTTGACAGCATTCCAGCGGGTACTTCAAGTGACTTGAAAGACCTTCTTATTAGGCTGCTCAAAAGGAACCCACAAGACAGACTTGACTTTGGTAAAAATCATCATTTTTTGATTTTCCTCTGTTACTTTTGTTTAAGATTGTTGTGGTACTTGAAAAGGATTCCAGTGTGTATAGTTGATTCCAATGCAATTGTACAGCATGACATGTCTTCAAGATACAGCTGAGATTAACACCTTTTCTAGGATTTTTAAGTCTGCAATAATTTATTAAATTTTGTATTAAAGAGGTTCACTGTCATTAGCCAGGTCAAACTATTATGTTCTCTTCCACTTTTTTAAAATTAAATGTATAATTTACAAAGTTATTGTACAGTTCATGGCTCACGTTTTGAAGACTTTACAAATTAATGTTGTTAAAAGCTAACAGTAAAGGGTTAATTTATGTATTAAACTCTAACATAGTCTTTTCATCTTGCAGATAAATTCTTTTCCCACCCCTTCTTGACTGGTCAGGTCCCTCGTAGTGCTTGTAAGTCAGACAACATTAATTTTGTTTGTGTGGTTGTGTGCCACATGAACTAAATGTGTTGGATAGATGCACCATATGCTGTTAACATACCAAGGGAGCTGTGCAAGGCCAAAGTGAAACAAAATGAATTTTCCTACAAGTGAATGGCCATTTGCATGTGCATTTTGATAATTTATTCTTGTTTCTGTAATTACCGTTACTATGAGCTTGTCCCCAGAAACAACTTTCTAGTTGTTCAATTCCCTGCTTACTAATTATTGCATAAAACCGGCAACTTGACAATTAATGTTAGTGATAGCTCTCACCATATTCAGCTTGCACTGTAAAACTTTTTGGTGCATGCCCAAAGCAGTAAATGTTTGTCAAAGGCAGCATTCGCTAAATATTTGGAGTGACCGTTGCAGATGAGCCAAGGTTTCATCACCAGGTTCAGTTACGATACGAGCGCTAGTTTCCTCCTAAATAGGCTCCACTGGGACAATCTTCCACATGTTGAAAGAAGCTAATGCCATATTAATGTTTAAAACAATGAGCTTTTCCCTGTGTACCTGCAAGATTATTTTATTTAACATCCGGAGTACTATGTATAACCTAAAAGATTGTAAAATTAAACTAGACCTGCCCAAACCTCGCACAAACCATCACAAGCGTAGCTTTTGGCTACAGTGGGGCGGTCCCATGGAATAGCCTACCCCTCAGCTTAAGGAAATTGGACTCTCTTGGACGCTTTAAAAGGGAAATTGACCGACATTACAACAACAATCGTTCAGGCTCCCACACGCCAATCTTGTAATTTAACAGCTATTACTTTATCATTTTTTATTGTAATACTGAGGATTCTACTGGATATAAAAAATTAAAGTATGTATGTATGTATGTAATAAAAAATAAGGTAAAGAGTAATGTCGGAGATAAAGTTCAACAATGTTTTAGTGTGAGTCACGATTATGCCACTTTCAAATTCAAACAGTCTAGTTGATGAACTAGCTGTCCATAAACTGTCAGAAACATCTAAAAATACATTTCACGACTCTTTTACTAAATTGTTATTGTTTATCATGATGGAAAAGAAAATTTACTAGTCAAGTTAATATTATAAGTTTCTTTACTTTTACATGTGCCTGAAAAATTCATAATACTTATCATTGTTTAGAGCTTGAGTATAAGAGAATAACTATCAGTTAAATCGTACGAACTAAAGTTCCCTTGATGTTTTCTTTTGTTTTTGCCTAAAGCCACACCAGTAGCTGTACCAGTTAGTCAACGGAAATTTTCAAGTACTTCCCAGGGAACACGATCACCTTCGTATTCACCAGTAAGTTGATGAAAATAATAGTAAGAGTATAACAGTTCTAGAGTATTGATGACTTAAGCAGTTCTGATGGCTACCCCAAGGAACATTTCACTTGAAGTAAAGCAACATTGCAAAAGCATTTTGTTTATTTTGTTCTAAGGTTCTGAATTCTTTATACATGTTTATTGGCTGAAAAACAGTTGTTGAAGTATTATTATCAAGAAAATATGGAATTTTACCACACAAACTGTTATCTCAAAAACTGTTAGCAGTTCCCTAATGATTGTTCGGAGCATGTAGAATGCAAGCCCTTTTATGGATTGAACATGGACTGCTTGCAGTCTAAAGTAATTTTAATGTTTTTCATCCTTCTAAAGAGCTATGGTGCTGAAGCTTTGGGTGACATACGTGTTGATCTCCTTCCTTGTGTGACTCCACCCAATGACCCAACTGTTATGTCGCCCCAGGATCCACCCACTATCATGAACATCAGCTCCTCAGGAAACAGTAAGTTCTGTTTTTTGTTTTTCAGTAGCAGTTAGCAGCTTGTTAAGTATTTAAGTGCAATGGTGTTATGTGCAATTTGCTTTTCGATTTTGTGCTTAACATTAGTGCATCATTTAAGCCTCCAGTGTACAGAGAGAGTTGTATTGCATTTATACTTCCTGTCTCTTTCTCACATGAATGGGTCAATCTGTTTTTAAGCTACTTATTTTTGCTCTCATTTTTAATGCACATGTAGATTAATGAAGAGTCACTGCAAAAAGGGCCCTCAAATTGACAGTGATTTCGTCTTTTTTTGATTCTATTCATATCTCTTATTGTACATAATATTTCACCTTTTATAGTCCACATTCATATTTTCAATTGATAAATTGACACTAGTGTATTTTTTATTGTTTTTAGTGTATTTTTTAATTTTTTATTATCCTACAATGTATTAACATTTTTTACATGGCCCATAAGCTATATTATTAGCTTTAAAACCCACCGTGTTTAAATAAAAGATGCTTTTTTTTTCTTTTTTAGATACAAATTTAATTGGACATGTAAACTAATTATGATATCATGGTGATTTCTTGTCCTGAGTTGCTGCTCTTTTGAACCTGTTTCAATTTTGTTGTGTTGATGTATCCGCAATGTTTGGTGTGGGTGTTAACAAAATACCTGTCTTAGTGGGCAAAATATTTTCATCTGATGTTTTGGAACATTAATTCTGATTATTGAAATCCAATGATGGTGATGATATGATTTATTCTGCATGTAGATTCCAGTGCTCAGTGTAGTTCTCCAGCAACTCCAGATGATGAATTAGCACCTGAGGTTTGTTCCATAACTTGATAACTTGACTCACTACTGAGCCTTTTAGTCTTAGTTAAATATCATGTTTGAAGAAATAAAATAATATAGACTGCAAAACAGTCATTTTTTTCTCAAAATCAGTAAAGAAATCGGTAAAGCGTGGTGTAAGAGTCTTGCCCGCGAGAAGGGCGTGTGAGACGAGAGAAAAAAAATTATATTTAGCGTCTCTCCCCAGTCTCGCTCTCTGTTTTCAGCCTCGTTCCAGACCTTTTGTTTGACTGCTCGCGCATACTTGAATATGCAAAAAATACGGACTGTTTTGCAGTCTAAAATAAATACAGCACAAAAAATTATTTTGTTGCGATATACCTACACGTATCTGTTTTTCTTTTTTGTTGTAGGGCTTTGTCCTTGTTCCCTCAAACCCTGAGAATCCAAGTAAGTGGCTTTTTTTAAACAGAGCATCAACACGAAGAAGGGAACTGTTGTTTTAATATGCATCTGTTCTAAGGGGTGTGCCATTGGTAGCTGAGTGAAAGACTGTTTATTATTGTTAGTTTCTAACTAACTGACATGATATATTGCATTTTAATTTGCTCCAGGATTTCAACAACAAAGAAATCCCTCAGATCCACTTTTTCCTTTCTACAAGTGAGTTTATTTTGCCTGCTGTTTTCCTTTTTTCATCATCTTCAACCTGTTCTAATGGTTATCATAACATTTTGTCCTTCTTGTGCCCTTCCATTCTTACCATTTTTGCTGTCATTTGTTTCTGTCCTTTAAAAGCATTCCATTGACGTAAGAAAAAAATTTATTATTGCTTCCATTAAAGTAGAATCCTGGAAATTCCAACCAAAACTGACTTTCCTTATCCTCAACAAAACACTGTAATTCTACTCCAGACTTTTCAAGGCGTTCAGATGATCATTTAAACCAATTTCCTTTTCCCCAGGAGGATTGAAAAAGTTAGATTCCATTCAGGCCAAAACTCAGTCTTAAAATACTTGAGGATGAAGCTACAACTTCGCGTAGCTTGGATGACCATTCCAAGGGGTGTTCCTTGCCAAATGCATTGACACTCTAGAAAGAATGTTATTATAAACAATAACTTTTAGATGAGTTCAGCCTTGACTGATAACACTTACACTGTACAGCGTGGGTGTACGTCAACCTTGATTATTCCAGACATCACAAAAGCAGAATATAGCATTTGTTTTATTATACATTGTTTTGGAGAAAATAATGACAAACACCATCACAGAGAACATAGTGAAACATTGCTCTTGGAAATCAAGCATAGTGGTTGTAACCTATTGTACAGCCAGTTAGTCAGCTAGGTTGCACTCATTTCCAAAATTAACTGGAGAAGACTGATAGTGAGTGCAGTGTATAATAACTATCATAATTGTGTTTCGTTTCTGCAGTCAATCACCTCCAAGGCCTAGCAGCCGCCCTTACTCTCAATCCCCTCCATTATCCCGCACACCACAAAGAGCCACATTTACAGTTGGGTCCCCTTACTCTACATCACCTTCCTCCCCTCGCATGCAGCAACCAGCACTCCACAGTCCGAACTCCTCTCCCTCCTCAGCGGAATCCTCACCCATTGAAATGAGAATACGGAGACGTACAAATTCTTCCCCTCGGATTGTACCTCGCGGGGAGCTGTCTACCTCGCCCCGGCCAATACCTAGGCCACATACAGTGTCTGGATGTATTGGTGGTAAGCAAGGGTCTTCACGAAAGTCTCCTTCACCCACTCAACATGATTCAAGCACAAGTGGTAGTGCTAGAAAACAGCAGAATAGCTCTCCCAAATTGTCTGGCACCAAGGGTACCGTCAAAGGTTCAACCATGAGTAAGGGTGGCCAGGAAAGCAGTCCCGTGTTTCAGAAAGAGGTACCAGCTCAATTTGGTACTAAGGCATCTCCTACAACTCTCACTGAAGCTGTACAATTGATGAATGAGCAAGCGCTGGCACCAGATGCCGCAGCATTTGCTGGATTCTCAAGCACTGATGTGAACAAGGGTCTCGCGCGGCCTGCTTCTTGTAAAATTAGAAGAGCACTGTCAAATATCGAGCATTTAGTCTCTAAAGATACCTCACCCATCTTGACAGCCTTGGTATGCCAATCCAATGCAGGAATGGGCATCCCAATAACAGATCTCTCTGAACCCGGTGCAGAAAACAAACAGATGATTCGTGTACATAGCTGCCCAGCCATCCTAGCCATGGGTCTGCCTCGCAAAACAGGGACGTTGTTAACTACACCAGGATTCCAGCTTGGGGGAGGAGCTACACCTCCAGTTTACCATCGGAGTTTAAGTGGAGGGTACTCTCCCTTGAAGGCTAAAACCCCTCCCCTTTCATCTTCTCCCTCGTCTACAGCACTCCCCACCATACCTGGCTCTCCTACCAAGACGTCCCACAGCAACAAAGATTCAGCTGTTGACCCAGACAAAGAGATGAAGCCATTAAGGGGCCTGTTCACTGTAGGCTCTTCATCACCCCTGGACAGTGACACTGGGATATTTTGCTCTCCTGGACAGAATTTCCAGAACAGAAAGACGATTACTGGAGAGAAACCTGCTGTTGTGAGTCAAGGTACAGTGTGCTTGGAAGATTAAATTAATTTAAGTACTGTGAATAATATTCTGATTTTGTGATCATTGTTAGGGTGTCCTTCTCCCTCGTAGCCCATTTTTATTTGCCACTTTAAATTTCTCAAACTTAGCCTATATAACAGCAATTTGAAAGATCAGCGTTACACTCTATGAATCAAAGTGGAACTAACCCTGGTTTGTAACCAGGTGATACACAGCTCTGAAAATCAGCAAGAGGAATGGCCACCCCAAGTCGTCTTGTAAAGCACGTAGATCATACTACCTGACTGCTCTCGTTTGATTGCTATCAGAATGGGCCATTTGCACCATGACATCATTTACTACTACGACCAGAATCCTCCAGGGTTTTCCTTTCTTGTGCAAATTACGGCTTTTGTCATTTAAATCTCGCTGGGATTACCAAGATTTAAATATGAAAAGAAAAAGGAAAAGGATTCTGGTCCTAGTAGTAAAATGACGCCATCGTCCAAATGGCCTGTTGTTGCACAGGCGATCGTCAGCCGAGAGAAAAAAAATAGGATTTCAATAAGAAGCTGGCGATGAGGCGGGAAGAGAAAAAGGGAGACACCCCTCTCCCCGTTCACCTCCTTGCTTTCTCTTGTCTCCAGTCACGCTGTGCTTCTATAAGTATAGTCTAAGTACCGTTGTTCTATTATTAAAACTCAGTTATCAAGTAACTGGACCAAACAGAAATAAAGGAATATACCTTTCCTCGATTCCTGTTAACAAAGGCACCAACTTAATCCCATTTCATTGTATGATCTCACCAGTGACATGCAGGAGAGGTCTATACTCAACTGCTGACACAATGAGTGAAGACAAGTGGAATAAAATCATTTCTACAATTTCCAGTCTATTACTATTGCAGTAAAAAAGTAAATTTCACGACTTTGAGTCGTTATTTACTGACATTTGCTTCAGGTACAAAAGTGACCTGGGGATTTGGAGAAAGCTCACCTCCCAAGACCCCTAAACACGTCATGGTCGCCAAGGAAACGGAGGTCATGTCACCTGATATGGAAGGACCTATAGCTCTTGTTGCACCTGAACTACCTGAAGATACACTGTTGGATGTAAGAGAACGACACTAACTGATTTTATAAGTGGTGCTTTGGACTCTGCTTGCTAAATTCTGAATGAAACTAGAAACAGTGAATTGAACTTCCTCAGTTTACCCTTGTATATTTGTGTTATTCGATAAGATTTGGGCGAGCAGAACATAGAACGTTTTCACATGACGCCACGTCCGCCATATTAGGGACTTAACGATCCGACAACGCGACGGCAACGAAAACGTCGCTTCAAAAATGAATTTGCGATCTTTCGGTCTTAATCGCGATTATTCCAACTCACTTACTTCGTCAAATGTAGGGGAACCCTTCCGGAGTTGAATTTCTAAAAATCAAGTTTAGAAGAGAATAAAATTTCGTCGTCGCTTGTTTACGTCCTCCCTAAAAAGTAAAATTAGGCAATTTCACATTGCACATATTTCGCGGATCTTGCAGGTCATGTAGGTCAAATGTTCGTAAGAAGGAGGGTATCACCAAGACCGCAAGGGTGGACCTAGGAAAATCTTTAGTCTATGTGATCAAGCCAATCCTAGTTAACTAACACAAAATTCTAGCAAAATGTATTTTTTACTCATCTTGTTTGACTGAATTTATGAATCGCAGACGGAACATACCGAAGGAGTCAAGAAACTAAGATTTGTTGTTGGATTGGTGGATGCCATTCTAGAAGTAATCAGTTCTAGGGGAACTCCTTTCACGGTTCTTGCTGAATCCGTGGCCATCAGACAAGTGAGTGCGGACAATTCTCCGAGTTTTATTTTCGGATCAAAATCAGGATAATGATGAGCTTTCAACTTTTGGAGGAATTGATCAGTGACTTTAACTATCGTTTTGACCGTCTTGCAGAATGAAAGCTTTCTTGCGGATCAGATTGGTCTAAGGAGCGACGAGTTAAGGTAGACAACAGTTATGTTTTCTTATCTTCCATTATAACTGGGGATGGGATTAGGGGTTTAGTCATAGTACAACAGCTTTTTCATACTTGACAGGTGATCGGAAAAACAGAGGTTGATGTATTTTTGTTCTTAGGTTTTATTTTTTGCTTTTTGCGCATGACATGATTAGAAAATTTCAATTGCAAGTTAGATACAGTATCTCCAACCTGGAATAAATTATGCGTTTATTGAAGGAGGTAATTGGTTAATTCCTCTCCTAAGCGCAAAATGATAAAAATTTCCAACATTTGATAAATTGTGTCCGCTACCAGGACATTTTCGCCAAAACTCGTAGTAGAATGATGACGGCTACGTGTATCATTTTTCCCGCCAAAATGATGGTCCACTTAGTGTGGAGAAAATCCCGTCTTCGTAGTCGTCGTCGTCTTAGATTTTAAACGTCGTTATTGTTCCAGCACTCCATTTTGCTACAAGTATCCTATTGGGAAGGGTTACGGTAAAAAGTTCCATCCCCGCGAGAATCTATTATTAGTCATTTGTCTAGTTGATTGTACTCTCCGTCACTAACATGCCAGCATCTTTGCAGGAAAATGGAACAGCTTGTTCTGTACGTTAAAGCCCTCCGTGCGCTTAATCTCTCCTTGCTTTTTGCACAAGGGGAAATCTCTGTTGGACATTTGAAGCCCTCGAATTCCGTCAAAAACGGTAAGAAACTCATACGTAAGCGCATAAAAAGTTACACTTTTTTCGGGTGGGCACGAAAGTTGGCGGTTGAAGGTCAGGCATAAAGTACAGTCGAACCACGTTAATACGAACGCTCAAGGGACCATAGAGAGTCCGTATTAGTACGCGGGTTTTTTTTTTTAAAGTCAAAAAACACCACTTATTAGAGTAAAATTCTAAAGAAATAAAAGAGCACATTAGCATCATCAAATTAAACATCTCAAACCTTTACAAAGCTGTCATTCCGCGAACTAAATCTACGCGGGAAACACTCAAAATTCGCTCATCTATATATTGCTTAATCAAACCGTTCTCTGCATAACTCGTTTGATGCCAAAATAATCTGAAATTGACGTCTACAAATCATCCTATCCGGAGTACTGTAGCGCTAGGAACATCGACACGCTGTCGTCATTTGAAGGATTTTTTTGCCTTTAAAAACAAAAAAAACTTATTATAGTACACCGTTGATAATGAAGTGTCCGCATTAGCGAGGATGACTTTCTATGAGAATCTGTTGATTGGACAAGAAACAAGTGTCCGTTGTCCGTATTAACGGGTTGAATTTAGAGGGAAATGTGAGGGCTTTCCCCAGGGACAGAAAAACTGTCCCAATTAAGCGAGTGTCCGTAAAGCGTTGTTCGACGATAGGTGGAGGGCGAAGCTGCTTTTAGATCATCTGCTGATAGAAATCCCAAGTTTGCCTTCTAATTGTTTTAATAACATTCTGCTAGTATTCTGCTGCAATCTATGAACACTTTCTGGTGTTTTCTTTACAATTAATTATTGGTATATAACCACTGGTTTTCTCCCTACTTAGGAGCCGAAGGATAAGAAATACTTAAGCTAATCAGAGTGCAGGATTCTCAGAAGTGTATTTTTGTAGCAGAATTCTAGTATGTAAAATTGATATTTGAGAAAAGCCAAATGGTACAAAATAACTACAACAACAACCGTTGAGGTCGAGAAACCAAAAGCCAGATTTGTAATCTGTGCTGGTCAAGCGCGGCAAATCTACTACTCTTTGCCAAGCTTTAAAAGATGTTTTTTCCTGTGTTCATTTTTTTAGTTCTAAACGATCTAAACAGTCGCTATCATCAGTGTTTACAGAAGGCTTCGGAGCTGAAGCAGCTTATCGAACCAGGGTTACAATCCCTTGATGGAAAAGCTATGACAGTGAGTTCATTTACCCAATAGAAATAGATTCTTTACTGATACAGCTATTTCGAGAATGGTTGTCGGAAAAAGTGCACGCGATAATCCCGAAAGGTATTGTGGGTGGTTCCTCACGGAAATTTGAAATAATGGCATGAGAGGCCATGGAGATATGTTTGCTATAGTGCTAAAGGAAAGTGGCAAAAGTAGGTTCGAAAGCTATAGTGTCAGGAACAGTGTATTGATCATATCCCATATTACCTTTCGGGATTGTCGCGTGCACTCTTTTTCCCGTTCGAAACCAAAGCAATTACTAACGATTAGTTAGAAAGGAGAGTGGCATAGTCTAACTTGAACAAAACAAGTCAGTTTTGTGCTTGTGTCTCTTACAGGTTAGTGCGGACAGGATGATGTATCAATACGCAATGGAACAGGTAGTGCACTCTGACTTTCAAAGCTTTAGAAATTAAACGTATCATTTTTCAAGTATCGAGAAATAAACGAACTCACCTAGGCCCTGTCTTAGCAGAATAAACAGCAGCGTACGCAAGGATTTACTAATGGCCACACTTCAAAACCACATTTCACATACTTATGCCATTGGCAAAGAAAACCACAGTGCGAACCAAACAATCAATCAATCACTTTTAAAAGATATGACGGGAAAGGATGTTCGGAGGCAACTTTGTAACATCAAATCAATCAATCTCGACTGGCTGTACAGGACAAAAACCGATGTTTTCTTACGATAAGCAAGGGATTTGTTTGATAGATCGTAGTTTAGTTTAAAGAGAGAATCATTGTATGATAATTATGTTTGTTTGGTTTTTTAATTAGTGTCAAAACGCTGCCCTTGATGAGCTTTTTGGAAATCCAAAGGAGGTAAGACTTAATCGGATATAATTTTATAAAATACATATTGTGACCTGGCAGGCGTTAGAACCACCAAGGCTGGATACAAAGCAGCGGACTACAGTGGATCCTCTTCTTTGGGAAACCTCTATTCAAGGGACACACAAAATATGGTCCCGGAAAAGTGTTCACAAAGTCTTTGTATTTGTTACCTCTTGCGAAGAAACATCTCTATTCAGGGGAAACGGACACTTTTTTGGGGCCCCGACACCGAGGTTTAACCTCCATTCAGGGGACACCTTAGCAATCAAAAAAGTGACTGACCACTCGTTGATAAGTTCATGAGTGCACTCGTCACAATGGCGACAGCTTTCAAAACATGAATTAACTCACTTAAATCGATGTGCTGCACTTGTGGGAATTCAACACACAACATCTCAGAGAAAAGTTGATCGTGATTTTTCACACATTATCTAGCTGCTTGAAGTAATGACGGGAGCAGATTCCGTAGTCTATAAGAACAGACGCCGTTTTCGGCTGAAATAAAAATATTTAATTTGTTTGTTGATTATTAACAAACCCCAACCCAACCTCTTTTCAGGGGACACTTTCCTTGGTCCTGAAGGTGTCCCCTGAATAGCGGTTCCACTTTAGGTGATTTGAAGTGTCTTGTTCCAACGTAGCGGGAGATTATGACGTAAGCCGAATACCGGTACACAAAATCGAGGACGTGAAAAACAGTCCTCATGAAAAGTTTCGTTTACATTCTTTTCACTCGCAATTTTGTCCTCTCATCCTTTTCTGCTCAGTGCAAGAAGAAATACGAGACAGCTCAAGTACTCCTTCAAGGTCTGGAAGAAGACGCCCATACTGATGAAGATCGGCAGCTACTACACAAATGTATCCTTTTATATCTTGTTATCGTTTGCTTCATGTTTATCCCAAGTGCTCAAAGCACGCAACATGTTGCGTTTTTCATTAATTACAGTAGTTTTAAAAATGGTTTCGGCGGGTTAGAAATCCTTGTTTTCTTCAAGTAGGCTTAGAGTTAATCGCAGTTGTGATTGTCTTCCGAACATCCTACGTTGATAATGACTTCAGACGATTTATAGCAAAGCTTTGAGCTTTGCGCACGACATCGTTGTAATTTAGTTTATCAACACATAATTGTTTGGTTTTGCTTCTTATATTACTACTAACGTGAGAAATTTCTTCAATTTGATTGGCTTAGAGCAGTGGTATTTCAGCTCAATTTGAAATACCTACATGTGAAAATTACAATCCCTTGGCAGGTAGTAGTATAAACAAAGAATAGCATGATTTGTACGTGGTATTTATGCCTAATATCACTACAAATCATGCTATTACCTATACAAACTGCAACAACTCAATGGAAATTCATGAAGGAAATACACATTTCGCAGACTGTAGACCATAATTTGTTGTAAAGATGAGAGACTGAAGCTCAAATATGTCGACCCTTAACGGGAGACTCAGATAAGGTCGCAGTGGATAAACGATTGACGTGTATCTCAAGGACGAGGTCTCGCAGGTCAAGTCAAAGTAGCTCTCGTGGTGTGAACGCGTGATAATTTGAAAGGCGCCATGTGAATGCACTCTAGGGAGAGTTGTAAAGACGCCTTTCGAACTCATTTTAGTAAGATAACTGATGGGTAAGGTGGACACGTATGGTGTTTGCGTCGTAAATGCAGCTGTTGGGCAATTAATTTTTAAGCTGCCTATCCATATTTACAATTGTATAAAATGCTAGTAGTTATTACAGGCGGTTTCTCCTTTGTTCATACAAGTTTAAGGGTATGAATAGAGGTTTTTTAGGTAACGATGAGAAAGTTTCACCCTGCCTGTGGTGCGTTGTTTATTTATTGCTGGATTATACGCTTTTTATTGCCTGTTGTATAAGGGACTTCAAGTTTTTTCGTTTTATTTATATTGAATATTTGTGGTTTGTATATTATTGAAGACGAGGTCTAAAGTATTGTGAAGCGTATCTTATACTTTTGTTTCTTTATAAACTATTACGAAACCTTTTGATAAACAGAGCCTAGATCACGCTATTTTGTATAATTGCAGTCCATTTTTCCAACTTGCCTTAAAAGATTGTTCTATGCTGATTAGAATTCAAAACAGTCGTATGGCTGAACAGCGTCTATCGCGCAACCGATTTTTATTCTTACGTAATTAGTTTGAAGGCTTCCTCTTTATTTTTAAAAGCATACTGGATAAATGATTGCACCCAGGAGCAGTGTAATAATTTATGCTCTCTGTTCCTGGTCTCGTTTTTTTAGCGCGCACATGAGTGAACTTACGCACATCGATGCCGGGTTACTTATGCACATCATTTATAGAATCAATTTGATACAAAATCAAGAAAATAGCGTAGATAGATCTTGGTAAAAGGCTATTTGTATTGTAATAACGATAGTTATCAGATGTAAATATAAAAGTAAATCTAAGTGAAAAAATCGTTTCATACGATTCATGATTGCATTAGAACGTTTATAGCAACAGAGTTTTGATAGTTAAAAAATTGTAACTTATAATAATTTAAAAGTCCTTTGGTTCAATTTTAAATAAAATCAGTACGCTCTTTATAAAAATTTTTGCTACGGAGGAGTCAACAAAGTGAAATTTATGCCAGTTAAGTTATAGCTTTGTCTTTTCTTTTGGCTTAAAATATTCACAAAAATAATCAAATGTCTTTTTGTAAATTAAATCATACGAAATAAATGTTGTACCGTGCAAAAGGTCTGCCTAGTGAATGATTCTTTTCTCAGCAGATTAAAAAAAAATAGGTTGACAAAATCTCTCAACATGATTAACGTGGTCCAGTATACTAAGCGAGGCGCTCATTTACTTATTGGTTTTGTACGCCGACAGTCGTCCACCGTATGGAGAGAATAACTGTACCTAGGAATTTCAACAAATGAAAATGAAGCTTGCGGTTTATAACGCTTGCTAATTAATTTTGCATTTGTAAAGAAAAAACAAGTTTTAAAATCGATAAAAGGGTTGACACTAAATTGCCTGAAGGTGTTCTGTAATGTAGCAAACTTTGCACAATTTTTTGTTAAAAGTAAAGAGCCTTTACTATTTATACACTTATATGAAGAGATGATCATTTGTCTTTAAATCATGATGTAACGGACCTTCTAAAGATTTTAGAAAAGGAGAGTTTTGGTGGAAAACCTATAATGAATTCTATGGTTTTCCATTTCTTTTAGGAAAAAACACTTTCACAAGAAAACCCTTCAAAATCAAAACGGTTAACCAGAAATATGTACACATTTTATACTTTTGGCCAACTCAAGCACATGTTTTGTACGGTTTGTTTTCGAAAAAATCATGATGCTCTTTATTTATTCGCTTGGCGTGACAGTTTTCGCCTATTTTGTACTATTTTCCCCTTTCTGCGGTTTATTTTTCCTGTTACTGATTTTATGAATTTGATTTTAAGTGGACAGTCTTAGCGGAAAAGAAAGCAAACTTGTTCATCAACTCTAATTAGTGCTTGAAGTACGTTGTTGAAATTGCGATAGGTGCTAATGATAACATTAGTGAAAGAATCTTAATTGTTCCTAAGTACAAACAATTTGTGAGTTTTACATTAAATACCCGGTAGAGAAATTTTTTTTCTTAAATTTGTTAACAAACGAGTCTTGCTAAGAAACTACTGGCAATTCGCTCCGAAAGTGATTGGTTCGAATTTCGGCTGGTTCTGTATTCTAGACTTAATTTCGGTGCATTCTACAAAGTATCTTTTGTCGTTCAGTTATAATTTTATAATGATTATTTGCTACAATTAGTTGCTTATTAGTGTTAGTGTTTCATATCAATACCACAGAAGTAATAACAAAGCAATTTGTCTTCGTCAGGCAAAAACGAACCATCAGAGAAGTCGACACTGAGGAGTTCAAACTGTCTTTAAATATAGCACAAGAGAGTGGTCGACAGAACTCACTTTGTTCAAGGCATCCTTCAAACAGTTGTTTCTTTGACACTGGTTCCTAGGGGCTGCAACTTTTTGCTACTATTGACATCAGTGAATGGACAGCCGCATTTCAAATACGTCATGTTCTTATTAGAAAATCAGAGAAATGAATTCAAACTGTTCACTGGGAAACCAAAAAAGTTGACATAACAGCATAACCTTTTCATCTCAAAATTGCACATAGTGGTTTGAACTTCCGTCAGTTCTAACTTTTAAGCGATACATCTCAGTAAAACGAGATGAAAACAACTTATCAAAACTTATCCACTAACGTACTAACGTTTAGCAAGCCGCGTAACACTTTCATCTTCAAATTGCACATTGGAGTTTGAACTTTTGTCAATTCTAGTTAGCGAGAGATATCAGTAAAACGAGCTGGAAACAACTTATCCTCTATATACCGAAGTTTAACAAGCCTTACCAGCTTTGAACTTAAAATCCGATTCACATTGATTATTAGCTTGGGTTAAGTCCATAAAACGGTTTTGCAAGTACGGTGCTTCGCTCTCGGGTTAGAAGTGTGCTCGAAATTATAGCAGCCGCTCCTTCGCTCGCTAATTCTGAATGAGTATTACTTCGTTTCTTTTTTTTCCCAAGTGAAGAAGGTTCTCATATCTCGCTACAAAAAATGCTTGTTTATCGTACTTCTTTCCTTCGCCATCCAAGACCCTTCTCAGTTTGATTACTTCATCGTGCCATATCTGTTCTGTGGCAAAACCTTCGAAGCTCGACACATAAGCGAAATGCTCTCCTGCATCCTGTATAAACAGCCCACTTTCTTTGGGCGCTGGTGGACATTTTACACTATCATACGGCAGATGAAGCGAGGCGACCACATCCGCTTCACTCCAAGGTCCGTACGCTTCTTTCCCAAATTCAACACGAAGCTTGAGTGGACATGTTAAATCCATGACTTTCTCTGGACCGTTCGTACCGTTAAAATAGCGAGCAAGGATTTTGTCTCCTTTGCTAAGGGCCTTGTTGAGTTCGCGTCCTTCCAGTCGCGTGGAAATCCATGACGACTCTTCATACTGCCTGTATTCATAGTGTGATGTGTAGTTAAGAACGCGAAACTTTGGACCCTCACGATTGCGGTAGTAATGCGGCTTTCGAAACGATTCCTCCTGTTCATCTCCTTCTTCGCCTAAAGCATCTCCGGACAAACAAATCCCCATGTTCGTCTTCTCGAGGTTTAGGCTACACCGGCTGGACACCTGCACATACGTACAGCTGGAAAGGTAGTGCTCAGTGTACGTGAATGTACAAAACTGAAGAACAGTTGTTTGCGGACATTTTCAACAAGACAAAGATTAATTACAATAGGAAGGGCAAACCTTTTAAAGCTTAATATGTGTTTGTGGTTGGTATAAAAGTATAACCGTGACAATAAAAACAATATAAACAACATTATACCTCTACTATTATCTTTTATTCAAGGCTCTAAGCCTTTAGGGGGTTACCATAGTGTTAGAGAAACAAAAGTAAGATAATTTATAAGAGAACAAGCTAAGTTTTCGTAAACGTCTGGATCAAGTCTCATAATATATCAGTCTAACAGCGGGATACACAGACCACTAAAACTAGAAGCGATTCGTTTAAATTATTCAGTCTAAAACTTATTAATATTTGTCATAAATGATTATAAATTTGCTCTTACGTTTAGGCAGAAACAGCTCACTCCTCAATATTTTCATTTTGCGCCAAGTTATTTCAAAGATGTAGTTCCAAAGTCTTGCGAAACATGGATCTTCGAGTTTTTTCCATGCACCTCATTCGTAAAATCACGAGCAGATTTCAGTGCTTTTATGGTCATTGATCATTTTGCTTGGTTCTCTACTCTTTTTGTTTTGAACTGTACAGTAAGACAGTTTTGTGGAAGATGTAATATTTAACGCATTTTATACTCGCACGCCAACGAATTGTTCTGGGGACTGTCTATGGTTAGGAAATACAGTGAAACCCCTCCTTACGGCCACCTCGGTATAATACGGTCACCTCGTTATTAAGGCCACTCTATTTTGGCCGCCTGGCAAAACGGCCAAACATTTTCTTTAAAAAAAAACCCCTGTTAATACCCATTAATGCGGCAATTTTTTTTTGGCCCATTGTTGACCGTATTAACGGAGTTCCACTGTAGCCTCTCTTAATATAGTGATAGATCTATTTACTCCACAGATCCACTTGTAATCTAGCCTGCGTAGCAAGCGTTTCCAATCGAGTTATTGCGCGAAAGTTAGAGCGGAAGCAAAAAAAAGGTTGAAGGGGGAGGGGAGAAGAGGGTTCCTTCTTTCCCCTCCCCCTCCCCTGTCATTCAATTTGTTTTTGCTCTTGTACCAGCTTTCTAGACGAACCTCGCTAGGAAACGCTTGCTACGCAGCCTACTTGTAATCTAACCAAGATAGTTTTTGCATCCAGTGAGTCATCAGTAATTTAAACCAAGACTGAGGCCTTGACAGAGTCGATTTACCACTCCATCTCTGATTGGGCTCATGACCATCGCACTGTTACGTAACGTCGTTCGACATATAAGGAATTGTATGGGAGGAAAAACGATACGATCGTCTCCGTAACCTACGAATGTGAAAGGATGTAAATAAACCTCACAGTGTTTTTACTTCCCTATGTAGTTCCCGAGCAAGCCACACAGGAAACCACACAGGAAAGAAGAAACACACAACTTAAGTGTGGTTAGCCGATTTTTATTGAAATCCTTTCGAGGAACGATCGTTTTTCCCCCATACAAAACCTTAAATACCAACGTTACGCAACAGTGCCAATTTCGAGCTTGGGTGACCTGTGGTCAAATACAAACTCTGTCATACGTGAAGATCCTCACGTTAGCATAGACTTGTTTTGCTTTGGTCTATGCGAACAGCTGATGCAATGCAGTAGCCAACGTTCGATATATTAAAATTCTGACATGACTCCGAGGCTTTCTGGTCGTATTTCTATATTTGGCTGGGCTTTCTTTGTGCGTAAATCTCTTCTGGGAATTGCAAGACAATGGAGTCGTGAAAAATTTGCAATTTTGTCCCCAAAGCCTCGCATTCATGATAGAATTTTATTTTTTCGAACGTGGGCTATTCAGAAACTTCAGTTGTTAAATCAATGTTTTTGAAAGTCTGGTGGTGTATTTTTAATTCTTGGTATACGGTTTATAAAGTACCTGCTGCGATGTTAAAACTAGCCTTCATATAAAGAAAGACATAATATTTGTCGGTTGTAGAGACAAGAGGGATGTCGCAGAATTTGCATAAAAAAGGGAGTTGAGTTCCCGTGCGTGACGTCAACTGCAAAGGCAGCATTTAGCCAGTGGATCTGTTTATCTGCGAAACTCAGTTTATGTGATCTTATAGCCATAATATAGAAAGATGTACGTACTCTTAAAAAATAACCAATAGCTTCTGTTTCAACAACGCGGAGTAAATAATTAGATCACTGTTCCTCAAAGCATCCCAGCATTTGTAATGTTCCGGCACTCAATTTGAGCAACGCGAACCGTGTCCGGCGTTCTCGTCGAGTAAGATTTTACATGTAATTTATTTACATATCAGCCGAACTGGGAGAACGGTCTCTGCATCTTGTCTTGTTTAAATTGTCGTTCAGAAAGGAGTCCACATAAATCGCTGGGATACGGTAGAACCTCGACTCCGTTAACTCTAATTCCCGCTTTTAAACTCTAAATTTCTTTTCCCTAGATCAAACTTTCACTGAAATTTACCCTGATAACTCGAATTCCCAGCTAACTCAAACTATTTTTCGTTTCCCTCCAGAGTTCGAGTTACCGGAGTTCCACCATATATGTATTTACTGCGATTTCATGTACGCTGATCAATGCATGAAGGTAGCATTACATGATACTGCACGTGCGGTTTGGCACGTGTAGCAGGTGATAACGCGCAACAGTATCCCGTGCAATGGTCGATTCCTAAAAAAATATAATAACAATAACAATAGGACATTTACACGATGGCGTCATTTTACTGCTACGACCAGAATTATTTACGTTTTTCTTTTCATATTTAAATTTGGTAGCCCCAGTGAGGTTAAAATAACAAAAGCCCTAATTTGCACAAGAAAGCAAAACCCATCCAGAAGGATCCTGCGAAAGTCCCGATAATTAACGAGCCCGGTAAGCCGTCTCCGGTTTCATTAAAGATTGAGGTTTCAATAGTTTTGCATCTAACATGATAAAACTATCAGTTAATGAAACAAAATGGAGTAGTTTGGTTGCCAGGACGCGCGCTCTTACTCTTTACATTTCGATTTGAATATTTGATTTCGGGCCCGAAAAGTTACCGGGACTTTCGAGAAACGGGCCTCTGGTCATAGTCTAGTAGTAAAATGACGCCATCATGCAAATAGCCTATTAGTCTTGAAAAAAAATCAAGCGAAGGGTTAAAAATAAAAAATTACAGGTGTGAGTTAAGGTCTAACCCAAACACCTTCTGGCTGACAAGGTTGCTACTTCCTGACAAAATTACCCAGACAGGAAAGGAGCAGTTTACACTGGCTGTATGTCAGTTAAGTATCAACTTCATTTCATGGGAAATTTCAGTTGCTCTACTCTCATATAACAAGACAAGGCGTTTTAACCTAACCTGTTTGCGTTTTAAAATGCTGCACTTAAAGAGAACACCCAGCCCCGTCCAGGGTTCTATCTAGGATTTATTGTTTGGGAGAAAGTCCCGAGTGGCCGAAGGGCACGAGCTTTCTAGGGGGGTCCGGTTCCCCCCGGAAATTTTTTAAATGAACATGCGCTGAGATGCAATCTGATGCATTTTGGGGCACGATTTTTTTTCCATTCATGCACGATTTTCGAAGCTTATCTAATAAATTCTCTACAATTTTCTGAAGTTCAATTTTCGCATCAGTTTTCATTCCCGGGTTAGGCCATTTTTCATAGAAAAAAGGAAACTTAAAATTTTCAGGTTAAAAAATGTGATGCAGAGAGGAATTGGGAAATGTCTCACTTTCGTAATACCGTAAATCTTCTATTAAGCTCCCCGGGGGGCTTATTTTTTCCCAGCACTTTTGAGGCGGGGGCAGGGGGCTTAAAAGAGAGGGGGGGCCTTACTAAATTTAGCGAAATGCATCAACGAGAGCAAGGTTTCTCGAGGACGGACTTCTGGTTACCGGGCGCTGTACTGCTTTTTCTAAAAATAAGAAAATGGTAACAATTCTCCATAGAGAACTAGAGCATAAAGGTGAAAAATTTCAGCACGTGAAGTTGGAGCTTATGCGGCCGAAGACCACATACGTTTTTTTTTTCTCTTTTCGCCACCCCTCCCACGCGGTTTTTATTTCTATCCGCGAGCGAAAGAGGAAATATTAAAAGGGTCTTCTTGATTGCAGACTTCTTCAGATGTAACTCGTTGTGAAACTAGTTATAGAACTGCACACATTTTAGGCTTCTAGCAGTAACGACACGTTGATATTTCAAGCAACAACGATTTCCTGTCTGTCGCCTTGAAGATGAAATCTTTGAATTGAAAGGAGAATTAAGTGACGTAGAGATTAAATTGAGCGATTGTTCGCTTCGATGAGGAATATGAATTGGAAGCATTGAGTCCGAAGAAAATATCAAGAAAATTTTAACTCCAGTAAAGACGAACTAAACAGTTTTTAAATATGGTAAATAGCTCACCCGACAAGTTGGGAGAAGAGAGATTGTCACGTGTCGGCAATATTACAGTCTCGTGCATCGTTGAAAAGAAACACGTTTATTCCACCTTTTACTTTCAATTTTGGGTCATTTTGTGAATTGCAGTTAACTAAGACCTGTTTCCAACTACACGACTCTATCAAGTTTGAAGTATTTCGTCCAGTGGGAGAGAAACCTATTCATTGAACCACGATAAGCAGCCGGTCACGTTTATCTCTGTTTTTCACCGCCAGTCACGTTTGACAGACTATTTGCTCACGTTTCTGCAACACGCTCGCGTGCGGTTTTGTTGTGCAGTGGCACGATTACGTAAGGACGTAAAACAGCATTTTTGATCGAAGTGCAGGAAGTTCTGGAATACGCGGACCTGTTACCGAAAATTGTATTGAAAAACAAGTAAGTCATAGATTATTTTAAATGCAAAGCGTCTGCTTTTTCCTTGGAGAAGCAGAGTCTTCTAGCGAACCTATTAGATGGTGCTTTTTCCTCGGAAATGCATACACTGTATGTAGTCACAACTGTTAGGAGCCGAAGCGAAAGTTTTGTTCTGTCGCTGTTTAAAATAACCTCGCGACTTGTTATCCTTCAGCTGTGTCCTTCAAGGCATCAAAACAGGTTATTTTCATGAAACGCTTGCATTTGCCTTCTCGTCGAAGTCGTAGCTTTTTGTTACGTTTTTCAGTTCTTATGATGTACAAGACATATTTGTGGTCTTTGTCTGCAACCGAGTGGAATAGCTTTGGTAATCGATGGAAGCTAGATCCAGAAGTGGATAGATGAATTGCAGTTACCTCTGGTCATTGAACAATTTTATTTTATACACTTAGAAAGTGTCCTGCGTGAGATCTTGTCAGTTAATGTTTTTTTAAGACCAGAAACCAGCCTAATCGAGACTTAATTTTTTTTCCCTTTGTTTACAGTTAGTGCGTCTGATGTCTGGTTGCTGATAGGCAAAGTGCCTTTCTTGTAGAATTCATGGCAGAGGATTATCAGGCTACCTATAGAAGTCAGGTAAGCTTACAAATAGTATAAAAAAAAAATTGTACATCAAACCAACACAAACAGAAAGTTGGTTTGGTGAAAATAATTTGAGGTTTTATCTTACACATAGCTTATATGCAACACATGCAGTTTTACTGTCGAAAAGCGATGAGACTCTTGTCAAAAATGATATTTCCCTGTAAATGTTTCTGCTTGAGTACTTGTGAAAAGGGGAAACCTTAAGGTAAGCAACTTTTCAGCAACATTTACTCCCCCCTGAAAAAGAAACAATTTTGCATTAACATCAACAATTTGCCCTTCAACATCATCGTCATCATCATCATCACTATCTAAGACAGTGTGATCATTCCAGTACACAACTCATTCACAAATTGTCAGGTAGTATCTAGTTAAGCATGGAAAGACACAACACTTGGAAGGCAAAATTGTCTAAATCTTCCCAAATGACAGAAAGTTAAAATTAAAAATTGGCACAAGCAACCTCTTGTCAGGGGATGTGACATCACTATTCCAAGTTAAGTCTGGGACAAATTGTACTTATATTCGTACCAATGCCATTTTCCATAAAGTCTCCATTTAAATCTCTTGAGTAGAACCAACTTCTTAGTCACATGTTCATAGGTATAAAGACTTAAGCTTAGCTATATGCGCATCTTTTATTATCTTTTTTTTTTCAAAATTTACAGGGAAATGTTTTAGTTGAAAGACCGCCAATACCAGTCAGTAATCTTATGTCTCAGGCTAGCAGTGGGAATTCCATCAAGAGCCACACCATGCATCCTTCCTCTTTCAAAGATTCATCAATGATTGGGAACAGCAGCCATAATCATCACCACCATCGCCACAAAAGGCACCACTCCAATGGCAGGGTTAAGAAAGATTATGGAAATACTGCTGATCGCTTCAGTCGGACGGCCACTGTACTGCGACACTCAGGTCTACTGAAACTCACACTTCAGATTGCTCAGCTTATTAAAACAAATGAAGATCTTCAAAAAGAAATAGATGATCTTCAAAGAGAAGCCATGGAGTTCAGTCAAAATTTGAAAATCCAAATACAGCAAAAACTGTCAGAGCAAAATGGTTCTAGTAGCTTTCAGTATGGAGGAAATGGGTAGTTGTATTGTTATTATTTCATCCAGTATACAAGCATGGTTATCAACACATGGGCAAGCAAACTTATAACTTATATACATGTAATATATTAGTACTAATATGTCATTTAATTTTGTTTCTGGCAAACACAGTAAACTTTGCTCAGAGGGAAGGGGAGGAAAGGGATAGGGTGGATTGCAGCCCACTTTACAGAAGGGTGTGTAAATATGTTTGATTTTGTCTGGTTAAAACGTGCTGAGAAAATTGTACTCTTCAAATTTCCCAACCAAACATTATTTTACAAGTAAACTAAACATTGGTATGGTGCCTACATTGGTATGGCACCTGAGACTTTTTCCACAGCAATCCATTGCTTTGGATACACAACAGTTAATTATTATAACTTCCACTGCTACACTCATGCTGTAAAATGGTGTCTGACAGAGTAAGATGGGGTAAATATGTACATATTTGAATATCGGGACTCTGCAGGGGGAGGAGGCTGGGGCCAACTGAACACAACATTAATGATTTAATTTTGATCTGGAACCTACATGTAGATACTTGCAGCTTACTAAAATAGCAATAACTTACAAAATAATGCTCTTTGTTTTAATATTTTTGAGTATATTGAGGAATACTTTGGTATAGAATGGTTCTTTGAAAAACATGGGTCTCGGGAAACATTGGCCTGATCTCAAAACCTCAGAAGTATTAAATTTTTGATTTGCATCTTGGAGCCTCAAATTTTTTAAGTCTCAGTCTTACAATTTTAAAACGGGGGTCTCGCAGTCTCGAATTTACCATTCTATACCCCTGATATTGAATTCCTAGCTAAATCCAATTGAAATTAATTCATGCTTTGAATTAGAATTTTGTTTTACGGATGGTGTGCAGGTGTGTGACAAAAATGCCCTGTGTTTCGAACCTAAGCTGTAATCCTACACATTCAATTGGAATGCTAACTGAATCTGCACCTGCAGATGAAACCCAGCGTGTATAGTTGTGATGATGGCAGTCTGCACATCATAGACAGTTTTCTGGACCTTGAAAGATATCAGGACTTCTGAAAAATAAGCCTTAAAATTCATTTGTTTCTTTTTCACTCCAGTAGTTATTCAGACAGTAGTTACTCAGGCAGTAGTTATTCCAGTAGTTATATACTCAGCAAGGAAATGGTTTTTAAATACTGACTAATTAATACAGTCAAACCACGTTAATACGGACACTGAAGGGCCTATACACAGAGGAAAATGTCCATAGTAATGGGGTGTCCATATAAGGCAGGTTGAATTTAGGGAAAATGTTAGGCTTTAATTCTTTCCCCAGGGACAAAGCAAACTGTCCATAATAAGGAAGTGTCTGCATTAAGTGGGTGTCCATATAGCAGGGTTTGACTGTACCAGGGCTTTTTATGGGGTGTGTTCAATAAATTCTTTTTTTAAAATTTGGTTTGCCACATTAAATTTTACTGTCAATTAAACTCAGAGAATAATAATGAACAGCTGAAATAAATATTCAGGAATGTTGATCAACATGCGGTGAAAACGACCAGCGCATTTGAGCACGCCACAAAAAATCTGTGAAATTGAGCAAAACATTTTGCCATAATTTGTTGCTGCCAGTGGCATTTTCCTTGCAACACCATGCTGGAGATATTTTGGCGTTCACTTTTAATTTGTTTATTTCCTTTTTATTTAAACTTTTTCAGATGTTTTTGTTATTCCTGTTAGTTGTTTGTTCTGCTGGCAGCAGAGTTGGTTAAGTGAATTATATCCTTCAGCATGACCAGTGGTGAATCCATAATGTCCAAGATATTAAGAAAACACTTTCTTTTCTTAACATTGCAGTTGCGTACAATATCTTCCCTTACCCTGATCTTAATGTATGCTTATGACTACTGTTAGATTCTCTTATATCTAATGTACAAAGGCAATTTCAAACGATTAACAGTGTGTTAGTCTTGTTTTATTATATTAGTCTCAGTCTTTTTTCTTCATTTTGAACGTACGTAGAATGAATTAAAGTTACTTTGAGAGGCCTTATCTTTTTGCTTTGCTAACTTTTTGCTATTAGCTTTATTAACTTTAAGAGCAGTTGTCTGTAAGATTCGAGCTATATTAAAAAGGCGCTGCCACACTATCTCACCGAATTGGCTAAAAATTGGCATGTAGACTTGATTTGAGGTCTTTAATAAGGAATAGGTAACTTTAGGTTCTAATTCCTCCTACTTCGGAAATTATCGACATGGCCGGTTTTTGGGTGCATCGGACCGGCGCCATATTGGTTAATAGAAGCTGCTTTTGAGCCTTCGACTACAACCCTGTCTTCAAAGCTAATCTTCCTTTGCCAATACAGATTGAAAGAACAATCCCTCTTTATTGTATTTTTAGAAACTGCTTCGAAATTGATAACTTTTTCGCAACGATCGATTAAACTTTTGGTGGGTATACTTTTTGAATTTTTTACACCCGCAAAATTAACAGAATTTTAAAGGCGTATATCCCCGGGGGGGGCACTTTAGGAATTTCTGGGTGGGGATGTGCCGCTGGGAGCCTGGAACCCTTAACCTTTACCAGAGCTAGTTCAGCTGAATTTTGCTACCCTATACTAGAGTAAACTCCCCAAATCCCCCTATCCTAGAGGAGCTGTGTACCTAGTCTAGATAAAATCTTCAACCAACTGATCAGTTTCCTGAAAAATGATACCCTATACTAGAGTAAACTCCCCATTATCCCCCTATCCTAGAGTAGCTGTGTACCTAGTCTAGATAAAATCTTCAACCAACTGATCAGTTTCCTGAAAAATGATACCCTATTCTAGAGCCAAACGCTCTGATTTATATACCCTATCCTAGAGTAAACTGCTTGAAAACCATACCCTTCACAGCGGCACATACCTATATAGCCCATATATGGCAGTACCCCCCCCGGGCGTATATCTCTTTTGCCACATCGCATTGAAGCTTGCCAATCTGCCTGAATACTCACTGTTTGTATTTAAATCGAGTTCATTAATAAAAAAATTGGGCAAATTTAACGGAGCAGAAACAAAAGCAATGAATGGAAGACTGTTCTAGCGACTTTGTCAATAATCTGTACACCGAATACTCGCCAGGTGTTGCCAAAATTACAATCGATAATAGAGTTTCTGTCATTAAATCTGAGTGATCTGTGTAATAAAATTAGCCTCTGTAATATAATCGATAACTCTGCTGCGAAAAACAGTATAAAAAAAGGCAGATTGTATAAGGAAAAGGAAAATGAATTTGTTATGTTTACGCTATGACGCGTAAACAAAATCCAACCATCACAGTCGAACAGGAATTTTCCCGATTTTCCTCCAGTTCCTTTACCGAAACCAGAGCTTTTAAAATTAACCATAGTAATGAAAATTGAGATGTATTACCTTACTCGACGACAAAGTTGCCAGTTTCCACCTTGATCGAAAAAAAGTAATATTTTCCCACGCATATCGCGGGTCGTCACGTTCCTTGCCTGGCGTTACAACTCACGTGAAGCCGCCTGGTTTCAAACAACTGAACTGAAGAATCCGTGAAAATCTTAGCCAGGCAATAAATAATGGAAGTTGATATAAGTTATCATTATTAGTGAGCGAGGATCGATGCGATGATAGTTCCAGCTACATGTATTTACAGCGTTTGAAGATTCACTCAAAACTCACGAAACATGTGCCCTTGAAATAAACATCATTACTTCCGGTTTTAAAAATTGGGCGTTGACAAAGTAATGAATAGACTCATTCTACCTTGTACACCGTTAACAACGGTTCCGTGTACAATTTTCAGGTATTTTGTCTCAATCACGAAGCCCGTTTTGAGGAGATTCTTGATAAACAGAAAAATTGGTTTGGAAGGGGTTAAGAAGAATGAGGGATGAGCCCGGGACAACAAAACCACAGTCACCCCACCGAAGGGCTTTAAAACTGTGCGCAAATGCCTCACCCTAGGGACAATTCCAGATTTTTGTTTCCTTGAAAAAGCTTAAAATCGCTAGACAATGCATGGACAACTCAAGACAGTCCTAATTCAAAATAAAGTAAACAGCAAAGAAAAGTCAGTTAGAGACCAGAGTGTTTATCCGATATCGCGAACAATAAGGAGTGATTGAAGATGTGTCTGCAGTTTAAGGTAAAATTATTTACCATGCTCACGGACCTTTCGACAACATAAGTGTACCGATTGACGTAATATCAGTGGTAAAAAACGAACGCTTTTTACTGTAGGACGATGACGTCATCATACAAAAGGTGTCTTCACTCTGGTATCCAGAATTTCAAACAGTCAAAACCTAATTTTCTCTGCTTGTCAACTGAAAAACGTCTCTGAGGGCAAGTAGTGGTAATGTTCTTGTTAGTAAGACGTCCAACATAAGGAGACATTCATAATCAACTCGGTTAATGCATTGATAAAGGGAAACTTTCTCCTTTACCCTTAGGGACAGAGTTCAGAGGCGCAAAAGATTTTTAGTTCAGCACTAGCATGTGTTGTCTAGCGATTTGCCTTGAGCTTCTCTAAATTTTCCAGATCAAACAAGCTGTGTCCATCGTACATAATCTTGTCTGGGCTCCCTTGAAAAATTGCACTTCATCAGATGCCTTCAAGTGCATCCTCCGCCTCGACAACTTCGTGATCTATTTTAATGGGTGGTTTTCTGGAACTATCCTATGGCTTGTCCTTTCTGGTCGTCACTATATTAGCGAACATGTTTCAATTTCTCTCCAGCAAAAGTCTCTATCAGGAGCGTAGCCAGGACTTTCCAGGTGTGCGGAAAATTTCCAAAACTTACCCTAACATCTTACTCAGTTCTCTCGCAACTTTTCCCCACTACATTTGCTCACCTGTTAACTAGGTGAGGTTTTGCGTGGATGAAATGGCACTTGCAATCGGTGAGAAAATAAGGTTAGACACTTTACCCTCAAGGACGACTCTCACGTTTTGCTGACACTTTCTACCTTAGAAGAGATAAGTGAAGCTTTGCCTTCCCCACTCCGTGTAAAAAAA